CCAATGGATCCACTGGGTCTCTCATAAGGGAAGGGTTGCCTCGGACAGGCGAGCCATCCGTTCCATTGGCGACCACTTCGAAGGGCAACAGCAAATTGACCCCCTCGCGCCACAGCTGAAAATACCGAAGAAAAGTACAATTATTCAGTCTCTTTTTAGTTTATAATTATGTCCATATCTATACGCATATAACCATGACCTGCTTATATATAACTTGAAGCTAGTTAGGTGGGCGGATTATCGCTTTGAGCTAGGAATCATGTGGGTCACTCCTAATTATTCGTCCGTGGTATCCTCACAACTTCACTATAGACACCTTTTGAGGGACCCAAGGGGGCTACCATGTATTTGAGGTTAGCAGGTGAGCATTCGACGGGCGGGGAAGAAACTCGTTTGTGGTGCCCCGCCCAGCTTCCGGCTTGCCCGGCCAGGAGTGGTCACGTGCAGAGCCGGCGCCGGGTCCTCCGGCCCCGCTTGTCTCCTGCGTCAGGGTAATGCCGGGTTGCCTTTCATGACAAGGGCATGTACAACCTTTCGAAATTCCAGTCTGTAATCACTTATTGCTATATCCTCTATACCATACTAGATCTTCGCATGCTGATTTTCAGAGGATAATTGTCTAAGGTGAGAGAAAGGCATTCTATCGGGACTGCCAAGAATACATCAGAGGACAAGAACGGGCCTACCACAGATCTGCCCAGTTTCTCTTCCCCGGCCCCAACATGGCCTCGGGGACTAATCCCTATTCTCCGCTATGAGAGATACTGGTGCAGAAAAAAACTGGATCGGAGCTGATATGCCTAGTCTCTGAAAATGTTCAACCAGCTCCTCATTTATCCTCTTCGAGACTTTTCAAAGAATATATGCAGTTTCTGTCACTCTAGTCAGTTTCAGGATTTTCTCTTTACTGTCTAGAGTTAGAGTGCCACTTTCGGCTCTTCGTCCGAGCCTATCTCCTCTATCTTTAAGATCGCTCCAGCCTTCTCGTCTACAGTCTGCGCTGGGTCGAAAATACGATGCGGTACGCGGGACAATAATTCTGGGACATCGATACCAAACGCTAGTAGATTCTCAAAACGGGTCATGAGGAAAAAACCGGCACTGAGTGACCATCTGTTGATGAGTGCCAGATAGGGATGCTACGAGGTCACACATTAACAAGCTTCAACGCATCACGCGCCATATAAGCTAGTCAGTGCCAGGCCAAGATGCCCACGGGAGCATACTACCCACAAAGTATTTCCTTCGGGCAAATAGAACCCGAGAAAGGTTCCGAGATTCTCAGACGGCAATGGGGATATGGTGAGTTGCTTCGGGGCTAAAGCACAGTAATGGCAACCTCTGCACACCACACCCAAGCACAAGCACGAGATCAAGAGACTCGCGTCTAGAGACAACGAATGAGAGTCCTCCGCTGGACGCCGGAACCCCTTATGCAGCTGCCGGGACTACCCGAAGCTCGTATCAGCACTCGGTCTATCCCTTGGAATGTGAGCTAGTGTTTCCGCTAGAATCTGAGGACTTACAGGTGTGACGCGTCGCTTCGACGCCTGGAATGTGACCTAAAGTTTTCGGTCATCTGGCCAGGAAGGTGGCGGAGCGGGCCGACAATTCGGCGATGGATTGAAAATCGCCTTACGGGCGTGTGCGGTAGGAGTTACCTGTCAACCAAACCTGAGGAAACTAGGCCTGCGCCGCGAAGCGCGAGCATGTGTTGAAAGTCAACTATCGCTTACCCGGGGCTAGATATCTACTAACTAGATGGAAGATACGCTCTAGTGAGAGGCACCATTCATCATGGCGATCAGTCACGACTCTGGTGTTCCCTGTCGCTAGGTTGGAAATAAGGTCGTACATCAAGTGTGATTTTTGATATGGAGAGCAGCACAGTAATAAGAAGCAGAATAATCCCCAACGCATCAAGCAACGGTGAGGCCATGTTGGCTTTCGACATACTGATAAGAGCGCTGTGGATTTCTTGACAGAGGTCTATCTTGGGGAGTCTGCCTATATACAACAGTTGACGACCTTGGAGGAGTTTTGTTGTAAGATCGTCAGACCACGAGAACATACATATGAAGGTAATATGGAAAACTCGACCATGACAACGAGAGGCAAATGACAATAACGGATGCTAATACGTTCCTACCAGTCCTCTCAAATAGACCATTCGAGTCCGTAGCTCGGCCTTTGGACCTTTCGATGCGAAGGAAAAGGCGGTCCAGGGCCGTTTATGTCAGGGATAGTTATCACATACACGCGTCCCTAGGTGTTTGACCCATCGTTGAAAAGAGCGCTGAACTTGGAAATATAGCTAGATCCAGGTTCTCTCATCCTTCAATCCCTGGGAACACCTATCATATCAACGTGCTCAAACATCCAGACAAGCATCCGGATTGACTCAGGTATCATCTACCCTTCCCGTCAATCTTGTTCTTTCGCCCACACTCACGTATTCTTCCCCAAGTTTATGTTCCGCTTCGTTTCGCCCAAGGTGTGGCGTCGTTAGATGGAAGGAGATGTCGCGAGATTCTGTTCCACACTTCCTGATGTAAATTGTGCGCTTCGATTGGTAACAATGAGCGTCGACGCCTCGTAGTGTGCCTATGAGTGAGTGATACTCACCGAATATAACTCACAGTGCAAGGGAAATCCTAGTTATAAATTGGGAGTATCAGGAGACAGTGGCAATCTATCCATCGGGGCCTCATCATGCCAGATATGTGTGCCCATGGTGAATGGCGAGCGTTCATCGCCAGCTAGCGATTCGTCGACTAGAGAAGATACAAAAGAAGGAGACGGCAAGGCGGGCCAAGGAGGGCAGCCGGACCATATGTGCCGTCTCTAATTTGTAAATTTTGGCGACCATTCATCGTGCACTCTGCCGCGCCTTCATCATGTAACTCACAACTCAGGGTGTTGACGCCTTAACATTCACAACTTCACTTCCCGCATCTAGTCTTGAAGAGTCCCGATCGAGAATATGACAAGGTAATAAGGCAACCCTGCCAGAGGAATAAAGATGCTACTTTGATTATGTATGCTTTCATTACATGTGAAGTGAAACTGAGGTGCGGGTGGGCGCCTTTAAAATCTGCATCGACCTTTCACACGGTGGGCATATTAATTCCGGGGAGAAATGGGCTCGAGTGCGTGATAGGACGAAAAGGTGGGAGAGGGACCTCGGTCATCGAGATGGCCCTGGTATCTCCCGGGATCGAGATTCGAAAGCTGATGGATGGAGGGGAATCCATTAAAATCCTTGTCGGGTCTAATCCCTTTCCGCCCTTCTCTTCCTACGAACCTTGGTTTCGGTTGCTGGAATCTTAGGCAAACATCCATGGGGCAAGGAGTGGTTCATGGTACCAGCTGTGTTCTCCCCCTGCCCGGGTTTGGCAGAGGGGCGCAAGATTTCGCATCCTTCGGAGTAATACTTGTGATGGTACTCCGTCGTCCAAACCTGTGAACGACCGGGGTGTCTCTTCTTGGTGTGGATCGGTGGCTGGTCAAGCTCCCCATTCACTCTCAAAATCCGTAGTATCTTGTCATTCATGTTCCCGTCAATCAATTGATCTCCACCTCGCCGACTTGCTCTGTGCGCCTCATGGATAATAGGCAGAAGCCCTCCAATGAAGGGAGCTATGACTCGTCCAATGATCTCGTTCTCTTTTCCTCCCTCCATTTTTACTTTTTTCTTCTTGTCCTCTCATCATTAGGTCCAAGGGAAAGGGAAGAAGGCACACTCTGAACATTTGACAGTTTAGCATTCAAACAAAGGTGCACCAAGGAGTACACAACCGGTGCTTCGAGGTGTGGTGGAGCTCTAGCTTCGATGGTGCGGACCTGCTTGTTTGCATCAATTGATCCTCTCCACACCCCTGCCCAAATGCCATGTTATCCTCGGGACTACCATGCGCATGCTCAGACGAGTGTACTTGTCAAAGTCAATTGACTCTTTTTTCGTTTTTTTTTCTTCTCCTGGGTCGACGGTACACCCCTGTCTCGCCAGGCCGGTTTTTCTCCTGTGTGAATTCCATTGGCGTCGCCAGGTGGCTCCCCGACCCAAGCAGGATGAGCTGCGCTAGGCCCAAGTACTCCGTTTGCCTGGGGCCTAGCCCGTCGGCCCCCGTTTGCAAATTTCCCAGCGTCCCCACAACGGTCCTGTACTGGCACAAGGGAACATACGGAATCTATCGCAACGCTGCCAAAAACTTTGTAACTTGGCCCGTCTCAACCAGGAGGCCCCACCAAGCGAACACAAAAAAGTCAGCTGATGGCGCGGCCAGCTCGCGTAGAGTGCCACCTCCTTGTTCCCCCAGTCGCGTCGGAAGCGTGTCATGGATCAGGACTCCAACGACACTACATATTTGCTCGCCAGCCTTAGCTTTGCGTCCCGATTCAGAAATTGAGGAGGGGGCGTGAAGCACCACCACTTGTTCTCCTACCGTGCTCCAAAGATCTTCCCCCTCCTTTACGAGTTCCCTTTTGTCTGGTCCCCATTCATAGCCCACCGATGGGCCAAAAGACCGATTCCTAAAAAGGAGTCGCTTTCAAAAGTACATTGTGCCTTGCTGTCGCCTTTTTATAAGAGTCTTCCCCTCCCCTCTGTAAAATTCATCTTGATCTCCTCTTCTATCATCCGGACCAGAAACGAAGCCTGGCAGCCTGGAAGGTAAGGTCAATCACGAAATATCACGTCCTCGCTTCTACCTTATTTTTTTACCCCATCCATCGCCTCTCAGAAATTCAGACTGGACAACCTGACAATTTCGGTGCCCATCATTCTTCACAGCCACCAACTTAATAGACCTGCGTCCTTCTCTCTGCCTAAACTCGCTCAACTCTGGTTTTCTCCACGAACTGTATTCTCTCTGCCATTTGTTTTATCTCTTCTTCCAGACAAGGAATTCTCGCAGTTTTTCTCCTCCCTTTTCATCGTAGCTCGATTCATCCCCCTCATCTCGTCTTCACGCCATCAAAACACATCAACTTCTGCAATAATGTTCGGGCAACGCCGCCGAGACTCTACCAAGAGCTTTTCCAAAAGCTACAAAGTAAACAAGTCCAGCTCCTCCTTTAGCAAGGAGAGCGGTGTCTCCAAGCGAAAGCATGAGTCTCGTCGTAGGCCTGGAACCGCTTCCACCACCACGACTCAAGAGCCTGAAACTCCCACGACCAAGTAAGCTCAAGGGAATTCCTCTTCCATCGTAGAAAAGCCAAGATAAAAATGGTTGCTAACCCCCTGCCTCCAACAGCCATCTCTCATCTCCCGTCGTAACCCTCGTTGTCGGCTCCGAACAGAGACTCTTCGCCGCCCACGAGGAGGTCCTTTGCCTTTCGCCGTTCTTCCAAGCTGCCCTTCACCGACAATATGCCGACGGAAATAATAAGAGGATCGCCCTCCCTGATGAGGAGCCCGAGATCTTTTCCTCCGTGCTTGAGTTTCTGTACAAGGGAGATTATTACCCACGCCTCATCCATAGCAAGAGGCGAAACTCGTGGGAGCTGGAACCTCCTAGCGAAGATCACCAAGGCGTAGAAGCCACCATGTTTCACCACAGCGTCGACGGCGATCTGCTCAAGGATACCGTCATCTATTGCTCTGCGGAGAAGTATGGGCTGGAGGAACTGAAACGCATTGCTCTTAGGAAGCAAGGTCTTCGTAAGTGCTTGAGCCCTCTCTTGTCTCCATTTCAAGACGTAATCTTGGAGACTAACCCAATTTTAGAGTCTGGCATCCAGTGCAGCACCATACTCACATCGGCTCGGTACGCGTACGCCAACACTCCCGATAATGACTCCAAACTCCGTGCACACTACCTCGCTCTCATCATTCGAAGCCGAAGCACGTTCAAGCGAAGCGGGACGATGCAACTTGAAATGTGGAACGGTGGAACCCCGCTCTTCTTCGACCTTTTCGTGGCCCTGTGCAACCACGTCGACGATATCTCAGCAGCGGCGTAAGTTATCTACGGACATGACGGGAAAAGACGGTTGCTTGCGAGGAACAGTATGACTAACATTTACGTTTCTAGTACACCTCGCGGCAGCCGGCATATTTGATACGAGTCAACGCACGGCGTACCCAAAGGTCGAGCACACATTTGTGCACCGCGCCTAACTAATAAGCGTGCTTTGGCTCTCCTCTCCTCTCCTCCCCCTCTTTCCCTTCTTCATGACAATCGGCCGGCCCCTTTTCTTCCAACGGCAGGCTGGCTATTACTTGATTTGTTTCCGGTTTCGGCGTTTATCAAATCTCTCATTATTTTTCTTCTCATTCAACCCGCATTTCTTTTTCTGCAACTTATAGAGGGTTTTCTGGTTTGATGGATTTGCGAAAGTCTGGCACAACAAGATATGAAACGACTGGTTTTGGGCGTTTACAGATCTTCTTTCTTTTTCTTGTTGTTCTTCTTCTCTTCCTCTCATGACGGCGGCGATTTGGCTTTTTCTTTTCCTTTTTTCTTTTTCTTTTTCTTTTGTTCTCAAGACTCGGCGTTATTTTTATTCCCCTGCTTTGAAATCTCCTCTTGCTCGCTATTTATCTCGGCAGACATCTTTGTCCCGTACGAGTTTGAATCGTTCTTGCACTTCGATTTTCCCGTTTACGGCTGTTTCCCTTGGCCTGTTTGCCTCTTTACTGTACATCTAGTATCAACATTGTTCCTCGAGAGCGTCCGGGGTGGCAATCAGACGGTGACTCTTTCGGCGGTCCTTATCAAGGCTGGGCCTAAGTAGGAAGGAAGGCCCTCCCCTACTAAGAAAAAGAAAAGAAAAGAAACAGGAGTGATAGTTACGGGAGAAATACGGGGGCTCTTCGCCCAACTAGACTGCAAGGATCAATGGCGGATAGCGCCACAACAGACTGTGTCTTGTTTTCTTGTTATCTGCCCAACTGCTTATGGCTTGTACAGTATCTTTCTCTACACTCGTTCATAAAGGTAATATTGAAGCTCGCGATACCACACTATTGTTGACATTGTAACCTTGCGTGGGGATCGTTGACTCAAGGGTACAAGTGAGAAGAATGATGTTATCGATCGTGAATGAGTGCATGCCCAGCGTGAAGTTGGCTGGGCTGTCTCAGAATGGTCTAGTGTACTCAAGTTCAAAGATGGGAAAGGGGATGAGCTCTCCCTTTTTCGACGCACGCCCGCATATACATCCCGAGATTCACTAGCGAGGGTCATGTACCATGCAAGGATTTGCCGTCTTGGGGGAGCAAACCGTCAACCCAGCTATCTCTATACAACTCGAGCGTTTCCTACCGAAGCAATTTACAAAGTCCCACTTCATCCCCTTGGCTGAGAAATCTCGAGGGATGGAATATGCGGGAAGTAGAGAAGAGTCCACAGGAATGCGGGTCTGGGGCCGATCCAACGCCCCCGGCCCTTTGTGTGATCCGATACGCTGTTGCCACAATCCCCTGATTTCACCCCCCTCCTTGTTCCCTTCTTTCTCCAACTTCCATCGTTTTCGGTAACCGTGAACGGTGAACCAGATAAAGGCCTGTTCTGGACCGACTCACCGATGGAGGCGACCGTCGGCGGTAGCATCTGAGTCATAACCGTGACCTCACGACTACCTTGCCAGTCGCTTCCGTTTCATCCCGCCCCGTTCAAAAGGAATGATGGAAAACAAAAGTGTGTGTGGGGAGAGGGGGGAGTCCAAAAGAACAAGGCGAGGACCACGGTATGTCGATGAGCTCTTTCGGGTTAAATTGATGCAACTCCGAGGCGTCGAGAAGGTGGTGTGGAACCCCGGGCTGGGATGTTTAAGTGCTTGCATGCGATGGGAGGTGACAAAAAAAAAAAGGAAAAAGGAAAAGGGGGGAGGGTTTGGGCCAAAGACTTGATATGTGCTGCTCTGCTGGACAGTCTCCACGACTTTATTTCCCTTTTCTTTCCCCCTCCGTTTTGCGCTTTGGGAATGTGACGAATTTTCCTTCTCCTGTTCTCCTCACCTGAGGTGGACCCAAGTCCCGTTAGTGTCTCGAAATGAAACCGAGAATTGAAGGGCCAAGGATGCGGGATTGACAAAAGGTGGTGCGCGGGAGAAAGAGCTTCATGTTAGAGCGGAGGAGTGAGGTCAAGTACCTGTCGTGAACAAGACGCGACGCGTTCTGTGGAGAACATGGGCGGATTTGCACCACCAAGACTCTGGTGGCCTCTGCGCCCTCAACCATCAACTCTCTGGTCTGTGTGTGAACATGGGGGAAAAAGTAAAGATGGACTGGGTCAACTCCTGTCATTTTCCCCTCTTCTTCTCATCTTTTCCATTCCTGGGCCGTGCATTCCACCACCGGCAAGTTGTAAAGAGCCCGTGTGATATTTCGTGGGAATAAGACGTGATGTGAAAAGAATGAAATCTCCACTAATACATGAAAGCACGTTGCGGGCCGGAATTGATCCCCGCTGCATGTTCGACTAACCATCCGCCCCAGAATCTCTCGCCGACGGCCAAAAGCCTATCAATGGGTGTACAAAATTGCCGTTTCCATTGAGCCCCGCCCTTGATTGTGCCCAAAGGGCCTTTTCACATTTTGATTTTTTTGGGTTTGGGTCAATTTTTCCTTAGACCCCAGTGCCGGGAAAAGCACCGTTCTTTGACAAGACCACCATTCCTCGGTCTCGCGCAATGTATCCCTTCATCAGGTTCTAAGCGATGGGTCCGTTAGTGAGTCATATTCTCGCCGAGGAGACCAAAGACTACCAATGGTACAAATTCCAATTGGCGTTTGACCGTTGCCCTCAGGCACCCCCTCCGCCTCGCCTCAGGCAAAAATGAACGATGACGTGGTTGAGGACAAGGCAACCAGCGCATGACATCCACTGATTGGCAAGGCTGGGAGCGAGCACACGATGCAGCCAATGAGACGTTGCCCCGCACACACATTCTCATCCGCACAACACACATACTCACACGATGCCTTGCACCTATGAGGCTGGGGATAGCTAGAAAGAGGGAGGGGATGGACGGGCGGTCAAAAGTGTGAGAAAAATGGACCATACCTTGTAAATCATATTTGCCAAAAAGCACTCCACTTCGTCGGTATCAATCCTATCACCCTCCGACTTGAGATTGATAGCCGCCTGGAACTCCGCAACCGGGACACGCGTGCGCCTAAGCGGGGTCGCGCCTTGCTCTTTAGCCTCTTCAAATCCACCCGCGATGAATACTTTCCGAAATAGATTTCTCAAGGCGATATCGCGCCCACGTTCGAGCGCTAGGTATATCCTAAGCTTGACAAACACCTCCTCGTGTTCTTCGAGCGCCACGTCAAATGAGTGAAGATCACCGCGTCGTATGCATTGGGCCAAGGGGTGAAAGAGGGCCTGGAGGCTCGGATAAGGATCGAGAAGGGCCTGGCTTGGCAACGTGTGGGTGGTCAAGAGCCGGCAAGGAATGAGGTAAGTCAAGATCCGTCTACTGTAGTTAGCGAGCGACAGGCTATCTGGGGGTATGGGGAACACTGGGAAGATATGGAGAGACCACCTACTCCTTATTTCGAACCGCGCCTTTGTGGCATAGTTGCCAGGCTTCCATCAGATGCTCTTCCGCCTAGAAGTTGTGTCAGATACGAAGGACGACGAGGGGTGACAACATCGGAAATTGGTTGAGCTCATTACCTCTCCATAATTCTCTTCTAGGAAAGCCAATACGCCGGTATAGTACCTAAAAGTTACTCTCTGCGACTTTGGAAATGCACTGAGTGGAGGCATATCCCCTGATACGCCGTGAGGGCCTTTAGGATATTCCTTGATAGACTAGCAGAATTAAGTCGGAAATAGGTTTTGAAGAGAAGGTTGATGATGAAGTAAATGCCCCATTTCCTCGACGTCTCGACCGGTGCCCTGCATGGTATTAGCAGCTAATTCCGATTCTCAAGGCTGGTGGGCGGTTACCTGTCACTCAAGCATAGGGTGAATATGCGTTTCAGCATCTGCTCACAGTCGCGAAGCTGTCCATTCTTTTCTGTTTCCGGGTCAAAATCATCCCCATAGGAAGGCCCCCCTCCCCGCCTGGATTGCTAGCCCTCTCCTCGTCCGCCTTCATCGCGTAGAGACGAAGGTGTTTCCCGTAACATAAAGACAGGGTATGGTCCAGGCCTCGAAGCCATAATTTGAGTACCCCCTTATGACAGTAGATGTAAGTTCTTTCCAAACCTCGTAAACCTTTGTCCATGAAGTTGTCTGTTATTTCATCAGCTCATGTCCTGCAGCCTGCGCTTAAACGAGTCCCGATACTTACCAAGTCCCCACGCTCAGAGTTCTCAGTTAAAGGTACAATGACTGAAGTCGCCTTCCAATACGCAGTCAAAATATCCGACCATCCTGTAAACTCTTCGCTAGAAAGATTTCCGATCGAGGAGGAGCGTCGCATCGCCCGAGTCACATCCTTTTCACCAATGCGGCATTGGTACTCTTCCAGATCGAGTGCAGCCGGTCAGGCTGACTCGGAGGGGACACCGGCAGCAGAAGCTGGGCGACTACATACCCATTGCCAGAGGCATGGGCGTCGGCAAGCTCTTTCACGAGCTTGTCCATGCTAGAAGGAGCTGCTCAGATTTGAGCTGAGATCGGGGCTAGACTAGATAGCTGTCTCCACAAGACAAAACCTGAAGTTTGAGTGACAATATTTAGCGCGGATTTAGTCAGACCCAGGTTGTGATGCTGAGCGTACTGCCTGTAATTGTGACTGTCTCTTGAATCGAAGTTGGAATTGTTGGGGCAGCTCCAGCCCGTATGAGCCCCTCCATCTCCCATGATCGAGCTCACTGCCCCACTACTCGCGAGCTGTCTGTGCATCACTGCCAGGCCACTGCACCAACTTGAACCCAACTCCTGGCTTATCGCGTAATCACGTGAAGATAAGCAGCATAGCTTGGCGCCCTGCTGAATCAGGACTGGCCCTTGAAGTAGCACCCCATTGCCCTTGCGCACCAGCCACATATCCCCATCACACGAAAATTTACTGTGGCTAGTGCTCAAGGCCACTGGTGGGTTAGGGCTCGTCCAAAAATTATTCCACACTCCCGCTTTCTCACCAACCTTGCGCATCTCCATTTCCTAAGTCATCTCAACACCAACCTTGAAAACGGCCAACAGTCCAACTTGACAAAGTAAGTCCTGAGCTTCTCTAATATTCCGGTGATCAATTGATAAGAATTTATTTTCTAACTATGCTCTTCAAGATGGGTAAGCACTTCTTTTCCACTTCTCTCTCCGCGTGCAGGACCGAAAATTCTCGAGATCTCGCCCCAGCGATCAAACAACCCGTTCGTTAGGATTCCCGCGATGCTGCTCTCTCGCTCGACGAATAGCCAAGATGCATAGTTTACCAGCGCTCTCCGCGAAGCACCATCAGCCAACCCGAGAACTGCGGCCACACGACTGATCCCGTCGGCGGTTGAGGATTTGACCACGCGGGAAAGGGGAGACTTATCGCGGAGCACTCGGCCATTACGAACCACCAGAGAGAGCACGCAAACGGTTTCCAGGGCTGGCTACGAAAATCTTGATTGTGGCTGGGCGACTCTCGAAGAATGGAGGCGAAATGCCGGGTTAACTGCGAGGTTTTGTACTGGGACTAACGAAGATCGTTCAGGTCGCCTTCAGGAGTATGCGGTCGTCGGCCGTCACTTGCCCACCGAGGCCAACCCTACCCCCACCCTTTACCGCATGACCATCTTTGCCCCCAACACTGCGGTTGCCAAGTCCCGATTCTGGTACTTCTTGCGCGGCCTCAAGAAGGTCAAGAAGGCCACTGGTGAGATCGTCTCGATCAAGGAGGTACGCTTGCGCTCAAGTCCTTTGGAAAAATAACTTTGAAAGAATGTGGAACTCATTTTGGCTCGCCCTTAGATCCACGAGAAGCGCCCCACCAAGGTCAAGAACTTCGGTGTCTGGATCCGATACGACTCTCGTTCCGGTACCCACAACATGTACAGGGAGTACCGTGAGCTCAGCAGGACGGATGCCGTCGAGTCCTCTACTCCGACATGGCTGCCCGTCACCGTGCCCGTTTCCGATCCATCCACGTAAGTTGCCCTCTTTCAGGTTGGTGCGAGAAATTGCCGGCTAACGCAGGCCCGTTTTTAGGTTCTCCGTGTTGTCGAGGTCGAGAAGACCGAGGACGTCAAGAGGCAGTACATCAAGCAGCTTATGACCAAGGACCTCAAGTTCCCTCTCCCCACCGTGTCGGTGCCATCAGCAACAAGAAGATCTTCAGCGCCAAGCGTCCTTCGACTTTCGCTTAAGGGTTGTCATTTTTAGGGGCTGGCTGTTTTCTGCAGGGTTCGAAGGGTGTTCATTACGGTCCATGGAAAATATCTGCATTTGGTCCATATTAGGATGGACAACCAATTCATGCAAAAATGAATGAACCAAACCAACAAAAAAATACAACCTACGATTGTAATGTGCTCCAGTGACATCCTGCAGCTTGGTGAAGACTGAGAAGGCCACTCGGTCAGGAGAAGCAGAGGTGCTCAGAGTCCCTGCAAGGTGGGACGGAGTTACGAAATCATCATGACTGCTTCTCACCCTCGGATGATTACAGGGTCTAGCGTCAATTGAATCTGTTGAAACGCGTCTGTCGTAATATAGAAAATGGAATAAAGGTACTCTTCAATTTTGTTGTTAAGCTGTCGTCAATCTGAATGCCAAATCCTAATTCCTATTCCTCGGCGGCCCCGATGCCATTGTAACCCCGCGAGCCGAGGGGTAATGTCAGCGATGACAATTAATCGAGGAGTCTGAGATAAGGATGACACGAGCAGGGGAGAAAGGGGGCTGACTTGGACATTTTGAAGGAGCGGTTTGGTCAGGCAACTCTTCACTCATACCACGGCCTTCATTGGTCTTGCGGTTGGCACGGGCTTCCTCCTTGCTAGAACTTGAAAAGCCCCCGGCCCCGTCCTCGACATCAACGATTGCGACCACAGCAGAATTAAACCAGAACTTCATATGCCCAAGATACCATGGAGCCCCGAGAGACAGAGTACACCACCGTCAAGACCACGCTCCCGCGTGTGCCTTACCCCGCGATTGAAGACAGGACCCCGGTGATGACCCAGAGACTTGTCATCCGCGCCCTGACCGAGAACGATCTCCCCGCTCTTCACACCCTTCGGACAGTCGAGGAGGTGATGGTCAGAACTCACCAAGGTACCGTGGACCCAGATCTCGCAACAACAAAAGCAAGGCTTGATCTGTACCTCCCCTAACGACCAAACCACGTACAACTTTGCCATTGTGGAACAGGAGACGGGTAGTTTTGTCGGTATCGGCGGCAGTCATATCCGCGCGGATCACCAAGGATGGCCGGTGGTGGGCTACCTGTTCCATCCAGATGTGTGGGGAAAGGGATACGCGACGGAATTTCTCGAAGCCTTCCTCAAGATGTGGTGGGCATTGCCGCGCGATGAGTTCGAGATTGCGGTAGAAGCCAGCAGCGCTGAAATGGCACGCTTTGATAGCCGCGGCGGCGATGTTGGCGAAGGGAATCGCGTTAAAGAGTTGATGATTGGGGTGACACAGGATAACAACGTTGCGAGCGCCAAGGTCCTGACCAAATGTGGGTTTAAGCCTCTAGATGACTGGATCGTGGAGAAAGGGAAAGGGGTCGAGCGGCTCTTTGTATTCGGTTGCAAGGCCTCAAGCACATCATCATAGATACTACCCCAATTTACCATCTAGAAAAGAAGTCCATTATCTTGACATGCCTGGCCTTAGGAGAGGCTAGTTTTCATGTTGTAACAAGCGCTTCGCGTGACCAGCAGTTTTTAGTGTTGTATACCTACCTATTGGCCATGGTTGGAAATTTAAGAGCAGTAGTTCATTTAAAAACCGTCGGCCTACCCTAAGTTGATCTACCGAGGAGTATGATATCAGTTCCCTCGTTTTCAACGGACCAGCCTCCTTTTTCGTGCCCCGTCCTTGCGGCACGGCGCTGGGTTCGCATAAGCCAGACGTACTCGACCGGGTCAAGAAGGTATGCGAGAGATGGCCAGACGTTAGCCGTGCGTTTCTGTGGCTTTTCATATCTTCCTTTCGTATCGATTTCCTTCAAAGCCTTGCTTGCCCAAACCCATGTAAGATTGGGGGTGTCTGCGCTTTCGAGATTCGGTAATAAAGTAGGATTCAAAATATTGAATATCCGGCACCAAAGGAGAAAGTTTCGGAGAATCACGGCCGAGATCTGCATGAAAGTTGGTTTTGTGAAGGCATCTAGGCGGCCGAAAGAATCCTCGGCCCTTATACCTGCATGATAGGAAAATGCTGCTGCAGAAGAGCTGTTGTGTCTCCGCACAGGCTGAAGCGAAGCATCTCCCAATCAAGCTATCTCACGCGCCTCAAAGATCTGAAAGAAGATCAATTGATGGGGACACCATCCGAGGGATGATGGCAAAGGACCACCAATCAGTCAGAATTCGGGCTGTCATCAGCTCCTCCCGCCTCCTGAGACCTTGAAGGATTTACGGGGCATCACTAATGATACCGAGACTTCTAGAAGCTGCTGGTAATGTTAGGTCCCAAATCATTTCATCGTCATCAACGGGCGATTGATCACTTCTGCAGGCCTCCGTCTGAAGAAGCCTACACTACGGAAGAGGCAGGGGGTGAGTGGGGTTGGGGGCTGGGCGCTGGGGGCTGGGCGCAACCAAACAGGGCAGTGCCATACAACGTCCAAATCTGATGGGCCCATATTACCCCAGCGCACGTCGCGAAGGGCGGGACAGGCGGGAAGGAGCCATGCGATGAAATCGGAGTGAGCTAGAAACTCAGAGCAGGATTAGAAACTTGGAAGCTTGATTTTCCAACCTGGCTCGCTGAGTCACCCGGACTTGATGCTCTCTCTCGTGATCGGTTGGTGCCTTCCGTCTTCCCCGCGCACGCGATGACCACAGATCCAGAACACCACGGAAGGGACCGTCTTCAAGAGATTGATGGACCATCCTATGCGTCATCCCTTCTAAGGCTAGAAACTCCGTGACATATGTGCGTGTGCATGGTTTTCGGCCTGCACGTGTCAAAGCCGTGGCCAACAGCCTCTCGCTTCTTTGCGAGGTATTAGATGGACGGGTGGGTGGCTGATGAGGAAATAGGGCACTGCTGAGCCCTCCTTGCCGCTGCGCCAAGTTGGCTAGACCTAGATCCCGTTCTCATAGGACAGCGCATTCAGGGCCAGGTTGAGGCAAGAACCTGCCACCCCTTCGATACGCACACCCTTGCCTACATCCGGCCGAAAAATGAGTCCATTTCCCCCTCTTCGCCAACAAAAGACAACTCTTTGTTGTTGCTGAACAAGCAAGCGGAACGGACAAGGAAAAGAAAACAATGTTCCTTTGGCACCCTGGGTTCCTCCTTATAGGCAACAGACTGCATTCACTGGACAAAAGGGAATTCGAAGCGCAGGCAAAGAGCCGGGGTTTTATTAATACTCTCGCTTTCTTTTCCCATTTTCTCATTTGGCTTGCAGGATGACACTGCCTGATCCCCGCGGTATTGCTCCGGTGACTGCCCAGCACCCATACATCAATACAAAACCCGCATTCATCCTCGCGTCCTCCCGAGGCATTTCTAGGTAGAATCCTCGACTCATATCCCTTCCTATTGTGACGCCCTCCCGTCGAGCGCTGGGCGCACTTTGTCTCCTAGACCCTGAAGCCGTTCCAGCAACTTCTTCCTCCTATCGTCATTCTTCTTTTTCTCTTTACTAGGCCGCGCGAGGAGGGCGCCGCTTTCAACGACTTCCTACCTCCCCCGAGTACGCGAGAGTGGGGTCAATGTCAGATTTAGGAGGATGGCGTTCCAAACACCAAACCCCAACCCATATTACGGCGACAAACTGTTTAGAAACGATCGAACGCCAAACGACGTGCTAGACGCCCTTCTCAGGGCGTTGGCGCAATATATAGTATGTGACCCTGAGTCTTCGCTTCGGTGTCTGCTGGGCCGGTAACAGGCATGGCGAGGTGAGGTTGGTTTTGGGGAAGAGAATTTTCAATTAACTCGACGTTCCTCTCCTTTTATAGGCCAACGAGATAGACGATAAATCGGACACCGCTCTGACTCCCCGCAAGTTAGCAGCCTACTACCGCGCCGCGGGTGGTAATCAGGATGGTATGTTTTGTACCCGATCGCTCGACTCGCCACACGACTGAGAACGCCAGCAGCCATGCTAACACACTGGATCCACCCATCTTCTAGGCTTCTTTCTTGAGAAACCAAACAATGCGATATCTTACACCTTTACCATGGCAGGTTGCCAGCACACCTTGCAACCCGTACCGAACGATGACTTTCAGCCCCCTTGCATACCAGCGCTGACTATATCTGGCTTTGTGCGATGGCAGTGCTACCAGTTGTTGCTCGCACCCTCTCTCCATGTCCCAGTTATCCAGTACGCGGTCGATAACTGGGGTTTAAAACATCCCAGAACCGGAGAACCCTTTCCCGCGCCGCTGCCTGCAATGGCCTTCCCAACCGAGCCGGATGAGCTAACAAAGAAGTGGTTCGAGGACAAGTCTGAGAACCTGCGACGCCAACATGCACTGATGGAAGCGGCATCCGAGCCGCGCCCTAGGGATGGCCCGGAGCGGAAGCCTGAGCCAGTCCCAGAGCCCAGGATGAAGACAAAGTCGGCAAGCTCTTCGGGCGCATCCCGGTCCTCTCCGAGACAGACAAGGCACGCGCACGTCAGCAGTGAGGACTCCTCGGATGAAGGTGAACCCATCAGGGGCAGGAGGAGTGAACGATCCCGTGGTGCGGGTGGTGTGAATTATGTTCGCCCGGCCCAGCGACGGCAACCCGAGCCGCTCTTCTCACAACCCGGATTTGAAGACAACCGCACCCCTCGCGGACGCCAGAGCCATTCAAACCCGGCTTCGCCATTAGGTCGCAGGCCTGGCGACAACACGAGGTATAGGCCTCCCACGAAGAAACTGAGCCAGCCAAAGATGAACCCAATCATCCATTCATCCGACACCGAGTCATCGAGCCCAAAACCTCGTTCAAGGGCTGCCGTGGGGAGCGACCCTGCGCTCCATAAACTGCCAATGAGGTCATCTGTGCGCCATGTTCAACCTGGCTACGCATCGCCTCGCCGTGGCTACTCCCCCAATACAAATCTCCGGCCTCCGCCCGAACGGCACGATGACAGACGGAAGAGCTTCCCTTTGAGGGCGTCAAGGATAAGTTGATGAATACAGTATCACATATATTATCAGGAAATCCGGACAGACCTCGTAGCACGTCGCGGACCGCTTCTCATGGGTCGCTCAGCAACGGCAACCACGGTACTAATAATACCTATCGCTCGCGGGGTGACGATTACGTACCCCGGCATGATCGGTTCGCCTCTGATACGGACGATTCGGACGGGGCTCCTCTGACCGAGCCCGCCGCCAGCAGAGACCACGAGCATGGGATAAGGAACGGGAGAGGAGCAGACAGATGGGACCGCCCCCAAGAAAGAGAGACACGATAGAGAGAGGGAAAGAGATAGGGATATTCTCCGGGAGCGGGGAGATAGCCTAAGAGAGCGGGATGGGCAACGAGATCGAGGGGAGAGTTTGAGGGAAAGAGACAGGGACAGGGATAGAGACAGGGAGCGAGAGAGAGAGCGGGGTCTCCCCTATGAAGAGTGGCCGCCACGCCCGCTCCCGCGCCGAGCAAGCCCATACCGACATCATGTCGAAGTTGAACGAAAACGAGTGCCGGACAACTGGATGGACGTCGGAGATGCGGAAGAGCCGATTCGCCAACAATCTACGAGACGGCGGAGAGATGGGCATGCACCACCATACCGCAGCGGTCGGGAATAGAAAACACCAGGGGAAGGATTTATGCATTTGATGTGTCCCCGTCATTATGGGGACTGCATCAATATCTTTTTTCTCATCTCGTCATCATTTTCCCCCTTTATTTCCTTTTCCTCTTTGTTGCTGTTACTTCCCGGCCTGTTTTTATATGCATATCACCAGCGGTCATGTGTTACGACTTGAAGATAAATGGGATTGACGACTCTTATCAAATATGATGGTTATGGCAAGGGGAAGGAATTAACAGTCCTTTGACTGACCAGTTGTCTCGGACACAAAATCGCGAATCCGGGATGGTTTTATCGAGAAACAGTATCTAGCGTCTGATGTTTCAAGTATTGTTTGCTAAAGTGCTTGGTATATATCCCGACCTATCGGGGTTTGTTGAAAGGGGGCTGCGGAAACTCTCTTTTCACGAGAACCCATGTATCTATAAATGCAGCGTCGACCCAAATAAGCTAGCCTCGCCCCGAATCAGCAAGTCGGTGCAGACTGTTTTTATTCGATCTCTGATGCACCAGAGGCGGGACTAGTTGACACTATCTATTTGCTCAATGTGGACGGACTTGCGGCGGGAGACAGTATCGGCGGTTTGTGCACGGAGACAAACGCCTTTGTTGGCCACCGGTGCCGGAGCAGCGGGCTCGCTTAAGAGACTATCGCCGTCACCACCGACGAGCACGGCTGGCCGTATGTATGTATACATTTTCAAGTGAGGCACCAAATAAAGCGAATCCACGATTGTCCTAGGGTAACAGAGAATCTGGGCCGCCGAAACTCTCGCTTTACACAGTGACTGAAGGTAGAGGGTAGGGCTCGGTGAGATGAGGATAGGAGAAGAAACAAAAAGAAAAGAAAATTGCGGCATCATTACGTCGCCAAATCATGTTCGGTTTCGAGTGACCGAAGTGATCGCTCGTGTGAGGCGGGAAGAGGAAACAAGTCCCTGGCTCTGGTCTGGTGCATCTGGGCATTCGACAGAGGGATCTTGTCTCGCATCTTTTCGGCTATTCTTGATTGTTTCTTCACCACACCACCTTTCTTCTAAGCACCCTCTCCGTCTTTCTTATTTTCTTTTTCATTTTTCCCCCGGTAGTCAGAAGCATCGAAACTCGAAACGGGTTTGTGTGAGGCTTTCTACTAAGATGAGGAATGAACGTAACTTGACCCATGTGCTGCACGAGCATCCAATAGTGCCAAACAGTACGTGAACACGACGACCAACAGCATATATTTCTCAGCCCTCGGGGCGGAATGAGGAGGAGGAGGAACAGGAAAACAGAAAAAGAAACAGAAAATGGCCACGGCACGGATGTGCGCCCCTGTGCGGTGGCGACGCGATGCGGATCTCGCTCGAATGTTGCAGATCTGGGAGAATTGCCAGAATTTCGGAAAGGTCCCTAGCGATGCCCAACCTGCGGTACACCGATATAGTATGTGCGTGAATAAAAACAAGACCGTCTGGCCTCACCTCTTATTCATACGTCCGAACCCTTCCGTGCCCTGTTGCATCATCATCAGGCGGGAGGGAGGAAGGGTTTCTTATTGTTCGGTGGGCTCAAGTGACCCCGGGCTTCCTCCGCCAGACGACAAGGATACCTAGCTTGGCATGTGTTATGGGCTGGCATCGACTGGCGTAGGACGGCATGGGATGGCATGGTAAGACGGGGTGGGCAGACAGGCAGGTAGGCTGGCAGGGCATATCCCATGACAGCGTAGTGGAGTCTTGGGCCGCATGATACTACTACCCTGGCACCGAATATATCTAGGCGGGGCCTGACCGCTCGTTATCTCTGCCAGAGGCCGTTGACAGTCAGGCAACTTTGGCCCATGATTCGGGCCTAGTTAGCCTTAGGACGAAGAATGACAACATCTGCGGAATGATTTCTGCACTGGCAGTCTGCTCCCCAAGCCCCGAACCACTCTCCCGCGGACTATTGTGAAGAATGCGGGATGTGTTGGTGAGAGGTGAGCCACGCTTCCTTCCTCCTCCCCACCCTCCAAATAAGCACAGCGAAGAAAAAGAAAGAAAGAAAGAAAGGAAGGAAGGGAAATGGTGGGTCGGTGTGTGTGTTGGTCCTCTTCATCGATAAGAGCTTGCCTAGTCGGCCACTATTATTTTATGGTTCTACAGACCGTGGTGCGAGTTTCCTATCACTCAGCTCGAGGCCAAACGGCAGGGTTGGAGCTGGAGAATGAGGCTTCGTAGAAATATGGGCGACGAGGGCGATATGGTTGGCGAAGGGGAGAGGGGGAGGTGTGCGCATGTTATCTGTGGGCGAGAGCTTCTCCTGCCCTGCTTCCTTGATCGCTGTCCTGCTGCTTGTTTCTAAACTCTACACGTGAAATGGACAACATGAAGGACAAGCAAAACCCTGCGAATGGGGAGTATGGCCATCAAGAGGATTGGGCTTTGCTCACCAACTTACCTAGGATCCATGAATGGATTTGATGAATCCTTCATATTGTGTTTGCTACCGGCCGCCTTTTTCCTTCTTTCAAGTTTCCGCCTTCCCAAGGAACGTTCGGTTCCGAGTTCAGCGCACGAGCATCAACGGGGGAACACACACTCTGCGGTTATTTTTTTACGTCGTTTTTATCAAGAGGGTGGTGTGTGGTGGTGGGGTGGCGGGGAAGGCCACCCGCTCAAGTGTGCCCAGTGTGCCCTCGCGAGCCCACCAGCCATCTGCCATCTGTGGTCTTCTCGGAAGAGAATGGGCGGGGGGAAGATGGGCGAGCCAGTTTCCACCTGTTGAGTGAGCTCAATATTATCGTCGAGCCGTGGGCGCATTTTGGATGATGCAATTGGCAATCGGGGTCTGGCAGGTTTACCTGCATGTCGACGATACCGCTACGTATTTGGTCCACGTCCCACGGCCGTATCTCTGGATCGCCAGCAATCCCCCATCAAACCTCGACCTTGTCGTGTCAGCTGGGCTGGGCCAACCGCTCTTGGACAGATATTAACCCCCCCATCTCCTACCCTTCCCCAAGCGAGTGGCCCCAGCCCTCATCCTGGCGTTGCATGCATGTTCGGCTGTTGACTTGGGGTCACTCAATTAAAACCAAAAATAAAACCCAAAAAACATCAAGATAATAGCAGCCAGCTGCATTTGGAAGGGAGAAGCCTCGATCTTTTGAAGAGAACACTGCCCAGAGGCATTTCTCTGCCCCTCAAGAGAAGAGGAGCGAGGCCAGGTGCGTCGTTATCTTGCTTTTCCTGTTACATGATCAACTCCATCTTGGTCTGGAGGGCCGAATCAGGGTGAAGGGTATTTGCTTGATCCTGTGAGACGAAACCTCCATTGATCTCTGAGTGGAGACTGACTGGACCCCCTCCCAGCGCCAGCCTCAGAGCTGACCGGGTCAAATGTTAATATTACAAACCCCCAAAGAGCACGAGGTCACGATTGGTATTACCCAGTCGCAGCTGGCGGTCGACCCGTTTTTTATCGAGGGCCTTTGTTGGCCTCCACAAACGCTCACGCGCGTAGGTTCAGTCATCCACATCCACCATGCTGCCCGAATGCGCCAGCATGCCGGGGTCGCAAGGCTCGCCCTCGATCGTGATTGGAGAAGACGCCGCAGAACTCCAGAGCTCCGCAAGGGCTAGCGTCCCTGGTTCATGTGTTTCTCGCAATCCCGCATCGTCTCCTCTTCTCTCTCTCCCACTTCCATTTCCATCAACACTCCCATCGTTTTTTTCTTTGTGCTGTGCACGCCCTCTTGGATGGCTGCGAGTGGTCGAGTGGGCGAGGGGGACTGAGGAGTGCCAGCTTCCCACGACCCAAACTCTGCCTCCCCAGGGAATGCCACAACGCACATCATTGGGCGGGGGTCTCTCCTTGCATGCTTGCATGGACCATGTCTCGACCCGCCCATGTCGTCGAATCCGAAAGATCTGGATGTAGTCTCAACTGTTTCCTCCCTCCCCCCCTTTTTTTCTTCTTCTTTCGTTTCGTTCACACACACCACCGTCCCTCATCGTCAGCCACTGCATTGGCAGGCTGGCTCCGAGTGGCCAGCCCAGCCAGCGCTTTTGGCGAGTAACGGCGTGGCCACGCACCCTCTTTAACCCACATCGATAGATGTTGATTCGGGCCAGCCACGGTCAACATGTTTTGGCAACGCAAGACGATCCAACCAAACTGAACCACAAACCTTTCTCAAGGACCCAACAAACCTTTCTTTCCCTTCCCCCTTTCGTTTTTCCCCCTCCTCACCTCGATTCTTCCCCCTTCCCCCTTCTTTCCCTGCTCCCGACTTGCTGCATCGTTGCTGCAGCCGGGTTGCGCTTGCACCACCTAGACGCATTTAGACCGGCACACCTTGACCCGGGACTCGCAATTGTCTGTGGGTGGGCGAAAAGGAGGGATGCAGAGAAACTCAGTCGAGAGAGGCAACAGGAAGCGTAGTAAAGGTTCTGAGGCAGTGAGTGAGCGATGGCGATCTCGAATGATTGCTTTTTGCCTCGAATAGTTTAGTTGTACATGTCCTTCGTGATGCCCACCAAGCTTTGGCTTTTGTCGCAAGAAAGACCCGCCTTGACATTTCGCACATCTTGAAAGCATGGCCAACGCCTAGCTGCCTGCCTCCGCCCAGCTGAGACCGGGCCTCATTCATAGCAACATATAATCCTCCTGGCTGCCTCTGCCTGGCGCGTAGCTCTGCCTCCTTGGTCTCCGTTCCTCCCGATCCCCCACCCTCCTGACTTCCACACCTCCCTTGTCGTGACGGTCACCACTTCGACATACGCATACCTTAGCCCAAGGCACCGTGCTTCCCTTCCTTGCCGCCTCACATCTCACATCCATCGCCTCCACATCCAGATCCGGAGTGCACCACTTGGTTACGCCGTCTGCCTGGCTGCTTGGAAGTACAGTACAGTACTTTCGGGTCCGGTTCTCTCTAGCTCCTTCCATCTGCTTCCTGGTCTCACCCGTCGTCCGGAAAGTACAAGTATTTTACATCACCACCCTGTGACGGTTCTGGTCTGATCTTTCCCCCGGTTCTCTCCCCTTGGTTTTTATTCCACCTTCGCCCACCTTCGCCCACCTTTCGCCCACCGATCTCTTTCCGCCTCCCATCCTTGCGCTCCGACGTTTTCTCCCGCACCTTGGACTGTTGGGTTTTTCCTTTTCAACTATCAATATCTTCGGTTTTGCAGCCTTCGTTCGTAATCGAGCCTCCCGGACCTTGCTCTCCCTCGGCGGCTTCCTTTGTTGCGAATAACCCCACTTAAACGTCCGGCCACAACTCGCACCTTCGACTCGTAGCAAACTCTCACCCCACTTGCTCCCGAGCTCTCTTTGTCTGCCTCCCCGCCCTTGATCCCTATTCAAGGCTAGCACTTGTGACAACCGCCGAACGAACGAGCCACCCCCTCGCTCCCAAGCGCCGACATTCCAACGGCTTCCATTACCGTAAACCCTTTTGGACTGGGCTTGTCCGTCAGATGCGAAGACGTGCTAAAGTCCTTGCTAAAATTGGAGAAAGCCCAAGTCCTGACCGACCCTGCATTCACATGCGTTTGCCTCCGAATCTCGTCTGGAGTTGAGCGAGCGCCTTCTTAAAAGCCCCCACCTTCCCCCTGGCTTCTCTGTTCTTCTTCTTCTCTTTCTTCTTCCTTTTTTTCTTCTTTCTTTCTTCCTCTTTCTACATCGCCTATTTAGACTACACTAAAATCCGAATTCACGCGCACCCGACGACCCAAGATCAAGATGAAGGGCAGGCCCGTCGACGAGATCGTGTACGAGTACATGTTTCCCAAACCGCGGCCAACCGATCCGCCCAACTTTAGTGCTCTTCTGCAACGGAGTTTGATCTTGGAGGTCAGGCAGGAGGTTCATTCATTTTACGGTCACCTAGATACTGCGGAGGCCAAGTATCCCGGGCTCGACTACTGCCATCCGATCCATCGTCTCCGCCTAAGCCGATGGCCATGGCACAGGCGCCTTTTCCGCGCCTTTAATGCTCTCAGACTCACCCCCTTCGAGATTGGCAACCTGACAAAGTGGGAAGGCACCAAGTGGGCGAAAGAGAGATATGAGCGGGAACAGGGCTGCCCCATCCGCGACACAACCGCCGACGGTTTCCCCGACTGGGTGGAGCTGGAAGACCGATTGCCACCGTTGACCCCGACGATCGAGGAAGCGCCATCGGTGCTGTCCAGCGAAATCGAGGAGGAGGAGATGAATGCGACTTCGGGCGAAACAGACGACGTTGAGTACGACGAGAGCGACGAGACGATAGAAAGCGTAGGCCCGGTTCTAAACGAACGACTGCGGGAGCGCATCGCTCGTCGAGAAGCCGGTGACACCTCCACCGTGCTCGACGAGGAGTGGGAGCAATGGCTGAAGAATGCACTCGAGTCTGGCGAGCTGCCCGACTTGGCCGATGCGATTTTGCGAGGCAGCTCGACCACTGTCGATATCCCCCAAACGTGTCGGTCTTCCCGCCGAGTATGCTGGAGGCCGCGAGGGCTGGGCACTGGCACGAGATACCCGAATTCCTGCACCCGATGCTCAGAGGGGCTTGTCCAGGGGCCTCAGCCTGAACAACGGCGGTCAAAGCCCGACGAGTACAACGGTGCCCGGCGTCGCCGAATCAGCGCCGAGACAAATCCCAACCCTGCAATCGCCGGCCTCTAATTCGATCCACCACCAAAGGCCATTTCACCCCCGACATAATTATCGAAGTTATTCGGACTTGCGATTGCCTAGCTCCAACCCCTCCATCGCACAGCAGAGGCCCGTGGGTCCTAAAGCGAATAATGGCAGCCAGTCCTTTTTGCTTTCACCGTCTCTTCCGTTCTCTTCACGCTCTTCACCAGTGCTCTCTCTCTTTTCTTTTCCCTCTCTTATTTTTTTATTTATACACCAGCCAGCTGGCATAAATTAACTGCCTGCACGGGCGATGACGCCTTTTTCGCATGCCAGGCTGACGGGCACCTCCCCCATTGGAACCAGCAACTCTTGACCGAGTCAACCTCCCCGCCAACGAGCACAACTCGCTGACCCTCGGTCCCTCCCTCGAGCAGCTCGCTTGCCATCCATTGATGTTTATTCTTTGGTACTCACCCAACATATGCCCTCACACACAGCTCATCCGGTATTGCGCTGCATTGTCTAAGCGAAATCACATGGGAGCTTTGCTCTCTTTAGTAATAAAAGATAGATGACGACACACACATTTCCCTCCACACGACGAACACTCCCAGGTTTTCCCCTCGTTTCCTTATCCCAGCAGTCAGGTCATTTGCATCTGGACTTGGGGCCCCGGGCCCTCCCCTTATTTAGCACTATATCTTCTGGCAAAGATTAAAATGAACCATGCATCTTGTTTTTGTGTTTTGGCAAATAAATATACAACCAACGCTCAACCATTTTACTACTTGTGCCTACGGGCTACCTCTTGTTGTCTTCCTGTGCTCTCCCTTTTGCGTCCCATGATTTGTGACATGGTTAACCGAGGGCGGGTCGGAGGCGGAGTAATCCATCGCGCAGCTCAGCTGGATCTGGTGGTTGGATCGGGGAGGGGGAAGGAGTGGAATTTGGGGGTTTCTCACTCGAACATACTCTAAATCGAGGCCAACTGGTTGGTGTTGCTAATTTCGACAACCGCCCCGCCCCGCCATCTTACGATTTCCAATATTCCGCAGGGCTGGGGGCTGGAAAATCGCAAGCGACCATTTCCGCCCGGGATTTTTCCCAGCGAGGTTCACGTCATCTAGTGTCATGATTGCTTCGTAGTATCTAGGAGATGCTGTTTGTTGTAGCAGGAAAATCTTGGAATGAGAGGGTACGCGGTCATTGCTTGTTAGTAGTTTACAAAACATGATGGCTGCGCGAGAGAAGAAAAGAGTACATGTATTTGGTGAGACGGGAAAAAAAAAAGAGATATGGGAGCTTCTCTAGACTCCACAACACTTGACCGACACCTCATTCCACACCTTCCGTATGTGCCGTAAACGCCTGTGCCAAGTGGACTATACTGGACCCTGTTTTCCTCCCATGAAACCTGATACCGAACGCCGGGGAATAGACGAGAAGAGGAAGAGGAAAGACTCGGGGCTTGCTGGGGGAAAGTTTAGGGTCGTACAACTGTGAAGAGGGGGTAGGCCCAACGCCTCTTGAATGATCATAGCCAAAACAGGATAAAAATGAAAAGGGTTGTGGCCTTCTCTTGTCAATTTAGACAACGCGATCAGTCTAATACGACTCGAGGTGAGACCATTCGGGGACGGCCTTGATCTGCTGCCACATGTATTTCTCGAGTTTATTCGCCGATTTAGCATATGGCGTGCTCTCGTTGTTGTATTGACGGCAGTTGTCGAAAACGAGTTTGGCGTCCTTGACGAAATCTTCGGGGGTGCCGTACTGGTCGGCCTCGAGCTTGCTCTCCATGGTGCTGAGGTCCATGGGCTCCTTGATGACGTCGTAGTAGTCGGCCACGTCGTCTTTGCTGACGGGGTGGAGGAAGGGCCACGCGGCTTGGTGATTCTGGAGGTCGTTGAGGAGGTGGAGGAGCTGGTTGTAGTTGGGGCCGTGGCGGGGTTGGCGCGCGAGCTCGTCCATGTCGGGGACCAGCCCGAGTTCTTGATGGCTTCGATGGAGAGCGGGTCGATGGAGGAGATGCCGCTCTTCCATACCTTGGGGGCTGGTGGACGATGTGGCTTTTGCTGTAGGCGCGAATCTTGGCCTGCACGCACTCCTTTTGTTTGAGCAGCATGCGGCCCATCTCGAGGTAGCGGATGCGCGGCAGCATGGAGCACTGCATAATGGTACCGCCCTCGTAGTCCTTGATGTAGCCCATCCACACGCTGCGGTCGAGCGTAATCTCCTTGGTAAAGCCCTGCTTCTTGAAGTAGCCAATCGCATAGTTGTCGGCGTAGGTCAAAAGTGCATCACGTCGGAGGTGGCCTTGACGTAGTCCTTGAGATGGGACATGAGGTGGGCGCCGTAGCCCTTGACCTGCTGGTCCGAGGAGATGGCGCAGAAGACGATTTCGGCAAATTGCCGGCCCTTGAAGGGGCGGTAGGTGATGCCTCCGACGACCTCCAAGGGCTTCTTGACGATGGCGATGGATAAATGGGTGCGGTCGTAGACGAGGCGCGCAATATAGTCCTTGGGCATCTTGGGGAGCTGCTTTTGGAAAATGCACTTGAGGCCCGTGAGGACGATGAGGCTTTCGCGGTCGCCGTCGTTGTTGACCACGCGAAATTCTATCTCGCCGGTACGCTCTTCGATCACGGCCGGCTATTGGGAAAGAAGGGTTAGCCATGCAACATTTTTGTCGGGGAAAGGGCCCCCTTTCCCCCGTGCTCGTTGGTTCTTTTGCGCGTCGAAACGGGTGGTGCGCGCGAGCCGCGAAGGGAGGGAGGTGAGAGAGGTGGGGGAGGTTTGTGTTTTCGAGGATGACGCACCTTTTCGGGGAAAGGAATCGGTTTCAGGGCTGGCTTCTTCTCGGGTTCGACCGATTCGCTGTGCTTCACGCGCTTCGCAGCCGACGGGGAGGAGGGCTCCTCGGTCGCTTTCCGTTTGGTGCCTAGTAGAATGATGTCAGTTTGCGATTATATATGGGGCGAAAGGGCGAAAGCTTCAAGTTTCGCGACCACGGGGGACGAAGCACAGGGCGCAAAAAAAAAGCGCCCCCTTCACGGCTGGCGAGGGGAAGAAAGAAACGAACCATCTTCTTTGCTTGTCGTTGACATCTTGGCTCCCCCGGTTTGCAGTCGGGCGCTTTGGATGGGGAAGGAACTCTCAAAAGGGAGGGGGTTTCTTCGAAATCGCTAGAAATCACGAACCAACGCGGCTGGTTCCGTCAAGAGGTTCAGGACAAGGACACGCAGATATGGTCCGTGCACTGGCGTCTATCGAGATCACTGCAGTCTTTCAGAACTCCCGACTTGCCTGGGCCGTCCTGAGATGGATCACGTGAAAGGTGGTGCCTTCAATTCTGTGGGTCCTGCTGCATCAGCTCTGAGCTAAGCCGCATTCGGAATGGACACGTTCTGGAGCTCCTCCAGATAATACGATCCCATACCTGTCGTCAAGGCTCAATCAAGACAGCATTCTCGTCGCCTCGCCCTTCTCCAACCTCTTGCAGAGAAATCTAGTCGCTCCACGGTCGAAGAATAACAACACTGCAGTGCCCTGCAAAAAACGAGCGACCCTTAGGACCCCTTCTTTTTACGTGTCGTCGCTCTCTGCTCGACACATCGAAACACATGGACTCTACTCTGGTTGAGGTCTGGCAAGCCGCGCAAGGCAGCCCGTTCTTTCCTGCCGTCGGCAAGGATAGCCAGTTCCTCATCGCCATCGTTCTTCTGCTTACCGGACTTGTGGGGTTCGGAACCTTTACGTTGAGTATGTTGTGCCATTGGCATACTGGTGCCCAGCGCCCTTTTTCTTTTGGTCCACATGGAAGCTAACCTCAACGAACAGAGCGGTCCTTTGCCAACATTCCCATTCTCGGAGTCCCGTCATCTCTTGCGATCGCGTACGTCTTTCATCCTCAATTGCGAATCCGTTGCTTTCCCCTATAAATTGGCTAACTTCCTGGCAGTTTCGGAGTGGTATACATGTTCTGCGCCGCCGGTGTTTACGTATAGAGAAATCCGAGCGAGATACCCTTGTCCCCCTTGGTTTTAAAGGGAACATTTCCTTGCGAGTTTCGGCGTTGTATTATTAGAACACTTTCAAAAGACGAATCGGGTTTTTCTTTTGTTCATTTTCGTTATTGAGTTGATTTTCTTCGTTCACGACTTTGGACTCCCTGGACCGCTGGGACCAGCACTAAAGCTCCTCGCTACATTCGTGGAATCGGCACCCGTGACCTTACCTTCCTCTCTACACCCCCGACGACTTTCACAATGTCAACTCCACGCCTTCCAACCCGGCCGATTCTTCGGGCAATTACAAGCTCTACGCGGCCTCTCTATCAAATTCTGCGGTGCATCAACTTCTCCAACAAAGTTCACGTCGAGATCTCAGAGGGCGGCATACGGTTTGCGGCGGACAATGCCAGAGTCATGCAGGGTAGGAAATCAGCCCTTCTTCTACCAACCTTGATTGGATAATAATGTTCATTTTCCTTTTTCTTGTTTAGGCTCTGCCGTGATAGACAAGTCGCTTTTCAGCTCGTACGTGTTCCAACAGGCAAGCAGTGATGAGAATGACGATGAGGATGAGGGCCAGCCCCCTCCCCTTCCATCATTCCAGATCAACCTAGGATTTCTTCTCGAGACACTTCAAATCTTGGGCTCGATGGATGTTGCCAGGAAATCAGAGCCAGAACGAGGTACTGTCTCGTCATACAACAGAAGTGGAGCGGCGCCATTCAGCGACCGGGCTTTGGGGTTGCCGGGGACTTGCACGCTCACATATATGGAAGAGGGCGCACCGCTTAGCATTACCATTGAAGAGTCGGGTGTCAAAACCACGGCCAACTTGGTCACTTACCTTCCGGAGATACCTGAGGAAATCCCTTTCGACCGTAGCGACCTAGCGTTCAAAATCATCATGCAGCCCCGGTCACTCCTCGACGCTCTAGCGGACCTCGCTACTATGGCACCAGAGAAGCTTTTGATTGATGTGTCGGACTCGTCACCATTCCTCACACTTTCGACCAAGGGAGGCGACTATGGGAGTTCTAGCTACGACTTTTCCAAGGGAAGGCATCTTTTAGAAACGCACGTTGTCCATGAGCACTGGATACAGTCTTTCAAGTATGATTTTATCAAGGCAGCCAGCGAGGCTATGCGTATTGGCAACAAAGTGAGCTTCCGAGGGGACCGGCAAGGCGTCCTTAGCCTGCAGTTCATGGTCGAGGTGGAAGGTGCGGGTTCTAGTTTTCTCGACTTCAAGTTTGTGCCATTCACTGGTTATGATGGGGAAGACGAGGAAGACGGCGGCGAGGATTCGGGCCTATATGACTAGAATAGGTTCGTCGGGTTTGGAAGAGAGAGCAAGAGAAGGGGGAGGAAAAAGAAAAGAAGAGAAAAAGAAAGGCGAAAAAGGAAAATATAGCACGAGTCCATCCCGCTTGTCCAGATTTGATCTTTTCTGAAGTTCGTTCCGCCTGTGAAGTCCCGCCTTTGGCTCTGCGCAACATCGAGGAGAGAAGGAAGTAATTATGGTGTCTCGAAGCACAGTCCTCGATAGGTCTATAGGTGCGTCGCTACCATCAAGGCAGCACCGGGCGGGGCGATAGATTCTCTCATCCTCGACAGTCCTTGCTTTTTCCGTAGCATTTGGCCGCAACACGCGGAATATCGAATGCCACTACTGATAAGATGTGCATATTCTGCGGGCGTCCCGTGCCGCTAGGCACAGCAGCGAGCAGCCTCGAGGACCTGAGCCGCGGCCCCTAGTAGATGAAATGTTTCGGCCGTTGCGCGGAATGGGCGGTGCCTTGGACGTGATCGACGACGAAATCAAGAGAGCTCGGCCAAGACAGCCTTGCATCTATGCCGTACAAGCCCATCGAGCGCGCGTGCTTTCCTTTTGCTCCCCTTCTTTTTTCCTTCTCTTTTTCCTTCTCGCGCGCTTTGCTTCTTTGACCCCTCGACGGTTTTTTCCTCCCTCCCTCCCCACGTACCCTCGATCTAGGCACCCGGCCCGAATCGAGGACAGAACCTCCGAGTCCTCCCCAGAGGAGAAAAAAACAAACGATGGGACTTATTGCCGCTCAACCCCAGTCCCACATGTTTCTCTCCTCGTGTACCGAGGTATTAGGGGTGGAGAAAGGAGGACAAAGGACCTCAAGAGGTCTAAGGACCGATTCCCGGGCATCTTGCCAAGCGACAGGCAACGGTCGGCCAGGTCAGACGGCCGAGAGCCGACGGATTCACGCGTGAGGGCTCGGAGGCGGTGATGGTGCCAGTGGCCTAGCCCACACAATGTCTCGAAGCCTCGACTCACCATAATATTCGGGGGCGCCGTGACGTGTTAGTCTCAGAAGGGGGATGAGGGTTGGGAAACAACTCAACTCTTCCAAGGGGGTCTAAAATGGGCGGCAGTCCCCTTTGGAAAAGCTTTTTTCGTTGCCCGTTCCCCCAACCCCTAGTCTTCCTACCACCACGCGGGCACTCTCTCTCTCTCTGCCTCCAATCCTCAAGTCGAACACTACGCATCACACCTCTCAAGAAATCTAGGCTCAGCCCTACCCCCGACACCATGGCGGCAGACTCCTCCACCCGATCCCGCTCATGCTTGCCCCTCGGAGACTTTGCCTACTGGGTGGGCACCTTATTCTACAGCAGATCATGGTCCACGATGGCCGACACGCCGTGGCCGCAGCCGACGGAGAAGAGCCAGCAAATTGTCGTGGTTAGACCATGGACGATGGAGGAGCGCAAGAGAAGAGCGGCGTATATTCCGGTTCACGCGAAGGCCTCCTTCCTCAAGACGGCTACTCCTCGCAGACTGCGTGAGCTGAACGCCATAATTGTCTGAGCCCCGGTCGCGATGGAGAGAGAAACCGTTATGACAAACTCGCTGCTTTTCTTTCCTTCTTCTTCTTTCCTGAGCCGTCTTGGCTTGGATTGCACATTGGTGCGAGCATCTGAAACTTCAGAATAATGGCCATAGCTCGGTACCCGACGATGCGCAGGAAGAAGACGGACGGAGGTGGCTATCGGCGGTGCGCATATCGCGCGAAACGACACAGCCGGAAGAACGCCGGCGCCCTTCCCAGGCACTCAAATCAACATCGCAAGGCAGTTTCAATGATGGCCATTTACACCGTTTGACAACTCCTTTACTCGGCCAGCACTAGAGATAGCGACACATGGGAACACGGCGGATCACAAAGCAGCTGCTCATGCTAGCAGTTCGGCTCGCGGAGGCAGGGTAGGTGTAGGCGGACTAAGATCTTGTGGTTTCCAAGGAGCAGCAACATAACACCCTGAGCCAAGGGATCCAAGCAAAGCCTCCATGATTCGCCGTGTGGCTTCAATGGGGGCCACACGTCATGAGGAAAGGGGGTTTCGCGAAATGGGCTCAGACGAATTGTCAGTTCTTGATAATGAAGAAAAAGAAGAAGAAGAACAGGTGGGAAAGGGGCGGGAAGAGATGAGCCGGGTGGCTTTTTCGTGAATCTGATTCGAGGCAGGGTCGGGGTCTAGCGAGGGGCGGATGGCAGCCTCCTCACGCGGCCGTCTGGGGCCGGAGGAATCCCGGTACATGCACCAGATGCACACCATTGTGGAAGGGGTGGAGGATAGGATGATGAGATCGGGATCTTGAACAAGGCACAGGGCACTCCATGGTCCAAGAAATGGTTTCTCTTGGGCTGGGCGGGAAGATCAGTCAGACGTTTATTATTTAGAATATCCCGAAACACGCTATTCTACGTTCCTTAATGTGCCTTTGTATCCTCAAGACCCTGACGGTAAAAAATAGAGTGCATCCATGGATCCTATTCCCGGTATGGCAATAATACTACTTGACTACTTGCTCATCAGCGTAAGCTGGTGACAAATTTAGCTATCGACCCACTGTTCGCGGACAGAATCTGAACCCGAGCCAGCAAGCATCGTCGATGATGCTACGCTGGGTCCCTCCAACCTCCAATAACATGTAGCGGGGAAGAGCTCTTTGAAACTTGTTTTGAGTGTTTGTCTACGTGTAATTTTAAGACTCACATGGTGGCCCGGTCTTGCAATCGACTTCGTAAGGCCGGATCGAGATGTGGTTGGCTCTTTGGGCCCCATCTAGAGGCACCAGGCTACGCCGGCGATCATCAGTGCTTGCAAGCCTGAAAAGAAACTTACTCGGTCGCGCTCGAGATTCGTCCAAGTGGAAGGCGATCGGCCTCTGGCGGGTGCAATACAACGCTGACAGTGTCCTGGTCTGGCGGGGCCGGAACTTGACGGCGCCGGGGGCGGCACAGCCCCTTCCAAGGTGAGTTTGCGCCTAATTCTGGCGCTGCGGCGCATAATCAATTTAATCGCCGTTGGCGAGAGGAAGAAACGAGGCGCAGACTGGAGAAGGGGGGACAGTCGGTTACTTGTTTTGCGCGTCGCATGGGGGCTAAAACATGAAGAAGAAAGAAGAAAAAAATGCACGAAGCGCTTCGAGTCGCGGAACGCAGGCATACCGGCCGCTCGAAACTGCGTGGGTTATGCCTCCTCGGAACATTTTCGATGGAGATATTCTTGGGCGTGGCGTACTTCGTACATGCCACTTGGTAGATCCCTGCAATAACACCTACTTCGTAGAATCCAAAATTGCACTCGCTAAAACACCCAAGGCTAGGAATGGGAGCCGCCCTGCGTCAGGGCTTACGCCGAGCAGCCTCGTTCGTCTAATTTCTTGCTTCGTAGACCTCGCGTTGAAGGACAGCCGAGGGAGGGATATGGACCGTTGGCTCAGGTCTTTTTTTTTTTTTTTTTCTTGCCTTTCCTCAAGCGTCCCTTGTTCTTAACAATTTAACTTGGTATGGCTTCTCCCTGTTAGCCCTCGTGTTTGGGGCGGGTAGTCCAGGGATCAGCAGCAGCTCACATGCGTTTGACGTTGGAACAAAAGACGGGTGCGGCTTCGGGGTCCCGGGTCCTTGGACGTACATGTAGGCAGTGAGAGAGCGCCCTGTCAAGATTGCTCTGGCACCGGTACACGGCCGGCCAAAAACGCAGCATCGATTGATGCATGGGCCCTCACTCACTTTTTTCAAAGGAACACAGAAGCTAGTAGCGGGACCGGCGGGTCGGCGAGGCACACGGACAACCGATGTACCGGCTGCGGATAGCCGACCACCCTAGAGCTCGTGAGACGCTCCTCCGAAGCACAAATGCCAGGCTACGAGGTGGCCCTCCTCTTGGGGTCCCGCATACATCCTCCAGAGGATGCCAAGGAAGATGATTGCACCGTTCCAAGATTGTGGTGTCGCGCCGGTCTTTCAAAAGTTGCACTGACTCTGATGGAAAAGGGGAGCGGCGGAAACGAGGGGATACTCAAATCGCAAGCAATAGCCAACATAGTGACGTTTGACATGTTTTAGACCTTTGGCAAATCGGGTTCCCGACGTTCTAGCCTCCACCCACCTCGACTCGTACAGACTAGCGTTTCCTAGCGTTTCCTCCTGAGCCCTTATGCGGTCCCCGTGACTTCTCCTCCTCAGTCGTACCCGGAGAGCCCAATGAAGCTCTTGCACCACCCGATAATACCTGCATCGTGCCGAAACACGGTGGCCTCGGCTCGCTTCTTGATTTTCAGTATTTGGTTAGACAGGCCCATGTTCTCGGCCATGCTATTCCACATCTTTTTGTTTTCTTCCTTTACGCATCGTATCCCCGTCATGCTCTCGTCAGCTGAGACGTCTGACGAGCTGTTGTTCTTTTTCCTCCTTTCGTAAAAAAGGTGCCAAGATTAGCGACATGATTTGCTTGGAATTTAAGGCCCTGTCTAGCGCGGTCTTTGGGGCAATGGAACGAAAAGGAACTCTTTCCGCCCTGGACGGGGATTTCCACGAGGCAGCAAGTGCCGAATCCTGGTTGGATACGAGGTCACCCGTCGCAAGTCTGCAAGCCTGTAAGCCCGCAAGCCCCGGATTTGCACGCTTCTTTGTTTCAGGGGGCAGGCACCTGTTTCCGGACGCCTTCACCAACCCTTTTCTAGGGGAGCGTTGCTAGATACGAAATTTTGAAGAGGACGCAAACGAGGGAGCTGAAGAAGCGGAAGATGGTGAAAAGAAAGAACGTATCGTAGAGGTTCCAGGCGGTGACTTTGGATGGAGACAACCCAAAATGCATCGGGGCCGGACTTTTGAAATAATGATGAACCGGGTGCTTACTTGCGCGCTGGGGTAAGCACTTTGACTCGCTCGTCCCATGATGTGCTCCTTGCCGACTGATGTTCTTCATCCTCAACCTGACCGAGAATCCTAGGCAATATCGTAATCAACGCATCCGCTTAATATCTTGGCAAAGGCCATTTGGCCTATGCCTTCATGAGGGGCCTAATCGTGTTCGTTTTCTTCTATCCCTTCTTGAGGCGAAGGCAAAATGTGGGAGATGAAGCCCCCAATAGTACAAGACAAGGATCCCCATTTTCGTTGGGCCTTGAGGAAAGAGATACCACATAGGTTCAACCACGGAAACTAATCGCGACCACGTCCAGTACGAAGAGCGAGGCGTTGCGTCGTGACCAACTTGTGGAAGAGACTGGAATGGGACTCGCATGAGAACGAAGGGCATCACGAATGAGATCACGTCGCCCGGATCGGTCCATCTTTCGGGCTGCATCTTGTTTCAATCCATGTACCCACAGACGCATGTACACCTGGCCCAAGAATAGCACGACCACCCCGCCAACCCGCCACTCCGCCTGTCACCCTTCAACGTCGCCCTTTGGCTGCATCTGGGCATCTGGACAGAGTAATACTAGAAGACTCGGATGTACTTTGTACCCGACTTGTGTGCTCCACTCCAGACGGCAGCGCGCAGTTCGCTGCCGCAGCAGTGCTGCGTTTAAAGTATTACTCCGTACGCGCTCGGGTAAAATCGTTTCTTTGATGGAAGAGGCTTTTGACTCAGCATCAGCGGCCACTGACGAAGCACGTACATCGGACAAAATAAAGAGGAGCGTGGGAAGTGAGAGGGGAGTTGGGAGGAACGGATGTTGCCTGGATGGGGAGAAGGGAGAAAGGAAAAGCGATGCAAACTTTGGAAAAGAACAAAGAAAACAATGGGAACAGAAGCGTACATGGATGGAACATTGAGCAATACAAAGATAGAATGACTGGGTGAGATGACGCAAAGTTTCAGGAAAGAAAAAAGAAAAACCAAATAGATCGCAAGATCCAACGCTGATCTTCCAGATCTCCCATCCGGGGTTGACTGTCACCCTACCATACAGCATACATCCTCTATGTACCAGGCAAAAAAGGTATGGCCCTGCACTGCCCAATGATACCAAGGGGCGCTTTGCGTCTTGTCAAGGGGGACGAAAAAAATACGATGGCGAAAGAGTCTAGAGAAAAGAAAAATGAGGAAGCCTGGGAAAGAAGGGAAACTGAGCACGAGGGACTAGGTATCAATTGACAATAACGCTGGACAAACAGGGAGGACGATGTTTAGAGGAGCCGGAAACCCGCGGTGCTACGGTGCGCCCGTCTTACCTCTCAGATGGCCAGGCCACTTTCTCCCTTTTGCCCCGCGATAGAAACATGGGTCTCTCTTTCCTGCCTCACTTCACCTTCCTTGCACGGGCATTTCGCAGCATCACCCCCTCGTCCCAACTCGAGCGCCAGATGGTCTAGCCTGCTTCCCCTCGCGAACGGTTGCGACTCGGCCGCGCGGGGAAAAGGGGCGTAAAAACAAAATGAGGAAAAGAAATTCGAGGAATTCAATCCATGGACTAATAGCGAAGCAATAGTGCTGAAAAAACTGACGATCGGGTATCGCTCTCTTTGCTTTTTTCTACCATGACTTGCCGCCTTGGGCGGTGTCTCGAAGTGTTTTTGTCAACCTTGTCTCCTTCCTTTTTTCCTTCGATAGATCGTCTCCGTTTTGTTTGGGGGCTTTGGCTGCGCTTTTGCTCGCTTACACCCTCTTGTTGGCCCCAATCTACGCCCCCTTTCCGCTCCCCTCCACCAAGAAGATAGACATCCCTTCGCCCCAACGCGACACTCGGAAAGCGCAGGCAAAGCCCAATTTTCCCGCTTCCTACCCGCGCGCCCGCCGTGCCTGTGCCCTGCCCTGCCGTACCAGATTTCCTTTTCCCTGAACCAGCCCCAGGGACGCAAGGGACTTGGAAGAAAGACCCCGAAAAAAAGGGTAGGAAGAAAGTAAAAAGATAAGAGAAAAAGAAAGAAAAAAAAAAGACTTGAATGTGGAAGCGACAAACTGGGAAGGCTCGGCCTGGGTTGGGAGTGAGTGGGTGTTGGGCAAGTGAGGGAAGGATCCATCCATGGATGGACATGGCTTCTATTTTGGCCGAGTTAGCGATCGATAGTAACACTCGACGCCACTTAACTCGTGCAACCTGTTGACTCAAAAATGGGTTACCCATTGTTCCCTGCTGCCGTGTACCTCAAGCGATGAATACATCATAGTGTGGAGGGTGGCCGTCGGGTTGGAGAAGAGGAACCCGCCCCCGACGTACGTAGCACAGATCGTGACTTATACACACCTCGATGCATGGGGCCCTCGTTATTTACTCTCCCGTCCGCCCCGTCCACTCATTCTCACATTCCCCGCCGGCCCTTACTTCTCGCTTGACTTGGATGCATATTGCCCAAATTCTCAACTTTACCCTTTTGCTCTTTTCCCCGATTTCCTCTTGCACCTTCTCATTTTACAACAAACCTCTCCAGCTCGCTACGTTACCTTTGTTGCCCCATCACCGGCATCATTGATCGATATACGCATCGACAGAATAGAAAACCAGCAAAGACGGTATCCACTCACCTATCGAAGAGGATTGAGAACTGAACAACAGGCCAACGACCTAGTAAACGCCAGAGTGGGAAATAAGCGCGCGCTGAAGGACGCCGTGGAAACCGACATTCGACAAAGAAAGAGAGCGACTCGCGCTTTCTTTCGTTGCACATTCCCCGCTCATACCAGACGCAAACCGACAACACTCGGACAACCACCACCAAAAACACTACGCTACCATACGCGATTAGGGAAAGAGCTTCCGTCTAATCAGTTTCTCAGTGGAGTTTGTACAACGACACGAGTAGGTGGTATGCTTTTACAGGGCTTGCTTGCGTAGGCAACACGTCTTGGCCTACTCAAGAACAACAAGGAGAAGAAGAACTGAAAAAGGAAACGGCATTTCAAACGACACCCGAGGCAAATCTTTCTCTCACGGTCAGGGCCTTTAGCTTGAGACCTGTAGACCCAAGTCCCCCTATATACTCGGTACCACCGAGCAGAAATAGTCACCATGCCTTCGAAAACGGACTTTAGCATACTCAAATTCATCTCACATAAGCGGAGAGGAAACGACGAGAGCAACAACGACGACGACCTTATCCCTTTCAACTCCGTCTCCCCCTCAAAAGTCTCATTCCCTCATCCAGGCCTCGTCGAATCAACTCCGGCCGACGCAAACCCCCAATATCGGGAGGAGGGCCTCCGTCGATCCAGCCCCTACCTACGATGGCAGGCCACTTCGGAGCGTCGCCACTCCCGTCCCGATGCCGCTTCATGCATTCCCGCCTGCCTCGGCTTGGGAAAGGCTTCCAGCAGAAAGGTCCGCGAGGGTCTCTCGGGCTTCTAGTGCGAGAGCTCACACCTTCACCAACCCCCGAGCACCAGAGCCGACCGAGGGCGTTGACGGTGACTCCTGAGCCGGGACTTCGGCCCACTAGCCCATTTATGCGCTCTATCTCGCCCGCTCAGTCATTTCAGCTCGGCGACGACCAAACGTACATGTCGGAGCAAAGAGAGATCCCGAGGAAGGCTATAGGAAGCCCGCGATCCAGGTCCTCAAGCAATGCCTCGATAAGTAGCGTGCGTTCCGCCATATCCGTCGCATCGCGTCGCCCTTCTACCCCGGCGGCTCAGATATGCACCCCCGTGAGAGAGGAAGAGGAATCGGGATTCAGATCCCCTACCCTAGCCAACCCCAGGAAGGAGGCGTCGCCCAAGAAGAGGGCAACGCCCGTGAACTCGCCCGTGAGGAGCGGATCCGTCTCCAAGAACAAGGGCCGCAAGAATAGCCGACAGAGCAACAGCAAGAAGCAACTGAGTGCTCGGAAACCGAGTCGAGGCAACTCGCGATGGACATTTACTGAGAACGTCACCGAGCTCTTTAGCGGGCAGCTCTTCAAAAAGGTGGAAGCCGATGAGATGTTGACGCCCGAGCAGGTCGAGGCGTACACCCGAAGGCGAGAGGCCAAAGCGGAGATGGCGGAGAGGCGGGAGATGGATGCGCTCGAGGCGATCCGGAGCATCCTCGAAGAGGAAGAAGATACCGATGGCCCCGGAGGACCCTTTCACCTTGAGGAACTAGCTAGGAGGATCGAGGATGTCACTGCCGCCGGCGTGGCTGCCACCCAGCGCAGGAGGTCGCCGCCGATCACGTCCGATTTTACCAACGACGTGATTCGCAGAGACTTTTCCGTGCGGAGAAAGCCAGTGCGCAGCGGCAGCGGCAGGGGCTTGAAAGTCTCGTCTCCCCTCTCACACCGGAAGCAAGCCCCATTCCCAGTCTCCCAGCTAAAAACCCCGCCCGCTTCCTCGGCAGCCATGTCCAAGCCCAAGCCGAGCCCCGGGTCCAGGCGCAGATGCCGCCGATTCCCGAACTCCTCGTGACCACACCCGAGGAAAGGGAGAGGGAGGCGGCCAAAGACCCCATCCACGGCAATACCCCCACAAAGAGACCCTCGACGACCCCTTCGAGGATGACGATTTTGTCTTTTTAGGTCTACTCCTTGCACGATGACGATGCCGGGCTTCCGCCACGGACCTATCCGCATTTCCAAGTCTGGGCTAGAAGTCAAGTTCGACGCCGAAAACACGCTGGATTGGACGGCGTTTCAGATGGCCATCCTCGGCGGGGCAGGCGACTTCTTCTACGGTAGCGCGGATTTCACGCCGCAGTACTCGGAGGAAGAGGAGGTGGCAGATCTCAAGGAGTGGCTCGGGGAAATGGGATTTTCCAGCATCGGCGCACTCATCTCTTCGCAGCCAGTGGAGCGGCCAGAGGATTCGGACGAATCATCGTCTAGCTCACCCATTTCTACGACTTCGTCGTGCTATGACGAGGGCGACGAGGCCGGGGACGATGAGGAGGACAGCGCGAACCTGCCGATTCCCGTAGCGCTCGACTATCCCACGGGATTCTGGAACGAGGGCAAGCCGGACACATCCAAGTTCTCGATAGGCGGTGGGTGCCAGATCAAGCGGTGGACGGCGGAGGGCCACCCGAAGCGCTACAATCGGGCGAGCTGCGCGAGTGAAATTAGCCTACCGCAGAGCCCAATGATGCCGCTTGTGATCAGTAGCCGTCTCGCGGCAAACTTGCATAGCAGCTCGGGCGGGGCGGCCGCAAACGACCTCGAGGTGGTGCCGATGGGATACAACCTCGGACACGATCTCGGGGATTTCTTGAAGTGGGAGGCGGAGCACTGCTACGCTGCCGACTTTGAAGCAAGGGGTTGACCCCAGATCCATTTTTTCCTATGTTTACCGTATTATGGTTTAGCGAGCTTGCTTTGCTTTTTTATTTGTTATTCTTCCCTCTTTTTCATCATCTCTCGATATCCCTACCCCATCCCATTCTCTTATTTATCCATTTGGTCGCGGGTGAATGGAGGCATTATTCGGAAGCAAATACCCAACGGAGCCTGGTCGTATTCTTAGACGGAACAGCTGAATCATGGTTTGGCGTTCTTTTTGGGGGCGTTAAGTGTTTTTCTCTTCTTTTATTTGGGGGCGCAAGGACAGGAAACATGGTCTACGGATGGGAAACTGGGGAATAAAGTAAATTCAATCATGAAGTGTCCTCGCATTGTGTGCTCGTATTGTGTGGTCGACTTTGCCAACAAAGAGGTGACCAAGAATCAACGTTGGCTCTATTTCAACATTGATCGAAGCGGACGAGTTTTTGGCACCGGAAGGTGCAAACATGTGGGACAGACCCTGTTAGCGCCTTGACTTGGCCACTGAGCATCAATTGATGTTGCACCTGAGTCTCCCCACCAAAACTTTGCGAACCGCGTCGTCCCACCGTCTAACTTGGTCGCAACGACATCAATCCCCCACCACGCTCCTCAACTCGCCAACCAACTCACCCACGCAACTCGGGAGCGCCGCGCAATTTCATCGGAGTCGCATCATCGACCGTCTTCGGGTGTCACACGGTTGGCCAATATACTGGTCCATCACCATCTCCAATCGTTTGGATCTGCAGAATCCCAAACCTTCTTCGCCACCAGCGCACAGCTAGAGCAAGACCCGTACTACCGCGTCAAGGCACGCACCTTTCACCGGCCTCCCCTCTCACAAATTAAACTTTCTTTCTTTCTCTCTCTCTTTGAAAAATACTCTCACAGGCGCTTCTCGGCACCATGCTCCGACGGCCCGCCACAACGCTCAGCATCACGGCCGAGGACGTGGCCGCGTACGAGGACCGCCGGGCGCGCGAAGCAGCGGCGGTGGTGCCGCGGCGAGGGCCGGCGGCGGGAGCTGGGGGCCCGGGGTGGACGACACGCAGATGATGGAGGCGACGGAGGAGGAGGTTTTCGCGGCGCATCAGAGGGAGCAGGCGAGGCAGGTGCAGGAGCAGCAGGCGCAGAGGAGTCGGGATGAGAGGATTGGGGTGTCGAGACGGGGACGGGGGAGGTGAAAATGGGGAAGGGCGAGGGGGAAGTTATGAGAATTTCGGTTTGTCTCTTTTTTTTTTTTTTTATACTGGTTGTTGGGTTTTTATTTCGTCTTGTCGATGGGCTCCCTGGAGGGCATTTCCTAGCTGGAAACAGGTGTGAGAACGAGGGGGATGGCACCGTGGAGGGAGTCATGGTGGATAAGCGGACGGGCTACTTGTTACTTTATGATATACCACGTCGCTACGAAAAGAACATGGTATACTTTTGAACCACCATCGTCTCCTCTATCCCGTCGCGTCCCCTCTGCCTCGCCAAATGGCCGTACACCTCTTTCCTAGCCTTCATCTCTCCTTCCTTTCCCCCGTCGCCGGCGCCGGCTTTCAACCCCAACTTTTATCATTATAAACAGCCTCGTGCTCCCCTAGCGCTGGCACCCTACTCAGTTTCGCCCTGAAATGCTTCTCACTCCATAGTGAGCAACGTTACGAGTGGGGACATGGCTGAGGATGACTGGAGCGGTGCCGCAAGCGGAGGTCCCGACAAGGGCGTCATGAGTACAGCTTGGAAGGAAGGAACTTGAAAGAGTAGAGAGAGAGAGAGAGAAGATACTAGGCACAAGGGAGGGGAAGAGCCATATACTAGTAGCTTTATGCCTCAAGGGCGGTGTGTTCCTTTGCGATGGACCAGGTTCAACATCTAGGCATCTCCGCCAAGTGGTTACGACATGTAGGCTTCAACTATCAAAGTAAGAACATGCTTTTATTCCTAGCTAATAGAGAGACGTTGCTACAAATTTGCTAGATAATAGCTAGTTGCCAGTGAACCAGGGTTCACAGTGGGTGGAAGGAACGGTCTGCAAGTAGTTTCTGCAAGGCAGGTCGATTGGCTGGATTCCTTGCGGACGCGTTCACTGATGAGTGACGAACGGTGACTGCTTGTAAGTTTGCAAGCAGGCTGGGTATTCTCGATTCACGGATAATATTGCGCCAGGGTATGAATGTTACATGGCAAGTTTGTGTTCGTCGTCATCGTTATTTTGCGGTGGCTCCGGCTTTCTCAGAATCTTGTTGCACAGGAACTGCAGCTTGGTTCGTGGGTTGCAGATTTTCTCAGTGTCCTTTTCGACTGTTTCAAGGTACGCCAGTACGTCTTGGAGGGCGTTGCAGGTTTCCTGCTCGGTTCGCTCCAAAGCTTCTATTCGTAGCAACAGCCCTAGTATCGCGTCGGTTACCGTTTTCTCCGTTTCCCTTGTAATGTAGGTATCATCTTCCTCGTCGTCTCCCTCGTTCTCGTATTCCGCCAGGTCTTCGCAGCCTAGATCCTTTAGCTTCCTCATCATTGCCGGATTGATTTCGTTTTTCGCTAATACAGCGTAATGCCTGTATTTTCCATTTGTCTGGCAAATTCCGGTCCCAGTCTTGGATGCCTGCTTCCTTTTTGCTTGTGCGTCCCCCAGCCTCTTCTCGATTTCGCCGTAGGGTTTTTGCTGAGCGAAGGAGTCTCTCAGGTTTCTGTTTTTATACCATAGTTGGATGTATTCCTCCATGTTTTCGGCATCATTACTTCTCCTATCTCCGTTCATTCTCAGGCATCTCACCATCGCTAGCCACCTTGGAGCGTGGCCTCGCATACGGGCTGGCTGGGTTGGATTCTGGCTGACCTGGTCGAGTTTTCGTTTATGCGTCATTTTGTCTCGTTGCTTGGCTGCTTTTGGCGATTTCAATGTTGCTTATTTTATTGTCTTCTCCTTGTCTAGGGATCTGGCTTGACTCCTCTTCTTATATCTGTCGCCGGCACTTCGCCTTTGCCCTTTTGGCTTCCACGAGCGCTTCCATTTCTGCCACTTTCTTCTCGGGAAGAGATGTAAACACCGTGCCTGATTCTGCCTTCTGCACCTCCTCCACTTTACCTTGCATGGATCCCTCTCTATCAAGTACCGACCGCACACTGGCAAGTAGGCTGCCTCTAAATGCTTTATGTCTTCTGTCTCATACCTAGGCTTAAACCGAGGGCGAGATGCTGGGGAAAATGAAACAAAAAGAACCAAAGCGTAACGTCAGTAATGGAAAGCGACAGATGCAACGATGGAGCAGCGGACGAGCCTGTTAGGGTTTGTTCACTTGTTTGTGAGTGAAAAGGACGCGGACAAAGGAGAAGCCGAGAATTACAATGAAAAGACATAACGAGGAGAAACAGAAGGAAAACCCCCAAATGCGCCTGTGATGTGACCGATACGCCAGATACCCAACAGAGCGAAAGAAAGTAAGGAAAAGGCCATGTGTGTCTGGCTGTGTGTGTGTGTGGTGTGTAGGTGTGTGTTATGCGCGCGAGCACGATTAGTGAGAGATGATTGAACGTAGAAAACCAGGCCTCTTAGGGGCAGGTAATGTACACGATGCTTCCGCCATCCGCGACCGAGTGCGGACTTGATGCATTAAAAGATCTTAGTCGTGACTAGGCAGAGACGCCATGAGAGAGACGGGCTTGATTCGGGGGTTTTTTTTTTCATTATCAAAATGCCCAAGTCGAAAATTTGGGGCCGACTCAAGGCCGGATAATGCGACTAGTGGGCATGGTCATGACCATGACCATCCGCCGGTGGATGGCTCGCTGTGGAGGTGCTCAGGATACTGCAGCAGCCTTCCTGGTCACAGTCATCCACACACTCGAGCAGGCACATGGGCACCTGTTTCGACGAGGTCGTGGGGCTCACGGCTCCATCACCCGCGCCTTGGATCCCATGCGCGCGGGCCTCTTCAATGCTCACAAACTGGCGGTGCCGGCTGCTGTCGGGGCAAAACTCGGGCTGGATAGTGGCGCTATGGATGCCATAAGCATGCAGGCACTTGCGCGCGCGCTTCGCGAGCTGCATGTACTTCTCGCCGCCATCGTCGGTGATGGGGAACGAGAGTTGCATGTGCATCGACGCCACAATCTTGGTGTCGGAGAGCTGCCAGACGTGTATGTGATGGCAGCTGAGCACCCCCGGCAAGCTCTCGATGTCATCGCGCAACTCGTTGACGTCGACGTAGTCGGGTGTGGCTTGGAGAAGAATCTTGGACGTGGCAAAGGTGAGGGGCAGGGCGGATCGGAGGATGATGACGGTGATGAAGAGGGAGACAAAGGGATCAGTATAAAGCTTATAACGCCATTCCGTCAGCCAGATGACTAGCGCCGTGATGATGACACCAACGTTGCCAAGCGCATCGCCAAGCACGTGAAGGACCATGGCCTGCATTCCCATGTCGCCGTGGTTATGGCCCAATCCACCCGCAGGCCTATCCTTCTTCGGCTTGCTGTGATGATGGTGCACGTGCGTCTCCGAGTCCCTTCGGGCTCGTCCAGGGTCGACTTGATGCGCGTAGCGTCGAGAGGAGATGGGTCAGCATCATCGAGCAACAAAGTCCGCTCGTTAGGGCGGCGATCGTCTTCATCAGAAGATGAAACTTCGTTGTAAGTGGGGTGCGATCGTGAAGCAGCAATGATTTCTTGTCGGAAACTCGAGGGGTAGATGCTCAAGTCCTCGATGCTTGTGAGTCTTGAATGGTGCGCGCTGCCCGCCCGGCGGCGTGAGCGGCCCCTGTACGCAGAGTTCTGACGATCGTCCGGCGCGCCATCCGACCTTCTCGTGGCTTGGCGCGAGACCGAGGACGCCCTAGCCAGCACAACGTGGGGAAGGACATCCGCTGCCGCACCGGTCTCGTCGGCGGCGTCGGCGTCGGTTTCGGGAAACTCGGCCTGTCCCTCTTCCGCCCGACGCTGCTGGTCATGGCTATGTGGGTGTTCGTGGTCGTGGCCATGGTCGTGATCGTGGTCGTGGTCGTGGTCGTGGCCATCATTATGGCCATGATCATGGCTATGGCCTCCCAAGATTGCGAAGCCAACAAGGTTGGAGGCCAGACCAAAGGAGCCAACGATAAGCATGACTTTCGGGTTACTAATCTCGGGAGGATCGAAAAATCTGGTAACAGCTTCAAGGACGATGGAGACGCAGAGCGCAATTAGGAAGACGGCGTTGAAGAAAGCGCCGAGGATTTCAGCTCGGAGCCACTATAATCCAGGTTACGTTTAGCGACAGTCCAAAGCGAGCAACAAGCCCATCAGTGCATAGTGCATAGGATCCAAGGATTGGCATTACTCACGCCATATGAAAACTTGTCAGTGGTAGCCCTTCGTGCCACAGAAACCGCCCATAAACCGACGAGAAGAGATATTATGTCATTAAGCTATGTGCCCGCGAAAAATGGTGGTGGAGATATGTCAGCTGGCCATTGTGCAAAACAACCCCTTTGGCTATGGGGAAAGAGGGGCAAGCCATACCATGTGGAAAGCGTCAGCCAGGAGGGCTAGCGAATGGATCATGTAGCCCGAGATCAGCTCGACGAGGAAAAATACGGTGCAGATGGCCACCATGGTCAAGATCCGCGAGGACTTGGACCACGCCATTGTGCGATGAGGGCTCCGAAGGGAGCGGCCGAACTGTGGATGATGGAGAGGCGATGAGATTGTCGCAATCGCTCGAGCGGGCCTAGATGTGGCAGACGGAGGTGCAATTGGGAACGGAGACCTCAATCCTTTTAGAAGCCTACTAGTTCTGTTTCCCCTTCTTTTTGTTTGGTGCTTTGTTTGCCGGTTCTCAATCAAAGGTCGAATCGAATCGAATCGGGTTGTAGACGCCGGCCTCTGGGGGTTTTGTTCCGGGAAAATGTAGCTCGTCGTGCGACCGCGTTCGTCGTTTGCTTCTGCTACCGTCCAGGAAAGGAAAAGGGAGAGAGTGGGAAATGACGCGCTCTCCTTTCGCCGGTGGCGTCGATAAAAAAATAGAGTCAGCTCGGATTTGGAAGACTTTGGGAGGGTTCTCGCTGAGTGGCGTCACCGGAAACGACGTGATGCTAGCTCCTCTGATTACGTCAACCAGATTCGAGAAGAAAGAAGTCGCCGCCAAGGGAGCCTCAATTCCTGGAGATTACGTGGAGAGAACGAATCCTTTGGCCGGTATCGCCAATGTAAATGGTTAGTTGATCTCCTCCATGCAAGGGCGAATTGAGAGTGTCGCCGAGAGATTTGAAGGGGCTATCGGTGAAGGCGTCTGGATTTTGGTTTTCTTTTCTTTTTCCTTTTTTTCTTTTTTATCGAAAGCAGGGTACGGTGCGCCTCACTCTCTCTCCCTTCCAAACATATATTTAGGACAAGAATGTTTCTAAGCTTAGCTTGTCCGGGCGGGAAAATAGACACAAGCTCTCCCAAATCACATCGCCACAAGCGCCCCGAATGGTACAAGAAGGTGGAGAATGGGCGCGGATCCCCTCGGTTCAGTCAATCCAAACCCTCAACTCTGTGCCCTTCCCTTCAACCCCGAACCAGTCCCAGTCGTCAGTCGCACAGGGTAGGGTACAGGTCGATGAATCCAACACAAGCGTCGCCCCAGGTCTCGGAATTCGGAACTACCTTGATCTTCATCCCATACGCACTGGTACTGGTCCGCCAACGGGCCAAATCCAAGTCATGTCTTTCCCCGATGTCGGTCAACGACATCTTCTCCCTTCAGCCCTAGGCTCCGCCCGTGCCCGCTTGCAAGTGGAGTGCTTGCCCTGGTGCAGACGACTCTTGTGAATGCGAAAGAATGTAGATAGGATCAATGATGATATTGACCCTGGGTGCATTCCATCTTTGGCATGAGCCCGAGAGCCACCGAGTATTGTCTTGAGAACTATCAATGGCTCGTCAAGGCGCTCACCGGCTTTAACTAGTTGCCCCTGCATGCCAATTCCTATTCCGGGCACAATCCGAACTTCATTGGCACAATCCCTGGCGCCCTCTTGCTCATGCAGGATTCGTCCTCCACTTGCAAGGGTCCGCGAAGATCCAAGCCAACACGTCCTGTATTATTGTATTCAGTACGTACATCTTCACCTCCCTTGTCTGGGGACAGCAAAAATCAACGAGGAGGTGACAATGGTTGCAAGATCCTTCCTCGCCCCCGGAAAGAACCACTGGATACTGCTCTTATTCCGTCAAAAAGTGGTATCCGCTGAGCACTCGAGTGTGTACTATTGGTATGATCCAAGGGCTATTCAGATGGAGGTGCCAGGGTGAAATCTATCCCTTATAGTGCCCCATGAGCGTCAACGGCGATCGTGCCTTGGCCAGCCTGGCATTAGCCTTGCGACGATCCATCTACCTCATACAGTATCACTCATTGGCGATATTAAGGCAAAGGAAAGGTATCGGCCATCCAGCGTGGATGTTAAGACTAACCGACCTCAGCTAGCCAAAGATCCTACCTACTAAACCTAGGCCGGCTCATGGCCAGTCGTCCAAGTGCGAATCCACTGGCGATGCGTGGATCGACAGAAGTTCTCCAGATGGTTAAAAGGTTGCTTCCTTGCGCCGCCCCTAAAATGCAATGCCTTGGGCTTAAGATTGTCGGCTTCGATGAAGTATTCGCCCGCACATCACGATCCCTTACTTTACGCTATGCAATCTTGAGAAATAGTGGGCGCGGTGTGCCTCGAGGCCACTTAGCGCTGTCTCACCTACCCCGGGCCCTGAATCATCACTTCCGCCGTCGTTCGGGCCTCCTCCCCAAGACTACCACCCAAAGCGTTTTGTCCGGTAATGGTTCGAGACTTGTCTCGTTCACCTCCTCACATAAAATTTCTCCACTAGCTGCCCAAAGTAGGGCACTCGCTTCTGAAAACAACATCGAGATTTTATAGAGAATCATGCTTTTGCTGCATGCACAAGGGTTTGGAGATCGGCAACATCGAGAGAAAAGTAGACTAGGGAAGGACCGCTCCCTTTGGCTCTTGGCTCTGTCCTTCTGCCCATATTATGCAAGAACTAGAGTCGAGCGTACACGTATTGATAGAGCTACGTGACCAGGATCAGTTGCTGCCGTGGGAGGAATCTCTTCAGCATCATACTTAGCGCCTTAATCCTAGGGATCAATACCCATTGCCCTCTGATCCTGTCCTGAGTAGTCGTACGTGGGTTCTAAGCCTCTGGTGTTCAATGATGGCCGGATGAGATACGTTCACGTCTTCAATAGTGTTCACTGAAGGCCAGAAATCAAGCTCACGGAGCTAGAGTATTAGGTCACACGTCTCTAGGTCACACGGCCCTGTCTAAACAAAGCAGCCAGGATGAGCGCCGTCGATTTCACAAGTCAATCCCACTCGTCTCCAAAAGGGAGGTATTCCGAGTCCACAGGGGTTTGCCAGCCAAGAAGAGATGGCAACCAGCTTACCTCTAGGTTCTCGAGGAAGCGCGAGCCGCCACCATCGAGGCGCTTTAGAAGAATTAGTACTCGTGAACTCGAGAAGCGTTGATCTAACCAGCAAACTAGATCCTGTGCCGCTCCCGGGACTAGCCCGGTATCCGCATGCCGCAGCCGCACCCTGTCGCCGCCTAGTGCGCGGTATCGATACATAAAGGCAAGGGTGCGTGCGTCAGGGATCATTCTTCTTTTGGCAAGGAAGAAGCCGTGAAAGGCTAAGCACCAAAAGCAGACTTGGCTGGGCAGTTCAAGCAACCAGATTGCGGTTCGGGAAACGTAGCGTTCCCGTCAACTCAACCTGCAGACGGAGCAAGCAAGCCTTTAGCCCAAGACCTGCTTCCGCAACGGCACGTTTGACATATGGCAAAGACTTGCTTTTTATAAACAGATCGTCCGCCCTCTCAGGCCAAGATCCGCGCGTGCCCCATCCCAACGCCCTCTTCGTTTTGCTGTCAACTAATATCCGAGCTCGCGGGAATCACCTCCTTTCCCATGTGGAGCAGGCAAAAAGTCTTCCCTTCGTACCTGTGATTCCCTTCTATTCCCACTCACTCCCTCCGTTCCACGAAAGCCCTATTTTATATCGACGAACCTCAATGGGTTGAGCTGTTGACGAGATATTACTAAAACCAATGCAACTTCAACCCAAGGCAAAAAAACAGCAAACAGACCTTCTACACACCGTTGTAGCAAAGGGCGATATCGTGATGTTGTCCGTAGATTGCGGCTCAGCTGCCTTAGTAATAAGTCTTGAGAACAATGGACGACGGATGGAACACTCGAGGGACCCCATTCATGCACTCGTATTCCATTGCAACCCTCCAAACGCGCCATTACGATATTACCGGGAGCCCCAAAGTTCTTTATTGCTTACATTGATGTTATTGAGGGTGGCCCATGAAGACGAAACGGGTTTCCAACTTTGGATCGACCTGGCTTCCCAGAACAGAAACAGTCGGCTCTCCGGCTTGTCTCAGGCCACTGAAACAGAACTCGATTTTTTCTCTTCTTTTGCGCCCCTTGATATAAGTGATTAAATGAAAAAGAAGGGTTTCGGCCGCCTAAAATGGTGCCGGGAAAACTGCCCCCAAGCTCTGCAAGTCTTGATCAACCTGCATCCTCGAGGATACATCCACACACCCAGATAGAGCAAGATGAAAGGAGCAGGTTCACAGATGCACGCACGCGTACACGTGGAGAATACACGGGAGAAGGAGTGATAACGGACTCAAAATGGTAGCAAAATAGCAGGTCGATGCCGTCCACTGCCCCCTTTCTGCGTATTTTCCTTGAGTGATGCCGACAAACACGTAATCCAATATGTTCTTCATCCCCGATATACCTCTTTAAGCCTACACTATAACTCTACGGGGTCGCTATAAGTGGTCTCTCCACCCTTGGACGACTTCGGCTCGGGGTCATCTCGTCCGGGTCTACACTACACGCCTCTTTGTGCAAATTGAGATCAGCGGCAGCTACCATCCCGGGGTACCAGATACACTGCACCAGCCACAGGAAAATGAGCCAACAGCGAAGCCATACGCTCCGCGGGACAATATGCGAACAATTAACAGTGGACGCGGCTAATGCATGAAATTCATTCTCGAATGTGCCAAGTAACTCGAGCGGTCAAGGACGAAAGGAAGATGTGCAATAAGCGAGGGGCGAAAAGAAAAAGAAATCATAACATCTATACATCTATACATCAAAAAAACCACAGCGGTTAGTTGGGGTCCAAAAGAATTGTCTTGTCAATTTTCTTTTCTTGCAGATCCACACACTCCAGCCTGTTTGTTCCTGATCTCCTCGGATGATTCCGCGGGCTTAGCTCGGCCGGTTTACACGGGGCATAATGGAGGCTTTCGCTGGCGGCTCTACTCCGCCGCATTTGCCGCCCGTCATCCACGCCACGTTGCCCGAAACCGTCCACTGAAGTGCACTGATATCGTAGTCGTGACACACTTGCGCTGAGCGAGGCCGTTCTCGTTGACTCGCGTAGCAACAGCACACGAGCTATTAGTGTCGGCGTCGCCATCAAACGCTGCCAGCACAATATAGATACTCTATAGTGATCATAGCTTCCTCTGATATACCTACCATATGTCAGGGCACGCAATTTGAGGCAGAAGCGAGGCCCATCTCGCATTGCCGTTCTTAATACTTCATTCTGATTGGTCCTCAAACCGCTGCTGTCCAACCCGGTTGGGACCGGGAGAAGGCAGAACAGGAAAAAGCTCTGGGGCGACTGTGGCTCTGGGACCCGGCAAATACCTATTCGCAGATGCCACAGAGGCACGTAGGGATCCGGATGTGTTATCCCCTGCAGATGTCAGCCGTCGTCATCCGGGCTCTTGCAGTTTGCTCAATTCCACGTTGAACATTGAGGAGCCTGCGCTGGACTCGAGGGGCAAACTACCCCTCAACCTCTATCCCAAACCACTTTACAAACTAATTTGCAGCTTCCACCGTAGTCATGTATCGGATGATTTCCCGGCCCATTGTATACCGAGCCTGCGTTCCAAAGTCTATCCAGCTCAAAACGGCTGCATGTCTAGTAGCCGGATGCAGGGCTCGTCCAACAGTGGGCAATGGGTCGCCTGACGACGTCGTCCGTCGATGAATAGAATACGTCCAATGTATGCAGTGTGAATCTTGGTCCGATGTGGTCTTCAGCGCACCTCAACTCGGCGAAGTTTTGGCCGTCTTCAACGGAGCGCGAAACTGGCCGAACTCTAGATTTTGGTGATTTTCTACGGCTCAGGCTATGCAACTTCTGCTTTGGCAATACCAACGCCCAAAATCAGGCCTAGAAACACTATTCCAATCTATTGACAAGGGGCATGGCCAGGCGAAGACATTAGACATCATACGAACACGTAAAGAGCGCGGGCTAAGTTAGACAAGCCTGGGTTTACTTACAATAATTGTTCCAAAGCCAAGAATGGCCACTTCAAAGCCGCCTGCTAGAGCTTTACCCTTGGCTACGTAGTGCTGGTGCCTCCAGGTCCGACAAACGCCAAGAAGAACAGTCAATATAGAGAAGCAGAAGCATACTGACGCGATCGGCCGTCCAATTTCCGTATATCCGAATCCTTCATCTTGGTGAGCTAGGAAGAATAGCTGAGATATCGTTGTGCCCATGATAGCAAAGACGAGAGAGGTCCGAAAATATCCAAGAAAGGTTCTCTCAATAGCTGATGAAAGGAAAACAAAGTAAGATTAATTATACGTTAAACACGAGAGAGTCGGGGGTTCACATTTGGGGCTCAACGGGAAGGGAACGGGGGCTGATAGGGTCGTCGTTTAAGGTTCAGACTGCGCGGTGAAGGGGAACTCCATCCGACTGATCTTGGTGCTAGGAATAAAGAAAAGACATAATGGAATATTGGTTCTCCGCTTGCCTACTCGTGGGCACAACCAGCCCATCCGCACACGGTAATCCGCATGTTTGGAAGGCCGTTTGATATCGCTTTCAGAGCTCGTCAGGTAGGAGTCGGGCTAGGGGAAGGTCGGTAGGGGACATAATCAAAGGGCAAGGCGTATAGCGAAAATGCAGGAGTGCAAAAGATCAGGGTGCAGGAAGCTGATGCGTACAAGGGCATCCTGTTTCTCGACCATCATGAGAAAGAGCATATCTTCGTGGACCTTACGCCTTCTTCCCGTTCTGCAAGCGCGGCAACGGCACGGATGCAATTTAGTAGATCGCAGCCGCAGAAGCGGGATAGGTAAGGCTCTGCAGATCAACAGACCCTCTCATCAGCCGCGCAGTTGTTGAAGAACAAGCCCGTCGATGATCGGAAGCCCATCTCGATCCCACGAGGGAAGCAGGAAACGGCGCAGCGGGGTAGAAGCAGAAGGGGGAGATGATCAACGGACATGGGTAGGGAAGTCGGGTCGCGATGCCGCCCTCTGTTTATACAGCTAGAAGGGCGGAAGGGCGCATAACCAAGCATGATGGGTGCTGGCCGCGCAAACGTACCTAAGTGGTCTCGGCTAGCTTCAGGCTGAACAACCATGCTAACGTGATTCGACCAAAATCTGGCGAGAGGCGACTTGTCGCCAACTGACTGGACTGTAGATGGAAGACTGGCATTTGACGCTCCACATGGATCAGTATCCTCCTCGCCGGAGGAATCTGAAGAGGTTGCACTCCCGCTGGAGCGTCCATCGCTGGGTTGTAGGTCAGTCAACTCCACATCCGCCGCGGGCGGCAACCTCGGTCCCGCTGCTAAGGGCGGATTGGAGCGAGTGGTTCCCTCTGCAGTCCGCCCGCGCCGTTGGTAGGCTGAGGCCGGGGGCTGCATTGCGTCGTCGAGCTCGACCAGAAACGTTGTGTTGTAGCAAGCCCTCCTCCCAGACAGGGTACTACTGATAGATACTATACCCGCGGGTACACTGCGCAGCGCGGCATGCCCTCCCCTTTATCAAGATGTGCTTGACCCCAGCTAAGCAAGAACGTCTCCTAGTTATTTTACGCCCCCTTCTTCGCACGAGCTTCTGGTGGTAGATCCCGGGAAGACAGAGGACCAATGACAGCCAAGAAGGCAGCTGGTGTGGACGTCGGAGTTTTCCTTGCGTGGGGACGGGAACAGCTGCCCGTGACTCCGACGGAGAGAGAAGCCGCTGAACTGCTCCCACGTATTCTGTCTTACTGTGGACGTCGGCAAGTAACCTGTTGTAGGCTGACGGTGGACTCACCTTGCCTTGTGCGAAAGGCGAGCAGTAAGACTAGACCTCGTAATCGCGTCCAACTCCAGTGAAGCTGTATGATGGGCGTATTGATGCCGTTGGTAAATTTGGAGATTGGATGTATCAACGCTTGAGGTGGGTTCTTTAGCGAGGAACGCGCAAAATGATGGCCTGTGAAAGGGAAGAGGGAAAGAGGTTAGGTTATTATGCTAGTAGTGGGGGTTTTCCCTTGCAGACACTTGACTGAGGGCGTGGCGAGTACTCGTGGCACTTTGGATCGGCTCTCTCAAGGAAGAATCGAAGACTTTTGTTGCAAAGCATCTCAAATCGGCTCGAAGGGATTTCAATTGTCCGCTTAGGGTGGTGTACGACCCGCACGTGGAGGCTCTTGGTTGCAATTGTTCTGCTTGCTCCACTCGTTCTCCCAGATTTTCCAACCTTGCGCTCGATCCCCGTGGGGCTATCACCACACCAAGACCAGGGTAGACTCAAAATACGAGGGTGGAAGAGTTTGGAGAAAAAGGTGTTAATGATAATAAAGTTGAATAGCTCAAGTGCAAGAAGAGGACTGAATCGATCAACTTTATCATGTTCTTTCGGTCCTGCTCTTCTCCACTTGTTACTGGACAATATGAATATTCCAATGGCCAACCCTAGATTGAATAGTAATCAGGAAATCCGTGGGAGGAAGGGGGCTAGTGCAGCTTTTCCTCTCCCGGATGCTGTTTTGAATCGCCAAATGCAAAAAGTCGGCCTCCCTCTCATCATGCTGTACGTGTATGCGAGTATTGTGCCTCGTGCCCTGATCAATGAACAAACGATGACGCCAACGACTCGACAGGACGTGATTTGGTTGGTTGGGGACTGATGGTTTTCCACACCACACGAACTAATATTAATCACTGATTGCTTTTGCGTCTGGCGTTGACTAATAACAGGGCTTTCCCCGGCCGCGGTGGCGCCTTCCCGACCCTGTTCAGCCAGCCAGACAAGAACCGTTGCAAGCCAGGCAGCCGTGCCGTTGTGCTGGGAAGGTGCCCGCCCAGGAACAGAACCCCAGCTTTCGATGAAGAGAGAACTGGACCAGCCCAGGGCGAAATGTGGCGCACAACTCTCGGAGTTTGGTAGCTTCGGGAAAATTCCTTGATCGACAAGCCTCCGTTTCGTGCAGTTTTATTAACTTCGGGGACTTTGTGTCATGCGGATAATCACAATCAGCGGCCTGCGGCGCACTAGTAGAGCCTCTCCATATGCTCCCGTCTCTGGAACAGGGACACGCAGGTCATCTTCTTCTTCCCGCGTTCCTCGATCTTCTATTGTGAGATTGATTCGCGTTTGTTCCCATTGCCCGACCCGACGCGACCCTTGTTGCGAGGTCCTTTTTCCATGTTGCCCTGCTTTGTATTGTTTTTCTATTTTCACGCACTCTTTTTTTTTTTTTTTTTTCCCTCTCTCAGCCGCCCTGAGATTGGAGAATGGAAATGGAATCCTCCGTGTTGGAAGTCGGGATTATGAGGGGCAGGCCAAGCATGTCGATGGAACTGGAGCTAAACTCATTGAAGCTTGGGTTCTCGACACCCTCATGGTCTTGCCAGTGTGACTGCCACTCATAAACGCTGGATAGCCCCTGCTCCTTGCTCACTTTCAGTCTCAGCGCACGTCTTCACCTGCAAATGAACTTTCCTGCTTGGTGCATCCCCCATGTTCCGTCGTCCCTTTTGCGGAGTAACGGTAAAATTATTGTTCACGGAACGGAGATTCCCCGATGAGGTCAAGTTGTAACCGTATGGTCGGATAGACAGTGCGGAGTCTTGATTTCTGGTTCCGACCTGACAGGGTTGGAGGAGGACGAACACACCTCTTGATTGTTGGATTTTGTGTGGCAGCGTTCCCGGCTCCCGTTATCTTATTATTCCCTTGCTGCTGTTAAATATACCTTGCCTCGGGCATCATATACCCCCACGAGTAATCCAAAATATCTCTTGCTTGACCCCCCCAGGCTTTCTCCCGCAACGATGAAATGAATACGGCATTATTCCAGAAGGTGTTTGAACCCTTCCTCCGATGATGACACCCTTTAGAGCCCCAGCCCGAGGGAGTGGTGTACCGCGAAACTGTAAAGAAAAGAGCTGCCCATCGCTGTCATCGGCTGATCCGGAACAGAGCATTCCTCCCTGATTCTGTCTTGCCGTCTCAAATTGTACACAGTTGACGCATTAGAGTGTTGAGGTGGTGAGAGCGGGCAGCGGGCCGGCGAGCCGTTAGGACAAGAATCGACTTGGGTCCGTACTGGGACTGTACCTCGTGGGATAGCCGCCCCGCCGAGCCAGTGTCACCCTGGAACTGGGGAAGCAGGGTTTTCTACCCGTGGAACTCCTCAGGTACATGCTTGTCGTCCACGAAAACCGAACACAGTGGACCTCAATCCGTTCTAGTCGTTCTAGCTCACATCCCCGGCCTCCACCCACGGGGAAGTACCCGATTGATGAAAGTGGCAAACCCCCAGAGAATTCTTCCGTTCCGCATTCCGAAAGGCGAACTTGGGATCTAAGAATGTGTCTCGAAACCCCACATGATAGATAACAAAAGAGCGGAAATCGGGAATGTCGAGGACAAAGATCCTGATCCATATGTTGCCTTAAAACGGGTCCAGAGTTGGGATGAAAGCTATGATCTGTTCAACAAGGGTCGGGACCTGACGAGCTAATCTCTGAGCTCTCGCCTGCGGCTTGGTTGATCTCGCTGACTTTTTTGTGGCTGTTTGCTTTTCTGGTCTTCGCGATTTATTGACTTCTGTGAGCAGACGAGGGCAGAGATATGAGAACACTGAGGCACAGGTTCGAGCAACACAGCAGAAAGTAAAGTACTTGAACCCCGGGGTGTCGGTCCAACGGCAATCGGCCAGCTCGCCCAAAGTAGCCCTCGCCACCGCATATTTCAACAGCATTATTGAGCAGCCCCCAACCTGGGATGCCACCACTTGCTGACGAGCGGCTTCCCTTGGGGTAAAATCATTCAAAATTGGACGACGAAACGATACAACTCCGATGGCGAATTGAGCAGTAATACTGCAGCCGGAGTATCCTTTTGAGGCAATCGCTGAATGACTTCGCTTCCAGCATGGACAAGGCCTTTTAGGCCGGGTCCACGCTCTTTTCCAGCGCCAATTATGGATCGACCTCTGCCAAGATTTGGATTTGATGTCGCAGCGTTTCGCGGACATTTTTGTCACCTTCTCCGTCGCTGTGCATGCCCGATGCTAACCAGCAGATTCTCATATGCAGGGCCATCCGGTTCTAGCGATCAGGGGACGGAACCTTGGTATCCTTAGATGCGATTGCTCCGTCAGGTTACAGAGGATGATGCTTCTATGGCGGCCTTCCGTTCTTGTTCCGAGCGGATTGGCATGTAAGAAACGCCCTCTCCTCGGAAGTAATTGATCGTGGAGAGCTTGCGATCGAGATCAAACCTCGGAGTGGCCAGCTGCGGGTGGGAGCCGCCTGGACGGATCGTGAAAACCTTTGCCCGCCAGATTCAGGATCATTATCCTCCTGTAATGCGCGTGCAATGAAACCCGCGATTCGGCTTGTTGGAAATCATGGCACGTCACCACTCCCTCTTGCAGCAACCGAATATTGGAGGACGCTACATTACCACACCCTAAAAGAACCCGATAATGCACAGCGAGGCAGGCAGCGTCTTCAACGCCGAAGCATGTGTCGGTGCTAGCTTTGCGTGGCGCTTCAATCATACACTAGATGGTTGCGAAGGGGTCAGGCGAGCCCCGGGAGGTCTAGTCGGGGACAACGATGAGAGAGGGTGTCTGAGCTAGTCCGATGATGGAGAACTGTGGCTGCATCTAATTCCAGGGTTTATTGACTCGCACGTGGGTAACCCCTCCGCCCCGAGGTGAAGCAGGCGCCTGGCTTGTTGATCGATACAATCCCCACGGCAGGCGCAGTATTGCTTGTGATGGCGCATTTCCAGAAATTCGAGCACTTTTCAGGAACGCCGAGAATACACTCCCGTCCCACCCCACTTGAAGCACCCCAAAAAGACGCCATACCCAAGCTCAAGCCCCCACCGTGACTGAGCGAGCACGAGATGGAGCTAATAAAAAAGATACATCCATAGATAGCGTTTTTGCATGTAGGGCAAGTGCAACATTGCGCTGGTGGGTGGTCCAAGGTCAAGTGGTCGTCGATGAAGAGGAAGGAGCATGTTCGGAGGGAGCTCCAACTTCCGCGTGATGACCATCGCGCTTACCCTCATCAACCTGTGCGTGACAATAAGGAAGTAGGTAGAAATAGAATGATCATTACAACCTTCAGGAGGTAGCCTAAGGCTTCTCAAAGAATGAAAGATGAAAGGCAGAATGGATTCCTGTGTGCGCTTTCTCCGCCTCACCCGCCACGGCTCCCGGGACCATCGCGTGCTGCAAGGCGTGGCAGTCAGGAGTTGCCGACATGCGCACATCAATTTTTACGTCTTGTACAATATTCAACATAGCATCGAATCGGGCACCTGGCCGTCTCCCACCATCTATCTGCTCCCTAGAGTAAGAAAACTACTGTTTGCACCGCGGTGGAATATGGAGATCCTCGCATTCCCACAAATGCTCGCTTGATCTGGGCTTTAGCTCCTCGCCCAACAGCTCCGACACGAGGAAGAGGACCCATAAAGGAAGCAAAACCCTCCAGAATCCTGGGAGTAGGAGGTCGGTCTGCCTGTTAGATCCAACTTTGAAACTGACATGAAAGTGAGGGTAGATCCACGTCTTTTTGACATTGACAATACTAAATGGGGGTACACTGGAGTGTAGATGCAACTGAAAAGGCGAGATCCAATGCGGTCACTGAGCGTGTCCGCTGAGACGGACCGTTCCTACCGATATGGCTATTTCGCAGAGATTGAGAAGGATTATTTCTAGTGTGGAGAAATGTCAAGTGACACGACCGACGACTTGCACCATCCCCACTCCCCACAGTCTTCGGCGGCTCTCCGGCATTCCTGCCTCCGGTTTGATTACGCCTTGGGCCTTACCCTTCTTAGTGTCCTACCTCACTGTTCAATTCCCTTTTTCTGCATTCTCTTTCACGGCACCCCCGTTTTGGGGCGTCCGCATAACAAGACCCTGTTTCGAAGGCGCGCTATCTACACTTTTTTCCCTTCTGTTTTTTGCCCACTTTCTTTCCTTATTTGGGGAATCGTCCTATGCCTCTTCACCAGCCGGATTCCCTTTTCGCTGGTCACCGACTTGTGGATTGACCTGTTCCTGCGCGTCACGACGGGCTTAGCCTGGATGTTCCAGTGCACCCGTCAAGAGAACTGGAACATCTGAGAAGCGGCCATGGTCGGATTTCCGACAGATGTGCTGTATTCGATACACGCCACCCCCATGTTTAAGGTTCCCATCTTGGCCACGCACCCATGCCCACTACTTACTCCCGGAGACCTCCCTCTCAATGCTCGCCTCATTTGCCCTTTTGGCTCACGAACTAAGATATGCCGTCGTTCCTCGACTCTAACTTGGGTAGCAGACACTCCCCATCATCCCATCTCAAATAAGTGATATCGGTGTTCCTGTTCCTTGCTTTGGAAGGTGGTCTAGCCGCCGATCAACACTGACCACTCCCAGCCAAGTTGAAATCTCCTTCCGCTGTGCATCATCCCCTGTCCATCAAACCGGACTCTTCATTTAGAGTGCCCTTGTCATGATTTTGACACTACCCTATGATGTTGTTTAGGAGGAGAAAAGGAAGAAAGAAAGAAAAAAGGAGAGAAAAAAAGAAGAAGAAAAGGCCCATACACCTATCACACCATCTGTATATGCATTGCAATTGCTTGATGTATATTTGCACCTTTGGCAGGAGACTCTTATCAAGGAGTACCAAGGCCAGGGCGCAGAGGAAGGGGACAGGAAAATGAGGAATAACAAGAAAAATTCAACAGCGTCTGTCGCAACAATAAAAAGCAAGCTATCAATGCCAATCCCCTCAAGCGCGAGAAGCCCCACCAATTTTTCTGGAGCTGCTCTCCGCAACGCACCAGGAAGAAAAGGAATGAGGAACCGCGGCTCCACGTCAACAATGTCAAGCCCACCCGCTACCAATGCAAGCCATCAAAGTCTCTCTTCTTGACAGACCAGATAGCTAGTGGCCTGGCCCAATCGTCTTGTCAAGGGTACTCAGTCATGTTGGCCCCCTTTGCCCCTCCACCTACACACCGCTTGTACCCCTGTACCATTTTCAATTCTATCAATCTGTCTCTTTGGCCTTAATCTCTTGCTCTGATCCCTGGTTCCTCCATCTAAGTGGGATACAGCCGAGGAGACGGAAACACCACCGTCCAACGACACCCTAGGATTACGGCTATGCGACCGTTTACCGAAAGGCACCATCCCACTCACCTTCGCTGGGATGGACACACCCTCCGTTCCCGTACCCCATTCCGGAGTGAAGGGCCAGACTTGGTTTTGACACAAGAATATACACGAGAAATCCAAGTCCCAGATCGGTTAGGTATTTAAGTCTACACGCTTGCCGCATCCGCCGGTTCACCCTTTCCTAGGCACGGTGGCATCCACCGTACGTTGGCCGGACCTAATTCACCCACCCATCGCCCTAAGAGTTACCCAAGTACCTCGTCCCCTTCGTTCACTCCCTTATCTACGGCGGCCTTCTCACTCGCACGCTCTCCTTCTCAGGTCCTGGCCTTCTTGTCAGTCTACCAAACCGCCAGCCACCCCTCCCCCTCGGGTTCTAGTCCACCACCCTTCGCGCCGTACCTCCGTTCGCCTCTGTTCAAATTGCCCTTCTAACTGACGGACTTGAGTTCGGTCCAGCAGTCCCAAGCCCTTCATTTGCGGGTAAATATCGGTAGCCCGACAGGTCTCTCTCTGTGGCCCAGTTCTTCCCGCGCTTGTATAAGGCTTATATAGATTTCACCCATTCTCCCATATAGCCCCATTACCCTATTTCCGCACTTCTCAGATCAGTGGCCGTTTCAGGTCTTCTAGCACCGGGTGGATGATATTTAAAACTACAGGGTAGAGCTTTCGAGGAGCTTTCCAAGCTTTTAGCATCTTAAACTCTTCCGTGTAAGGGTCTTGCTCGGCTTCAAGTACACTTCGTCCCGTCGTTTACCTTACACGCATTCCCCCTTCCTACGAGTACGAATCCGCATCTCCACACTAGGAGCTGGACTTATACGCAACACATCACACTCGCTAACATAAAACACCCACATTCCCGGTTGCATTTCGTCGTTATCCGGTCTCACCCAGCACCACCATCCGCAACCAACAAAAAGAAAAAAGGGAGAAAGGGGAAACAGCAACCAGACGAACCTTGAAATCAAATCCAAAGGGCACGCGTGAAATCAAAGATGAGCTCCCTGGACTTCCGCAACGAGGACCTCGACTCGGACTTCAACGTGTCTCCAATGGAAAGTGAGATGGCCAACTCGACGCCAAACACCGAGTTCTCGCCTCCGTGCAGTCCTCAGCACAAGGGCCAAATCCTCAAGGACACCCGATTGTCCGCAAGGGCTAAGCTCGCCCAGCTGAGCCTGGAGGAGAAAGTATGCCCAGCCACCCTGCGCCCGTTTGTTTCCACATGGACCTACACGATGATGCTAACCTTGGCCATTACGAAAGGTTTCACTCTTGACCGCCGCCGATTTCTGGAGAACCAAATCGATCCCAGAGAAGAACATCCCCGCCATCAAGACGACCGACGGTCCTAATGGCGCTCGAGGTGGAATTTTCGTTGGTGGTACCAAGGTTCGACTCCCAAGATGATCCACAGGGAATGGTAGTGTTTGAGCACACGCTGGCTAGATACTAACCTTGCTCACGCAGGCGGCCCTCTTTCCTTGCGGTATATCCCTTGCGGCAACCTGGAACAAAGCCCTCCTTCGCGAGGTTGGCCATCATCTCGCTGATGAGACGAAGGCGAGATCTGCCAACATGCTACTCGCCCCCACCATTTGCATGCACAGGCACCCTCTCGGCGGTCGCAACTTTGAGTCGTTTTCTGAGGATCCCCTTTTGACCGGAAAACTCTCTGCTCAATATGTCCGAGGCCTCCAAGAGAAGGGTGTTTCTGCCACAGTAAAGCGTGAGTAGCAACCTAGAGCGGCAGCGCTCCTGTTTCGCGTTTGGAGAGTCGCTAACAATTACGTAGACTTTGTTGCCAACGAGCAAGAGACTCACCGACTCACCGTTGACTCGGTCGTCGCCGAGCGGCCTCTTCGTGAGATCTACCTACGGCCCTTTGAGATTACAGTCCGAGAGGCGAATCCGTGGGCCATTATGTCCTCCTACAATTTGATCAACGGCGTCCACGCTGACATGAATGACCACACGCTAAAGGATATCCTGCGTGGGGAATGGGGCTATGATGGGTATGTGTAGCCTTTTGGCTCGCTCCTTCCTCTGATCAAGCGTTTGACTGACCGTTTTTGCTAGAGCTGTTATTTCTGACTGGGCCGGCATGAACTCTACTGCCGAGTCTCTCAAGGCGGGATGCGATATTGAATTCCCTTACTCGCCGAAATGGCGCTTCGGAAAACTCATCGATGCCCTTAATAAGGGTCAGGTCACCCAGGAGGAGATTGACAGGGCCGCAGAGAACGTCCTCACGCTCGTCGAGCGCCTCAAGGGGGATGATATGTCCCCTGAAGAGCCAGAGAGGGAAGACGACAGGCTCGAGACACGACAGCTTATCAGGACTGCCGGCGCCGAGGGTCTTACTCTTTGAAAAACGACGGCGCTGTCCTTCCCCTGTGCCCTAACACGACCAAGGTTGCCGTCATCGGCCCCAACGCGAACCGAGCGATCGCCGGCGGGGGCGGCAGCGCTAGTCTCAACCCCTACTATACTACCATTCCTCTTGATAGCATCAAGAAGACTTCGAAGCAGGAGGTTGTCTTTGCGCAAGGCTGCCACATCTACAAGTGGCTGCCAGTCGCGTCTCCCTACTGCACTGAGAAATCCGGGCAGGCAGGTGTGAATATCGACTGGTTCAAGGGCGATAAGTTTGATGGAGAGCCTGTCGTCATCCAGCGAAGGACCAACACCGATCTCTTCCTCTGGGACTCCGCGCCTCTCAGCCAGGTTGGCCCCGAGTGGTCCGCCGTCGCCACCACGTATCTGACGCCTCCCACCACCGGCCGGCACACCGTCAGCTTCATGAGCGTCGGACCCGGAAAGCTCTACGTTGACGGAAAACTCCGACTCGATCTCTGGGACTGGACCGAGGAGGGCGAAGCTATGTTTGACGGCTCCATCGATTACCTCGTCGAGGTAGACATGGAGGCAGGAAAACCCGTCGAAATCAAGGTCGAGATGACCAACGAGCTTCGCCCCTTTGCCAAGCAAAAGCAGTTTGGCATCACGCACAAATACGGCGGTTGCCGCATTGGGTTCAAGGAGCAAGACCAACTCGACTACATCCAGGAGGCTGTGGACGCCGCCAAGGCCGCCGATGTCGCCGTCGTCATCGTTGGCCTGGATGCCGAGTGGGAGTCTGAGGGATACGATAGGCAGACCATGGATTTGCCGGTTGAGGGAGGCCAGGACCGTTTGATCGAAGCTGTAGTCGCGGCTAACCCCAGGACGGTGGTCGTCAACCAATCGGGCACACCTGTCACCATGCCCTGGGTCAACAAGGTGCCGGCCATCATTCAAGGCTGGTACCAGGGCCAAGAAGCCGGTAACGCTCTTGCGGACGTCCTATTCGGAATCCAGAACCCCAGCGGAAAGCTTCCTGTAAGTTGCCATGGAATGTTTTGTTCTTCTAAACCTCTACCCTTCCCTACCCCTCTTCCCCGTGTGGCGCTGCCTCCAATGTTATCTAACCACATGATTCTAGTGCACCTTCCCCAAGCGTATCCAGGACACCCCTGCTTATCACACATGGCCTGGTGAGAACCTCAAGGTTGTCTATGGAGAGGGCATCTTCATTGGTTACCGGCACTACGAGAGGTCCAAGATCGAGCCTCTTTTCCCGTTCGGCCACGGTATCTCGTACACTACTTTTGAGTACGGCCGACCAGAGCTCAAGCAGCGTGTTCTCAGCGAAAACGGCACCATCGATATCATCATGGGCATTAGCAACACCGGTAGCGTCGATGGCTCTGAAACGATCCAGGTGTATGTCAGTGACGAAAAGTCCCGCCTTCCCCGACCGGAGAAGGAGCTGGTAGCCTTTGAAAAGGTTGCGCTACCCGCTGGCGAGACCCGCCACATCCGCATCAGCCTCGATAAGCACGCCGTTGGGTACTACGATTCCTCTCTCAATGCGTGGATCGCCGAGGAGGGCACTTTCAAGGTGCTTATTGGCGCTTCTTCCGCAGATATTCGGTAAGTGACTGCTCCCGCCGGCTGTAGCCCGTGATACCTTTTATGATGCGTAGAGAAGCAATTCTAACCAAGGAATCCGTAACATAGCCACACTGCCACTTTTGAGGTCGAGGAGTCCTTCACTTGGGTCTTCTAAGCCACCATTGATGTTTCTCGCCCATCTTGCGCCGGCGGCCTCGCGCACCGCTTCATCGCCATCGCCGAGCCTTGCACCTCTCCGTCACTGTGAGATTTTATTCTTACACATTACTCTTCTCCTTTCCCTATTTGTTTTTATTTCTCTATTCATTCAACTTTTCTCATATGTACCCCTTCTTTTTTTACTGTTTTATTGGCAGCCCCAACCGGCCCTCCCAAATAGACACGGGGGCTGCCTATGCATGCATATTCCTCGCCCCTTCTCTTCTTGTTTATTCTTGACCTTCACATCCCGTTCTTTCATATAAGTCATCTCCTCTTCTCTTTCACCCCTCCCAATCTTTTTTTTTTTTCATTTTATTCTTTTTCATTCTTTTCTTCCTTGATTCGTCCCCGCCTTCTCTTCCAATTTCTGCTTTCTTTTTTATGGCATCATGACTTTCCATTTTGTTGGTTTAAAGCCTTTAGAGGCCTAAACACTCTTGATATACCACAGCCACCCCACGCACCTACTGCCTGCATCTTGCTCGATTGTGCAATTCATTCAGCAACAGAACGCCATCGCACCAGAACTAAAGCCGGGGTTTTCGGAAACGGTGACCTGAAGCAGGTAGAGTCTGGATTACACGTTTGGCATGTGCCTTGAAAAAGGCCCACGTCCGGGAAGCCTCGTCTTGGACCGTACCATTTCCGGGTGGCCCAGTCGAGAAATACCATTCTAGATATGAATACAGCATCTTGAGTTGCCTGCTTGCCATCTCCCTTGCCCCATTTTCATTGGGTCCATCCTTCGTTTCCCGTCTTTTTTCTTGTTTCTTGTTTCGTCTTCGTTTGATAAAATATGAAGAAAAAACCCTCTGGTGTTGCATTTTCCTATGTTTGACGAAGCCAAGCATGGGGGTTTTGTAGATGGAATAAAACGCGCCGCTTGGCGATAATGTATTCCCGTGTGCCGGGGTTGGGACGGCGCGGGGGATGCGGAGCCTTGACGCGACTGTCGAGTGGTGGAACATCTTGCGGTCCCGGCAAGGGCCTGGGGTGTTGACTGGCCGGGGCAAAGATTAAGGACGGAGCTAGTGAGAGATGGCACCCTCCGATTGAGAGTGACAAGGTCGTCCATGTCGACACGTTCAATGATGTGTGCGGGAAATCCGCCGAGAAGGAGATCTCGATGAAAAAGAAAAGAAGTACAAGTAGAGGAGAATATTGTTTCGCCCCTGGGGCGAAGAGAATTTCAAGTCCTTGCTCGTTTAAGTTGGAGATAGAGTGACTTGAGGTGGACGTGGTGATTTTAAGGATCCAGATCTATAGTGGTTGTAGCGAGGAGGGAGCGCTGGTAAGTGGTGTGTACTCTCGGCCGAGTGGCCATCAATGAGACCACAATGGACTACAGCAACATGTATAAAACTGAGATCCATGAACCTGTGGGACATGTCTCCTGAATCAATTAAAACAATACTCCTAATACTTTGAGCAGTTCAATGTTGTGCCAGGTTCAGCGCCGGCTTAGAGTTGAGTGTTGTTGGCGGAGGAAGGCGCACCGTGGAACTGAATAATCCCCTTCTACCCACGATTTAGCGCCTCGAGCCACCGCCAAGACGGCATAGAAGGCTCGAAAAACAATTTGACCCAGATTAGCCTGTGTTTAGCCAGACACTGTCTCGTTAACAATGTTCAACTGAAGCCTTTTTTCAAGCAGCATCGTCAGCACGGACGCACCCCCAAATATGCCCTTGCATGAGATCACAGCCAACAAGAATCCTTCGCCTAGAGAAACAATTTCTCTTCTCTTCCCCTCTCGCCCCCTCATTTGTTCTCTTTGTCTTGTTGCCTCCTCCTTCTCCTTTTCGGCTCTACCCCAATGACGGGCGTGAAGGACAGCTTTCTGGACCTTGAGCGCCACGTCCGGCAGCTGGAGGCCAATGTGTCCAAGCTTAAGAAGGCGCTAGAGCACTGGCGGCAGTGGGATGCCGAGTACGAGGCTTTGAAGGAGGAGGTGCAGACGGCTACCGGGGTTGGTGTTGGGGCCGAGTCGGAGACTTCCGCGGCAGAGCTCCGCCGGATACGGGCCGAGTTCGACGGCGACCTCGTCACCGGGAAAGAGGTGGACGAGATTTTGGCCAGGAGCGTGCCCCGCGCACGGCGGAGCAGGTGGTCAACCTGCTGGACCGCAGGATCGAGTACGTGGACAAGAACGTGCGCACGCTCGAGAAGCAGCTGGAGGAGGCGGAGAGGAAGCTGGGCGCCGCGAGCGTGATTAGCGACCCGGGCGCGACGGACGAGACCGGGTTGCCCATCACGGAGATTTTTGAAAGGCTGGATGAGGATGGGAACGTGGTGTCCCATGAGCTGTGGACGCCCGGCAGCAAGATGCCGCAGCTACAGGAGATTCTGCAAAAGGCCGGTGTCGAGAGCGCCGCGTCGCAGTCAAAGCCGGATGGAGATGAGGTGGCCCCGTCAGACCCTCCTAGTGATGTGCGGCCTCGGACCAGTGGTCCTCGAGCGCCGGCTACGGCCGATATACCGGTGCGCATGAAAGAGGTGGTTTCCGATGTCGATCCGGGCGTCGCGGAGAACGAGGAGGTGGAGGAAGGGAGCCAACCTGAGATGTCTCGGGCGGCGCAGCGGGTGCAAAGATTATGGACAAGGCGCGAGAGCAGGAGAAAATAACCCAGGACGCACCCACGCTCCCTGACGACGAATCGCCCGAGGATGCGGCGCTCCGGAGGCAGATGTTGGAGTACACTATGAACAACTCGGCGACGCCCAGCGCGGGCATGGGCGAGGTGGTTGCCATCATGTCGGATCTACGGTATGACGAGTCGGATGATGACTCATTTAACAGCTACGAGGATGATGATGACGATGAAGACGAGGACGAGGACGAGGATGGGGAAGACGGTGAAGAGGAGGACAAGTACGGCCGGACCACCCACCGAGTGATTGACCCAAAGTACCAGGAGCGGATGCTCGACCTCGAGCGACGCTTGGGCGTCCAGTCTCGTTTTACGCGGCAGCTTGCCACGAGCGAACCTGGGACCAACGACGGTGACGGCGAGGGTGACGCCTCGCCCGAACAAGGAAACTTCGAGGAAGGCATCGGCAAGATTGTAGTGAGGCAGCCAGAGGCCGAGGCCAAGACCCAGCCCCCGAACAAGTCGCGGAGCCGGACAGACCGGTCCGCGGCGGACGTACCCGCCTCTGGCAGCATCCTGAAGCCTAGCGGGGCCTCGGGCGCGAAGAAGAGCGTCAAGTTTGCCGAGGCGCTAGACATTGCCCCGGCGGATAATACAACGCCCGGACAAGAAGCAGCGCGCGACGCCGACCCGCGGCCCGAAACGGTCGCGAACCCCGTCAGCGAGTTCATCGTGGAGCAGGCGGACCCTTTGCCGCCCAAGCAACCCGAGACGGCGGCGCGCCCGCGCAAGAAGGCCTCGCGTTTCCAGCAGATGAAGGCATCCTCGGGCGTCTCTGCCGCCGCAGATGCTTTCGAAGAGGAGGGGACGGAGGAGGGGAAACCCCAAGAGTCGGACACCATCATGCAGCCCCTCGCCTGGTCGGATACCCCCGCCTCTTCTCGGAGGCGGGGTAAGTCGGCCAAGGTCCGCGGGGACCCGGATGACTTTGACGAGGAAATTGATCGCCGGGAGATTGCCGACGAGTACCAGCGTAGGCGGCGGAAGATGATTGCGCAGCAGGGTGGTTTCCTCAAGGAGGAAGAGAACGCTATAGAACCAGTTGACGACGAGGGGGAACCGCCCCGGCGGGTGAGCCGTTTCAAGGCAGCCCGGCTAGCGAGAGACTAGGATAGACATAATCTTTTTTTCTCCTTCTTCATTTCCTTTTCCTTTCCTTCAAGGGAGCCCTCCATGGCCCGAGTCCCAGTGTGATACCCTCTACAATCTTCTTCTTTGCTCCTTTGCTCCTTTGGTCCGTTAGTCAACCTTTCCCGAACCCGTGTTCCGAACCAGGGACCTATTCCTCCACGTTCACGGAAAGGTCGAGCGGGTCCTAAAGACCTAATCGATCGAATCTGTGATAATCTACGCAAACTCAAGATTTGGTGGACTTCACTCGCAGTGCACGGAACGCATCGTTTCTGACAATTGATGGGTCGCGGCTTCAATGCGCTTCCGCATTACTTGCTGTTCCAAGATTCAACGTCTAGGGACTCTCTGACGCCATAACCCTTGGCTTTTCTCTTCCATGGTTTCGGCGATTTTAAATGTCCCCTACATGTCGTTTTACTTCACAGCCATTTCCCTCTCTCTTTCTCTGCTCTTCCTGTGACATCATGTTGAAAAAGGGTCAGGCCCAGGCTAAACATCTTCGGGGTTTCATTGCTTCTTGATGGATGGATATCGTTGTCACATTACTCATATCAAACAGTCCAAGTCTTTTCAACCATGGACGATAAACAAAACCTATAGTTGTATAATAAAAACTAGATTAAAATGGCATATCCCTTTGCATCAACCTTTTCCCGTTTAGCTAATCTTGGCGTTGCTAAAGTCCATCTCCGGGTGCTCTTGTTGGAACTTTTAAGAATGTCAAGCTTCTTCTGCTCTTCAGAGGTCGGAAGACCCTGCTCCTTCTGCCTCTGGTCAAACATCATTTTCTCAACCATCGCGCGCGTCTGTCCATCCAGGTCAGAGAGCTTCGACTCGCCGGGGTTGATCTTGGTCACGTCGATCCTAGGGGCGGTAACGATGACATGGGCCCACCACTCCATCTTGTTGACTTTGTCAAGGTGGATTTCGACAGTCTTGGTGCCGTCAGGGGCGGTCGTCAAGGTCCACGTAGAATCATCGACGATGACGGGATGTGGGAAATCGCCCTGTAGAGTATTGCGAGGATCATTGTTAGTTGTGTTGGGATCAAGGACTATCTGGCAAAGACAAGACAAGAAAAGAAAAAGGAGTATAGAGGAGAAGACATAGTCGCTTGCGTCGGGGATGCGACGTACGCTGATGATGGGGTCTTGACCCTTGATACCTGCGACAAGTTTGGTCTTCTTGATATCAATGTTAAGGTCCCTGCCCTTGAGATTTCCCGGGATGGTGATGTAAACGTCGACATCGCCAATAGTCTGGTTCCATTTGTAGGGGAGAGCGGCCTGCTCCTCGGCTTCCTTGGCGCGGGCGGCGGCCTCCTGTTCGGGGGTGAGATCTAGATCACGAAAGTGAGGAGGGGTCATTAGCTATTGGGCCCTGGAGAAAGAAGAATGTTGCGCCCGCGCTTGCGTCCGCGCTCCCACCGCGTGCTGTGCTTCTCATGGAATGTCGCGGGCTTTGGAAAGATTGTGAGAAAATGCAAAGGGCTGTGAGACGTACCTTTATCGGCCATGGCGCGTTCTCTTTTCACTTGACAAAAAGTGAAGGGCGATCAATAGGTGATGGGGTATTTGGGGTTGGAGGGGGAGCTTTCGAAGATGGTCGAAGGTTCCAACTAAAACGTCAGTTTCTCTGTCGTAGTGGGGGTTTGCGCCCGGAGAAGGAACACCCCACATTGTCATTTTTAGAACCTGCTGCTCTTCGGGGACCAGTGGAGGGGTAAAAGAGCAAGACGCTAAGTAGGAAATTGTTTAGCTTCTGCACAATCTGTGGCCCAAGCTTTTTTGCCTGCAGCCAGGCCAAACAGCTACAATTCCTCCGGTTCCTCGCGAATCAACCCAGCCTCGTGCAATCATACGCCTTTACACCTGCACATCCTTCTCACGAGGCCAGACTGGACGATGCCCAGCCCCGGTCACTCCCCAGCCGAGCCATTTTCCCCTAGGCATCAACGTTCCTGCAAGAGGCTAGAGCCATTGACCGATGATTTGATCTTCAACAGCCCGGACACGAAGTTGGCTCCCTTTCGCCACCCGAAAATCCACAAAGGTCCAGCACTTTCGGGTGAGGACGCTGCGCTCTCGGAGCGTCTCCAAGCATACATACGCGGACATAGAGTCGATTTCTTCCCTTTCAGGATCGCGATAGCGCAGGCGTAGGGACACCATGTCGCGCAAAGCCTCGGCCTCGGCCGGCCGCCCTGGCGCTCTCCCCTCCATTAGCGGGGATAATCCAGCCGAAGACATCTGCCCCGTGTGCAAAACCTCCCGCTACCTCAACCGCGACCTCGAGTTCCTCATCAATCCCGATTGCTACCATCCCATGTGCACCAATTGCGTCGCTCGCATCTTCAAGGATGGCCCCAACCAGTGCCCCTACGCCGGCTGCTACAAGACACTGCGCAAGCGCGGCTTCCGCCCCCTTGGTTCAACGATCTCTCGGTCGAGCGCGAGTGCGACATCCGCAAGAGGGTGGCTGCCGTCTTCAACAAGGTCGAGGACGACTTCGAGACCGTGGACGACTACAATAACTACCTCGAACGCGTGGAGGACCTGACAGACGCCCTCGTCAACGGCCCAGAGGACAAGCGCATGGCGGGCGAAAAGGAGCTGATGGAGTGGGAGGCATCGAACAAAGCCGAGATCGAGGCGAATAAGAAGCGTCGCGGGGAGGCCGACGAACTCTCCAAGAAGCGCATGCAGGCCGAGGAGCAGGCGGCCAAGGCCCGTCGCCTCGAAGCCGTGCGCGAGGCCCAACAGGAGCGCACGCGGGATGCCAAGCTCAAGGAGGAGATGCTCAACGGCTTAGCCCGCGGCGAGGCCGGCCACGCCGCCGAGACCATGAATAGGATCATGCTCAAGCGCCGAGGCCAGGGCAAGCAGCAGCAGCAGGCCCTGTACGACGGCGCGAACCCCAACCTGTCAATCCGCGGCCTCAAGGAGAAGCGCCGCGCCGACGACAACCTCCCCTACGACCCCTTTGGCGGCCTCGACCTCACCCCCTCACGGTACGAAATCACAGACTATGGCAACTATCACAGCGAGTGGCTCGAGAACGCTCGCTCCAACACAGAGTACCGCGTCGGCGGTTACGCAGTCGAGGAGTACCTCTCCCGCGTCATGTTCGAGGCCTTTTCCGGCATGGGCGTCTTCATCGAGGACGAAAAGGAACAAGCTAGACCCACGCCCGAAATCAAGCTCGAGGTCCCCGTTAAGATGGAGGTGGACGATGTATTCTGAACAGAAGACAGCGCACGGCGAACGTGTCCCGCTTGAGGAATGGGGGTTGGGATTTGGGCGAAACTGGTGGCTCATGAGGAGTCGAGGGCCTTTTTTTCTTTTTTTTTCTACTTCTTTTTTTTTTTTTTCCCTTACGGATTCTTCTTATACTAGCATGGCATTGTCCAAGTACCGGCGTTATAGGAGGAAGTGAGTTTTGCTGGCGAAAAATTCAACGAGAATACTAGATCCGCACCAACTAGTTAGACGCAGAAAACAACACAGGCATCGCATGGAGAATCTCTCAAATAGATTTCGTTTGGAATGACACAAGAACAGGCAGAACGAGACCATTGCTACACTTCGTTGAACATGATAGGACCGCAACAAGACGACGTATTTGAGATGGACGACCAAGGCGAGCCAAACTACTACTACCCGTTTAGCAAGATGTTTTAATTGAATCAATTCTACCATCCCGTTTGTCTAGCCAAAACCTCTCTCCCCCTCCTAACCATTCTTCAACTTCCCCTAGCGACGTCTCACTGTGGGCCAAGCCTTCAAAGAACCAAGAGAAAAAAATCAATACAAAACCATCCTCCAAGAAACGCCTCGCTCGCCAAAAGATGAAACCAAGGCTGGGTGTATGTTTTCACACCTAGAACAAACTAAATAAAGAGAGCGGGAAAAAGAGGAGCTTATGCAAGAAGAGAGGTGGTAGGGAATAGAAGAAAAAGGTGAAAAAGAAACCAAAAAAGAGAAGAAAGCTCGTCTCTAGGAAGAGGCAGCGCGGCTCGATGCGAATCTTGTGCTGTTCAAAGCTCCAGATGCCACAAAAGGACAATTCATACTAGAGGTGGGCGAGCGAGTTTGACGAGAACCACAAAGGTTAAATTGTTAGGGCAGATTGCAGGCATGCAAGCTGGTAAACGGCAGAAACTAAAAGCCGGACGTGATAGCGTCGGGGAAGGAGAGAGCTGCTAGATGATGGGGTAGATGTAAAGCTCGGGATCAAATGCTACTCTATTGCCCAAGGATATACTACTGTTGCCAAGGAGTCTGCTGCGCAGGGCGTGGGAAGACAGGGACAGTCTGCATTTGGTCCAGGCCACCACCCATGGGCGTTTGATTGTGCTGCCACCCCATGCCTGTGTTGTGGTTGACGAATGCGCTTTGGCGGAAGGGATTAGTCCCCGTGGCCTGAGGCACAAGGGCACCCGGAGTCGCGGCAGTCTGCTGAGGCTGCTGCTGGGGTGCCGCAAGATTCTTGGCAAAAGGGTTCGTCCCGGTAGCCATAGGCTGGAGAGGTGCAGGTTGTTGCTGTTGCTGTTGCTGTTGCTGCTGCTGCTGAGGGAAGACACCTCCGGTTTGCTGGGCCAGGGCAAAGGATTGGTGGACAACCTGTTGGCCGCTGGGCTAGTCGGCGTAGACAGGGTGTTAGCTTGGATGGGGGATGGCACTTGTTGGTTGACAAGCATGGAGGCGCGGAACGGATTTGTCACCTGCGGTGCCCCGAGGGAGGGGCGCCGGTCATGGTGGGTTGCTGGAAGGAGGCAATGGTATTCTGGGGGATGGTGCCAAGAGTGCTAGGTTGGAAGCTTGGTTGAGGCGTAAAGCCCCCGAAGCCAGCGCCGGTGAGGTTGGGTTGGAGAGGAACACCTGTCGGTTGAGGAGCGAAACCAGCCAAGACTTGCTGTTGGAAGGGATTGTGTGCCCCGAAGCCCGTGGGTTGGGCCATAATGGCGCCATTGCCAATGAAGCCAGTGGGTTGCACCTGGAAGGGGGCGGCATTTACAAACGCCATGTTTGTATGGACGGGAATCTGAGGCTGGGCTTGGGGGCCTGCGCCGTCGGGTCTACTGCCATGGTTGTCTGATTCTGTTCGATAGAGTCAAAGAAGTCGATTAGATCCTTGTCAGGTCCTTTGGTAGTCTGCGCGGACTTCGGCGGAGGTTGCGACCCGTTGGTAGATGAGGAGGCAGCGGCGGCAGTCGGTTTGGAAGAGGAGCTGGATTCGGGTGGCTGGAGTCGGGCGATCCCCGAAGTTCCTCCTGTCCGTCCCGACTTTTTCTTTGCGTCAAGCTCGGCGATGTATTGCCTGCGATGCACTTCAAAATCAGGATCGCGGAGGTACTCTTCTAGCTGGCGACCAAGGTGAACGGGCGCGTGCTTCAACTTCGGAACCTCTACCCGGGTGTGGTGCTCATGTTGGCGCGCAACCCCTAAGTACTGCACCACATAGTCGGTCTGCTTTGTGAATTTCCGGTAAACGTTGAGGGCTCGCTCCGCGTCAGGCTTGGACATCTCGAAGAAGTGACCTGGAAAAGAGGGTTAGCGTTGGACTGGTGGGCCAAGCGATTGGGAACGCCACGGCATACCTAGAATGTTGATGAGTCCCTGGTTGAGGACCTGGAAGAGGGCGAGCAGATCGAGCACGAGCAAGCGGAATGCTGTTATTGAGATCTCATTTTCCGGGTCTTGGTCCATAATCTGCGCGAAGTTGGGTTAGCAAACTCATCGTGTTTGCGGCTCGAGGAATATTCCAAATCGCTTACATCGCAAGCCAGGAGGGCGGAAATCTGGTGCTGTACCACCTCAGTCTCGCGCAGGAGTCCCTTCTCTACCGATAATTCCTCAAGGCGGGATTCCTTGGCCCTGACCCAGTCGCATTTTGTGTCCCTGTATGCCCGGGCTCGTTCGCTGAGATATCGCGCGTAGTGGCGGATGTTGCGACCTTGCGTTTGAGCTGGTACCCAAGAGATTAGCCGGATGCATCAATCGGACGGGCCCATGAGGACCAAGCCCAATGGATGAAGAGGGAATTGGAGAAAAAAGCAAAATAGAAAACGAGGGCGGGGGTTACTCACCATCGGTGAAGCTGCTAATGGCGAGGATATTGGTATGTTTGGCAAGATATTGAAGAGTGGCATCCGCTCGCCCCTCGCGGATCATGAAGTGAACCGTGATCAAGCCCTTGAAAACAACAGTCCACGTCGAATCGCGCAGGCGGAATTGCAGGGCCCGAAACACCTCGCCAATACCGGCCTCTCCGGAATGGGTCGCCACAAGAATGTGCTCAATATACTTGGTTTTGGGAGGTGCGGCCTTGATTTTGGTGGCGCCCTTGACGGACTTCTCAAATGAGCTCGACATGTCGGTGCTGTGTGGAGGGTTGGGCCAAAGGGGCCAGCAGCGGTCGACTTGGTTCTCGTCGGGACGGGGAGCCGCCGATGAGTGAGAAGCGAAGGGAATAAAATGTACTTGAGACGGAATCGACTCTCCGAGGAAGTTATCGCGAAAGGTCGAATCGACGGAAGACGTGGAGGATGGCGGAGATGGTCGGTGCCATGAGACGTACGAATCTCAGGGAATCGATGGACCAAGGAAGGAGCCCGATCGGCAGGGGCGAGAATAAAGAAAGAAGAAGAGAACCCGAAAAGAAAACCCCGCAGCAGGACGAATTCGAAGCCGACAACTTTTGAGATGTCCGGGGAAAGAGGCGTTGAGCTCGAATCGAGGCGTTGACGTTGGTCGAACCGAGTTTGTTGATATCCTGGGCGCGGGGGACCCAGACGGAAATTATCGTCAGGCTGCTGACGTTGCGTAAGGCGAGGTTTTGGGCTGGCGGATTTAGCTGGCGGTTGGCGGGCGAAAATCAGGGAGCCAGTAGAGGGAGGTGTGGGAGGATGATCGTTAGTTCCCGGGTTGGATAGTTTCCGTATTATGGAGTCACCTATGACCGCACAAGGGAAGAAGAAATTCAAATGCCAAGGCCGGACGAGGCTGCTTGGGAATTTATGTGGCTGGGAGCCGAGACGAAAGTCCTTGGGGGCGAGCACAGGGCCGGAAGACCGTAACACCAGTGAACTCGGATTCACGACTGGCCTCAACACCCCGATAGCTTGGGACTTGGAACATCGAAGGGACCTCGATTGACACAAGCTGCCTCAATGGATCAATTGAGCGGACCTTTGTAAGTTCCCGGGGAAGGCGGCGCTAGGAATTGCTGGTTCTAGGGAAAGGCGCTGACACCCCAGCGCCCACATGCTGCCAGTACTTGGTACATGTGCCCTGACGTATTGGCACAGGCTCTAGATCAATTCCCCAAAAGGACCCCAGTGCGACACAGTTGAAATTACCACTTCACCTTGTTGCCCCCAAAGAATTGAACCCCTGTTCTGGGCAACGCAGTCGACCACATAATTCCTCCAAAGTTCTGCCGACGTGACCCCACATTGAGAGGTTGGTTGAAATATTTGGGGAACAGCCGCGAATTGTGTGTGGAATTTTTTTCCTTTCTTCTTCATCCCTCCTTCAAGTAAATGTGAGTACCCCCAACCTATGAACCCAAGAACCACAACGCTCCATTCCTCGCGTTCAACTCCTATATTCTTGCTCTCAGAATGCAGGCTAACATTGGTTACTAGGTGATGATACCTTCGTGCTCTAGATGATTTTGGTGGTCTCCAAACAGAGCAGTAGAACTCTCCCCTTCGGGGGCCTAAGTGGTTCTGCTGTAATGGTTGGTAGGCACCATGATATCTGCGTCTGACACACCCTTACCTTGACTTTATCGGACGCGAAGAAAACGGCAATCTGATTACCCTGAAGTAGAGGTCTTTCTTAAACGGCTCGTTGATAAGAGTTGTCTTCATCTCGAGCCCCATCCCTTTATTTCATACGTTGTCAGCCTCATTCCACATCCTACCCACATCTTTCCCTGACTCTAGCGGGATCTGGACAAGGCCAATGTTGAGCGGCCGGTTGTACGCAGCCACGCATTTAGCAACCGCCATCCTTTCCTTGCTGTCTTGTGAGAATGAGAACCCAAGCTAGCTCCGTTGTCAATCAAGTGATATAACAAGCTGGGCTCCTCGCACTCTGCCAACACCACATTCTTCACCTCCCCGTTCAAGTTCTCAATTTTCAAGTGCCCTTTTTAAAACATATACAACCCTCAATCAAGCTGGCGGTGCTGCAAATCGCACCCGTAACAGGAACTACTTGCACGATTGTGTACATATTAAGTAGTAGATATGAATAAATGATCAAATAAAATCTGAAAGCTAGTATATGGGTCCCTTGGTGCCCTTTTTTGCCAAATGCCTTTCGCCTCTTTCGTAGAGCACTTTTTTCAGTCTTGAAGCTCAGTGCTGCTGTCGTGCTGTGCTCTGTTCTGCCTTGTCGTGTGGTTTAACGATCCCATGTGGAGCTTGGACCACCTAAAAAGAATTATTTCTCCAATGAGAGTGACAGTGCAAACAACATGCGATGTTCCATTTCAGTCTCATTCACTCAGTCGAGCTTCTTATCTTCTGCCTTCTATACGGCATAGTGATGTCGATTTCATCGCACCATCCACACCTATAACCCATATGGCATCTTCGGCCCTGCGGAGATGTTCCCTTAGGGGAGCTGCCTCCCTCCGGTCACCCTCGGTCTCGAGGTCTTGGACCCACCTCCAGAACAGGTTTTACTCACCATCCTCCGCCAAGCTGACAAGCTCTGAGTCGCAATGGGAGAAGCTTGTCGAAGAGTACAAGGCATATCTCGGCCCCTTACCCCAGGAATCCCCCAAGGATCTGTTCGTGAACCCAAAGCCCGCCAAAGACGTGACCGTCAACGGGTCCCTGGAAAAGAAGCGAGTCGTCTCTTCAAAACTGGGCTTCGTCACCGTCACCCGCGACTCTGCCGGGATCGAGGTCCCCGTCGTCTTCCAAGGAAAGGAGTTGTTGCAGAAACTGCGCCAGATCCCTCTCTTCAGCGCCGTTTCAATCAAGGGAGAGCTAGTGGAGAAGCCGGCTAAGGCATCCGATCCGGATGCGCCTCCCCAGTATGAGCTCGTCGCCGAATCCGTCGACTGCCTCAGCCCCTTCCCCAAGGACATCGCCCTGACGGAGAGCGACAACTTTGCGCCCGAGTCGCGCTTCCTGCAGCTGCGGTTCCACGCCGAGTTCAGGCACCGCCTACGGTTCAGGGAGTGGCTGCAGTCCACGTTGAGCGCCGTCGCGAGCGACCTCGAATTCAGCGCCGTCACCACGCCCATGCTCTTCAAATCCACCCCTGAGGGTGCGCGCGAGTTCCTCGTGCCCACGCGCACAAAGGGGCGTGCCTACGCCCTGGTGCAGAGTCCTCAGCAGTACAAGCAGGCGCTCATGGCTTCGGGTATTCGCGGCTACCAGCAGTTTGCTATCTGCTTCAGAGACGAGGATTTGCGCGCCGATAGACAGCCCGAGTTCATGCAGGTGGGTGTTGCCCCCGACGCACCAGCCCTGGACGGCCCCAGTCGTTCTCCCTTTTTGCTAATAGGTCCGCGGGGTTGTAGTTTGATCTTGAAAAGTCGTATGCGGACGGAAAGAAGATCACGTCTGATATAGAGAACATTGTTCGAACAACGTGGCAGCGCTTCCGCGACGGCCACGTTTTATATCGATACGGCGACTCCTTCATCCCAGTGCAGACTCAGCACGCCTCTCGACCTGACATTCAGGTATCTATTATCCCCCCTCACTCTTCCTCATCCCCTTCTAGTTTTGGAGGAATCCCTGAGACTAACACTGTTCAGAAACTGGAATCACAATCGATTCCCGCGCTCCCAAGCGAGCCTTTCCCGCGCATGACTTACCAGGAGTGTATGGCTCTCTACGGAATCGATAAACCCGATCTTCGTATTCCCGGCCAGGTAAGTTCGCAGCGCACCTCCACCCTTCCTTTCCAATTCCTTGCTCTCTAACTCATAGTAGATTGCCGATGTTACGAGGCACCTCGACCAAAATTTCGTCGGTATGATCACCTACCTCAAGGAGCCGATCGTGGAAGCCTGGAAGTTTCACTTGGGGTCTTCCGTTCGCGAAGCACGAGGTTTTGTAAACGAGTTTATGAACGGCCTCAATGCCCAGTTCCGAGACCACCCAGATGGGACGCCCCAGGTGCTCATCTTCGATCCCCAGAAGCCTCTGGACGGATTCTCATCGATGGGGCCCGAGGGCATAGAGCCATTACTACCAGACTTGGGACCCGGTGACCTAGAGCCCGGTGACGTCGTCGTCTTCCAAGCGAGGAAAAAGGGGCCATTTTATGGTGGCTCTACCAACCTCGGCGAAGTTCGCAAGCGCATCTTTGATGCTGCCGTTTCAAAAACCTGATAGAGGCGTCGGAAGGATTCAAGTTCCTCTGGGTCACGGAATTCCCCTCTTCAGCCCCAAGGAGGAAGACACGCCGGGGCAAGGCGGCACCGCCGGCTTCAACTCCACGCATCATCCTTTTACTGCGCCTCTGACGCCGCACGACTTTGAGCTCCTCCGTACCGACCCCTTGCAAGCCAAGGCCGATTCCTACGACCTCGTGCTCAACGGCACAGAGGTCGGCGGCGGCAGTCGCCGTCTCCACCGCGCCGACATACAGGAGGCCGTCATGCGCGATATCCTAGGCATGAGCGAGGAGCGCATCGCCGACTTCGCACCCCTGCTCAGCGCCCTGCGGTGCGCGCCACCGCACGCTGGTTTCGCCTTTGGATTTGACAGGCTCTGTGCGCTGCTGAGCGGCACTAACTCGATTCGAGACGTCATCGCGTTCCCCAAGAGTATGAAGGGAGAGGACTTGTTCGCGAGGAGCCCTGGTGAGATGACGGAGGAGCAACTGGCGACGTATCACTTGAAGTTGAGGGACTAACTGCCCCAAGGCCTTGTACTTTTTCTCCACCTGTTTTTTTTCCTGTTGACCTTTCTTCTTCTTGATGTGTTTTATATGGGCGAGTTTTCACATATAGACAGACTCCTACAGATAGGGGCAGTGTACGATTTCATGTTGGAACAAGAACATTCACATCTTCATCACCTGTTCACAGGCTTGGAAATATCGTCCAGCACGGGGACATGTATACGTTCAACTTTGATTAAAATTTACTATTCTTCGAGGGGTTTTTGTTAAACGGGTGGTGTACACAACAAAAGAAAAAGACAGGGACGAGAGCCCTGGACTACACAACATAAAAGATCTACCCGTAGGAAAGCGTGCTCTTTCTAAAACAGAGCCGCTTTTAATAGTTATACCAGCCGGAAATGGCTTAACCGCGCCTCCTGGTGGTGCCCTTGCGGGGGTGGTGCCGGTGGAAGTAGCCGAGGAGAGGCGGCAAAGGGTGCGGCGGCCTCGCGCTTGACGGGGGCGGCAATAACGCGGGGCTGCTTCTTCTTGCTAGCGGCGGCAGAGGAAGGCGAGTTCCAGTAGAAGATCATCTGGGCGGCGAGAACGGCGTTGAGCGCGAAGCCGGCGATGAAACCGTAGAGGATGAGCTTGTCATCGACCTCCTGGAGGGTGGTGAAGATGCGGGTAAGGGATCCGACGAGATAGTTGAAGACCTAGATTAGGGAGAAAAGGATAGCGGGTTAGCTTCAGGAATAATGGAAATTTTACAAAAGGTTACAAGGCGTGGAACGTACGGTAAAGGCGCTAAGCTGGCCGGTACCACCCTCGGACCAGATGGCAAGGATTTGTGGAACCTTGCTAGCGACGCCGAGGGTGCCGGCGCCGGCCTGGAGGTAACCCAGGGTCTTCATGTCGAGGACATTATCAGTAAAGAGCGCGCCGGCAGCGCCGGCCAGAAGAGCGACAAAGGCGGCGGCGAGACCCTTCTTGCCCGAGTACTGGAGGACAAGCACGGAGATGACGACGTTTTGGACGAGGATGAGGGCGGTCTCGCCGTAGGTGGAAAAGGGGAAGCCGTTGCGGAAGTTGTAGGCGAGGCCGATGAGGTAGGCGGCGGTCTCGAGGAGGTAGGAGAGGAAGGAGACGCCGTCGGCGCTGCGCGACGAGGTGAGCTTGAGGATCTGGGGCACCTTGACGATGGAGGAGGCGGCGACGATGCCGATGCCGAGACCCTTGGAGATGGCGAGCTTGAGGCAGGCTTCGTCGGTGAGGTCGACGTCGAGGAGAAGGGTCTTGTAGCACGACTCGCCGATGAGCGAGACGCCCAGGTCGCGGATGGGCGCGGGCAGGTTGTGCGTGATGGGTTGGAGGGTGTTGCGGAGGACGTCCATCGTGGCGAGGGATGTGGTGGTGGTTTTTTTTTGTCGGCTGTTTTGGCGCGTTGCGTGTAAGTGGCTTTGTTGCTTTAGGAATTTTCTATTTTCCCTTCCGTTTTGATGGATCGCGCACAAGGGGCTTTGTCTCCGATTTGGGAAGCGCACGAGAGGTGATGTTTGAGGGGTAGGCTAGACGCGACGAGTCGAGGGCTTCGATGACGAAGGGTATATTACGTGAAGGGCAAAGGGGGTCGTGGTGGATTTGTAGAACCACCACAGGAAGTATGTAATATTGATTATTTAGTTTTTTTGTTCGAATTATTATGGATGTTTCTCTTGCCTTCTATTGTTACCCCTGTTCTATAAGTGGACACGTTTTGCGCCGCATCAATTCTCGGCTGATTTTTTGTACTACAAGTACCGGCCTTGAACACAGCAGACACCCTCTTTTTGTGGGGGTCTTTTTTTCAATTCTCTTTTTCTCTTGATTCAGGATTAAAAAGAAAAAGGAAAATATGCGTTATTCGGCCAAACCGCTCGGCCTCTAGCGCGACCCCAAGCTGAGAAAGGGTGTCTCGTTGAGAAAAAGAAAATTGGGACGGAAGGGTTCAGACAGTCCTTCATGCCGTGCTTTCCCAGCACAAGAACCGCACGCGATCCATCTTGTCAGAATGACAGGCGCGGGGATCCAACTGTCAGTGTATGGCCGACCAATTGCCGTGATCTATGGATGTGTTTGTTCCTCTACTGTTGGTAAAGCCGACTTACCGACTGGCCAGCCATTCCGACTAAGATACAAATCCGTAAAATTACGAAGCTCACTCTCCTGGATCTGTACATAAATCTACCTTGTAAGGGTTGAGATGTCCAACTGCCTATGAGCTCTTCCCAGCCTCACTTGAGAAACGGTGTGGTCCTCATCATCGTTCATTGTACCTTACTCGTGTTAGCAAGCTACGAGGCATGGCAGTTGGTCTCCAAATCCCGCCAACCTGCTCTCCTCGACACTGCTTTCTAGCAAACACTTCAAGATGTGGTAGGAACGCAATGCAATGACATATAAATCTTAACAGAGGAAGAGCTCCTCGTACTATTATATGCTATCCGCGATAAGTTGGCCTGAAAGGTGTGGACTATAGCAGTGCGGACTTATATGATTAGGTCCTTTGATATCATCACCAGTATCCAGAGATCCAGGTTCCGTCAGGGTGTCAGTGGTAGTATTAGTGGCCAATCCAGCCAAGCCAGTGTGGCCAGCCTCAAAGAAGTGGCCAGTTCAGATGCACCTCGCGTGCTGTCTAAGTTGGGATCAGGGGACTGGCAACTGATGCCGCTTGCAAAGAACTCACAGGTCAGCTGAAGTCGCGACCCTGGCCTGAACTCGAGAAGCGGTTGGCTGAGAATGGCTTACTTGCCCCACTCGAGCCTCTTTGTCCCTCGCACAGACTTTAGGTGGACAGAGCTCCTGGCGCCTTCCGCGACAGGCACGCGTTCAGTTCGTGGGAGCGCGATCGTGTTTAATGGGTTTTTCCTCGCTTAGTTGGTCCTCCGTCGTCCACCAGGCAATGGGGTATGTCGTTTGTACATGTCCGACCAGACTCCAACAGCCTCCATCAAGCATGCGCTGTCCGTCCTAGCACTTTGCTTCTCAAATCACGATACTGCACTCCTTTTTTTTTTCTTCCTCTCCCTCCTACCTATTCTTCATTCTCACGTCCTTCCCTTTCTCCTTTACCCCTTAATTCATCGCCTTTTCGAAACGGCGCTTTCCTAATCCCTTGCGCACCGCTCTCCCTTTTCGCATCTGAGCGAATCTTGACATCCAGGCCCTAGACCTCTCGTCTGAAGCGCCTCTCAATGTCTATCGTATAATTTCTGGTTAACGGGCTTACTCCACCCCCTTCCCCCTCCGCTCCCTTGCGAGCGACTCTGTCGCGGCCAGGAACCTTGCGCTTGGTAGAATCGTTATGTCTGCGATCCTCCAAGCTCTTCCTCCTCGACCTCCTACTCCTCCTAAAGAGCCCCGATACGATCCCATGGCCGATGCTCCCCTGAAGCAAGTTTTGGCTCGCCAATCCTTCGATCCGAGACTGAGCCTCCAGACCCCGCCCAACGGCGTGTACTCCCCTCGATCTACTGCGACCGAGTCCAACCCCAGCTCGAGACGAAGCGGGAAAAACGTAGCTTTTGCTTCGGATACCCAAGTCCGGGAAGCGCCCAGCTACGACGCTGAGAACAAAGCCTCGCCGCCTTCGGGCCCGCTCTTACCCTCATCCAAAGCCTCGAAGCCTCAAAGGGCATATTAAAACCCTTCCTCTCTCCTAACCCGCTTGAGATCGCGTTCAATACCGCCAATGGTGTGACGAACCAGTGCAGTCTCATCACCATGCTGGAGTCGTCAGCCCGCCGCTTAGCCGGCGATGACCGGATTGACAAAATGGATGCCTACGGCATTCTTAGTCGCGCCCTACGAGCATCTAACAACCTGCCCGATAGAGTCGCCCTCCAGGAGAGGATGCCCCGATTCATGGACTTCATACAGCGTGACATCACCATCTCGCCCTCCGACCCGTCCCTCACGAATCACGCACTTACCTTCCTACTCACCATCTTACACTTCCCCGGCGTCGCTAGTTCTTTGAGCAACGAGTTTGGCATCTTCATGGTCGATCACTGCATCCGCTCGTTTGGAGATTCTGCCGTTTCCAAGGACGTAACTCGCCATCTGCTCCAGGTCGTCGCGCAACAAAACTTTTCTCAGCGGGTCATGACCCCCGACCGGGTTGGCCGTCTCCTTGCCGCGCTGAGCAATATTGAGCAGCATGTGACTGGTAAAAGCATTATACACTCCCGTGTCATGATTTATCGCCGCCTGGTCAAGCAGTGCAAGCCTTTGATGGTCACCCACACAAACTGGATTCACGACCTCCTCACTGACTGCCTTAGTAGCAACAAGGACATTCGGGGCGCTGCTATTGTCCTCGGGTTTGAGGCTGCATCCTCCATCGGAAAGGATCGGCAGATTTCCAAGAAACTTGCCGAGCTCTTCCAGGCCATGGTCGACGACCAAAAGTATATCGACTTTTGCATTGAACGGCTGAAAACGATGTTACGATCGAGGCAGGACGCACCCTTTGTTCCCAAAATATGGAGCGTCATCCTTCTTCTCCTCCGCGGAATTCACCTCGAGAAATGGCAATACCTCAACAGCTGGCTTCGTGTCATCCAGCTATGCTTCAACTCCAGCGACATGACAACGAAACAGGAGGCCAACTATGCCTGGAACCGATTCGTCTATGTGCTACACTTTGAGGAGCCTACATACACCAAACTGCTCGGCACCACCCTTTGCCAACCTGTCTGCAGTCAGTGGAAGCGAAAACCGTCGGCACCCAAGGCCGACGAAGGTTTCCAAAATGTCATCCTGGGCAGCGCTTGCAACCTGTTTTACTACACCTTCAAGCCTGGTGTGTCCCAGGGACTCGTCGACAAGTACTGGGATGTCACCGTCAAGCCTATTATGCAACAACTCTGTGCCAACGGCCAACCGGAGGAGCGCGTTGACCAGGCCATCACTATTCTTACTAGTCTCTTCGACAACACGACACGTCGCCCATGGGTGGAGGATCGGGTTCTCACGAACCCACTCGCTGATGCGATGGAACTCCCACCATTAGAACCCAAGTGGCTCCGGCACAATGCATCCAGAGTTTTCGGCGTGGTTCAACCCATCCTAGACAGGAACTTCGCTGACCTTGCAAGCCCTGATACTCCCGCTTTCAAGATGTGGAACACCCTCATCACATCAGTCTCGGCCGCGGCTTCCAAGGAGATCAAGGTTTCTTTCGATACGACCGAATTCATCTCCTACATGTTCACCTCACTTCTCCGGTACTGGAAGCGCGGTATTGCCAAGGAGAACTCCGAGGGTCAAGATACAGGTGTTGTCAGCCAGGTGTTTCTGTCAAGCATCCGCCAGTTTGTAGGAACCGTGGTTGAGGCCTTTGGACTCTTGCCCTTTACCGAGAAGCAATTGTGCAGTAGGCAGGACACTTTTACGCCCGCCACCACCCCTTCTCATCGGGCGGCCAAGGTAACTGGGGTTGTCAAGGCACCTATCCATCATCTATTCACCATCCTCTCGACCCTTCCGGATGGTATCCCGGATGATGAGATATTTGCGGACTTCTTCACCGCAGTCTTTGCGCCATTCTTCAAGACCAAGACGGCCAAGGCTGCCTCTGAGCTAACACAGGAGATGCTTCAATCCATCCCCATGGACGCAATCTGCCCATACGGTCCTTGGGTCATGGTGGCCGATTCGGTCAAGGCCGCACTCGCCTCTGGGCGTTCCATCAAGGGGCCTTCTTCCACCGTGACTAGCAGTCTCGAGCCACCTGTTGGCCGGGAGTATCGGGAATTGTGTCGCATCCTAGAGCGGGGCTTCAAGGCAACCCCAAACCTACCGTTCGAACGATGGGCGTCCCTCATGGATGCCGTTGAGTCGCACATTACCGACGAAACCGGACCTATGGGGAGGGCCCTGGCTCTTGTCGACCCCTTGGCCAAGACCGTGGTTGATCATGTGACAACCGCAGGCCGCAGCGTTGACCCCGGACGGTGCAGGTCGCGACTGCGATGCTGCGAATGGCTAGCCAGCCGCGCGACCGCCAGATCGTAGACAGTGCTCGAATTCGACTTTGGGGCGCGACCAGTGTGAAGTCGGCCTCCATCGACCCTTTTGATAACATGTATAAACTCGTCAATACCGTCATGGAGGAGTTGTACAAGGAGCTCACCAACCCGGAAATGGCGGTGCTCGCAACTCCCTTCCTTATGGAACTAGACGGATTCCTCCGCCGCTGTAGCAGCGACCTAGCTGTCAAGACTGTCTGCACGTTGCAGGATGGGCTCGTCTTCTGGGTCAAGGATGACGAGTCCCGTTTAAGCAGTCGGCAGTCGGCAGACACTGCCGGGGCGGTATGTAAAGCACCTCGGACGTCTTATTCTGAAAGCATGCGACTAACTAGCTATTTTCGACACTTACTCTAGGCTAAGCAGATGTGGGATCAGGTCTGCGATATGATCGCTTCCCGTGACTCGACCGAACAGCTCAACTTGGAACATTTCGAGAGATTGCTATGCGCTGCTTTCCAAAGCAAACACAGGCATGTTGTCAACAGCGTCGCCATGCTCTGGAACCGAGTCTTCCACGATGCTGAAGAGATTACGTATCCAGAAGCCCTCCAGGCGACTCTCATTTCCGTGCGATCCCTGGTTGACCTCGTACTGCCCGGCCTTGACGAGTCAAGTGGCGAATCCGCCGCGGCCCAACACTCTCACGCCTTCGTACAATCTCAAGATGATATGATCGCGCTCAAAGTGTCACCCATCAAGTCAGCCAGGTCCGATAGAGTCCATTTTGTCTCTTCTGGCTCCTCGGCCGTCCCAACCCCATCCAAGACTCTACAGGAAGATCCGACGCCCAAGACAACCACCGGTCGGCCCAAGAGACAACGTAGGTCCCGAGCGAAGCTACGACACGAAGACTCACAAATTCAGTTTGAGCCCGTTCAGACAGCTGCTCCCGAAAAGGGCGAGTCGCAGAACCTGACGGAGCATCAGCTGGAAGTCCGAGAGCAGCAGCGAGGACAAGAGGCGCTCTATAACATGAAGTCTTCCAGCCCACCTCAGGACCATCGCGAAGTCGAGATGGCGGACGTAGCCGAAATCTCGTCCCCAGCTTTGCCCGACGCTAAGAAGGAAACACCAAAGAAGCATACACCAGGGGTTCAGAAATCTTACGAGGATTATATCAGCTCTACCCCAACCCCGCGGCGGGGTCAGATGCTGTCGCTTCATCAGGATGTGGAGATGTCAGACCCCCGTCGTCGCCTCCCGAGCTCTCCGAAGTCCGCCGATACCCACTTGTCCCCGAGATGCGATCCCGCTCGAATAGCGTGACGGACAATGTACATTGGGAATTCTCGTCTTCTCCTGTCTCTGGATCTCCTCTACCGATGCAGAGGGTAATTGTACAGCAGCAGGAACCCGAAGAGGAAGAAGCTGAGCTAGAAGCTGCGGAAGAAGTGGCCGAACAAGGAGAGACTTCGGGTGGTGAAGAAGCGGAGAACGACAAGCCTCGGCCAGAGCCAGAGAGTAGCCAAGATATTGCCGTTGTGGAAGACTCGTTTGCAATGGATGTGGTGCCCTCAAGTGCCGCACATGAAAACGTGGCCGCCCTAGAGGCATCGAAACTTGAGGTGGACGACTCAATAATCACGACACCGTCGCGACGCCGAACCCGTCAGAGCGTGCGAGAGGATTCACTGCTGCAACAGGCCCAACAGCAACAAGAGAAACGGTCCACCCGAAGCGCCCCCACGACCCCAACTCGTGCGCGCGGCCGTGACGCGACACCCAAATCGGACAATGAAGAATTCGTCGATGCACCCAGCAGTCCCCAGGCAACCACCGCCCAGAAGTCTCGGAAGCCGGCTGCGGCGTCTCAGGCGCTACCCTCTAGCCCAGGGGACGATACGAGCTACGCTATCAGCGAGGGTGCGGAGCGAAGCATGATTCGACTTGCTGAGGAAGCCGAAGCAAAGCAGGCCGCTCTGAAACGAGTGACCCGACGACGTAGTAAGAAGGCAGGGATGATTGACTGCATAATGGTGAAGACGGACGACGGGGAAGAGGGTGGTGACGAAGAGCTCTCGAGCGGGCAAGAGGACACTAGCCAGATGATTCCTTCGACACCTCTGCACCAAACCAGCCCAGCCGAAGGCAAGTCGAACAAGAGCTCGGTGCCGAAGAGGAAGCGGAAGAGGGGCTCAAGCTCGCGATACGTGGACCCGCGCACGAAGAAGAGACGGTCTGGCGGAGATGACGGCTGCTCGGTGACAAGCAGCCCTTCATTCCGGCTCCAGTCTAGCCAAGGTGGCAGCGACTTGGAAGATGACGACGTCCAATCCCAGGTTCTGTCAGAACACATTGCCGCCTCTCAAAGCCAATCTCGCCAATCGCCAGAGCTTGGCGATGATACCACGTTTAACCGTCCCGAAGCTGGGGCGGAGGCGGCGTCGGAGACCCGGAGTGACAAGAGAGGCGGATCCAGCCAGTCGAAGCCAGCCTCATATAAGATTGAGAAGCACTTCAAAAGGCACTGGAAAAGATGCGATCAGTCTCGCTCAGCCGTGACGAGATGTATAGGATCGAAGACATGTTCCTGGATTTCAAGCGGGAGCTGTACGAGGCCGAGAGGCGAGGGAGGGAAGATAGGAGCCCGTGCTAAGGGCTCCAGAGGAACAAAAGTCGAAGTAGGATTTCTACGTTCGCGCTGGCAGGAAGGAAGGCAGGGCATCTTAGGAAAAGAGAGGAGGATCAGTTTGGAGGATAAGGCATCCTTTTGGGCGACAAACGAACTATCACCGACGTGTCTTTTTGTCTTTTTCATTCCTTTTTTCTCATTAGTTCTCTGCTTGCACAAACTGCATCTTATATAACGGAGCATCATGGGGTCATTGGGTCTAGGCGGCGCAATCGGATAGGTTATTTGCTCTTTCTCCTCGAGGGGTGCCTTTTAGCGGTTAACGTTTAGTTTGGGGAGCCTTGATGCTCAAGTCAAGCTCTACCAGTATATATATACATTTTCAAGCCTCCAGAGTTCTTATGCCCTCTTCCTCTTACATTGATCGTATTCTCTGCCACTGCCATGCAACGATACTGACACCGATACGAGGTGGGATAGCTGCCTGCCCGCCCACTGTCTGAGCAGCTGACTGGATAAGCTTCCAAGAAGGATCAGGACAATTATGATCGACTTCCCACGCACCAAGGGAAACGATATTGAGAGCATTGGCGTTACGGCGTCGATAAGCTCTGGGCGGAGTTTGTGCTGTGCCTTCGAGGTGGTGTTTCGGGATGAGACGTTCTCATCCCCAAAGGGGAGGGTAGGTGCCAAGTGGCGGGGTACTGGATGGGTATCTCTCCCGTACAAGCTTTGACGGCTAGAGACTAGTCAGGTACTCGCGTAGCGACCAGCTCGAGCTATTGAGTTGAAACCCCCGCCAGCCAGCCAGCCATGCGGGAGGTTGAGCTCTTTTTTTCTTTTCCTCTCTTCTCTTTTTTTTTTTTCGGAGTCCCAATGTGGCGGCATGGTGGTGCAGTGTAAGTGGCAGGCGATTTCCGTGGTTCGGGCTGCCCCTCCCTCTGCATGACACAATCTTTTTTCGCGAGCCATTGAATTCGAATCCGTCGTTGGACCTATCCTCGCCTCGCCCCCTCCATCGCGGCTGCCCCACCATAGCCCACGCCCGTGCCTCCCAAGTGCATTCGCCAGCTCTCTCTCGTTTACCCCTCGCCCCTTCCCTTTTCTTCGAGTTCTCTGCCAACCCCTCCCCTCCATCCGCATCCGGCAGCCACATGGCCCGCCGCGAGTCGCAAATGGATCTCTCCTTCCCCTTGGGTTCAGGTCTTCCCAAACGTGCTTTGACGTGGTCTCTCTTCCTTTCCTAAACCTGTCGTGACATTTCTCTTTTCAAACTACCTCACCCTTCCTTTTTCTTCTTTCTCCTCTGCGAACTCATTCCATCAGCTAGCTCCTTTGTGTTCTATCCTCTTTTTCTCTCTTTCTTGTGAGACCTTCTATCTGAACTATACTGGTAAGTCTTTGATATATCCTGATCAAGGCCAAACAGCCTGTTGGTCCTCCCTATTCCATGTAAATCAGCTTTTTCCCTCTTCTCCTGCATGTTTACAAGTCCCACTTCAAGCCTCACCTCTACCTACCCACACCATCTTCCCATATTGAGCCCCGCCTTTCTGCTTGTTCATCCGTTTTCTATCTAATCTGTGTGTCACGATCCGCTCCTGTCCCTCACCTACCCCCACCTCCTGCCTTTTTATCATAGCATACCTAGCTCCTTCCTCTTCTTGATTCTATCTTGGAGCCTTCACCTCTACAGGCGCACGACCCTCTTCAAAAATTAATCTCTGATTTTAACCTGTTGTGCTCAACATTAGCAACCCCTCACACGGATCTTGCAGCTCCCAGCTCCCGATCTATCGATCCCGCTAGACACTAGAAACCAGAAACACCACCCACCACAATGGATCGCCCCAATAAGCCTGCGGCTCTTGCCTCCACCCCTGGCCTCCCTCCTCAGGCCCAGGTCACCACCTCTCACAACAACGAGCGCGTCTCGGCCGTCCTTCCTACCGGCGACTCGGTCGAGGTTCTCCTCCACGGTGCCACCGTGATCAGCTGGAAGGACGCCTCTGGTGCTGAGAAGCTCTGGGTTTCGGATGCCGCCAAGCTCGACGGCTCTAAGCCCGTCCGCGGTGGCATCCCCTTGTCTTCCCAGTCTTCGGCTCTGTCCCCGACCACGCCGCTACCTCGTCCCTTCCCCAGCACGGCTTCGCCCGTAACGCCAAGTGGGATTTCCTTGGCAAGAGCACCAGCGAGAGCACCGAGGGCTCTAGCTCTTCCGATGGCTCTGTGAAGCTTGATTTTGGCCTCAGCTCCGGCACCCTTGGCGATGACTGGAAGGCCAAGTGGGGGTACTCCTTTGGTCTCGTCTACAGCGTCACCCTCAGCCCCGGCAACCTTACTACCACTCTCGTCGTCAGCAACGAGGGCGAGGAGGCATTTGAATTCCAGGCTCTCCTTCACACCTACCTCAGGATCAGCGTACGTTTCCTATTCCTTATTCCTTCTTGCTGTGTCCTCTGGGGTGTCAGTTACCAAGGGCAATGCTTTACTAACGCGGCGTTCCTCGCTCGTTTCATTCCTTTAGGATATTGCTTCTACCGAGGTTGTAGGCCTCGAGAACAGCTCTTTCCTCGACAAGGTCGACGGCCCTAAGACCAAGACTCAGTCTGGCGCCATCAAGATTACTGGAGAGACTGACCGCGTCTATAACCCCGAAACTAGCCCCAAGGACGCTGTCCGCGTCGTCGAGTCAGGAAAGTCTACCGTCTCCCTCGTCCGCGATAACCTCCCCGACGTGGTTGTCTGGAACCCTGGACCGAAAAGGCCGCCGGCATGGGCGATTTCGAGCCCAAGGATGGATGGAAGACCATGATCTGTGTCGAGGCAGGAATCGTCAGGTCATGGACCAAGCTTGAGAAGGGCGATGTCTTTGAGGGTGGCCAGACCCTCTCTGCCAACTGAAATTGGCCGAAACGACAAGGGGATGTCGAGGTGACCGAAAGGTATCACAGTAGGGAGGCCAGGAGCAAGTTCTAAAGGCTCCTTGGGAAAGGGAACCTGCCCCATCACGATATGAGAAGTATTGAGAGATGAAACCAGTGCATAACTGATATGGCTTTTTAAAAGCCTTGGGAAGGAAAATGAAATGGAATGAAACGATGCCCCATGACCTTGCCTACATTGAATTACAAAAGTGCACATTCTATTTTTCTGTACTCTTCTTACTCAGTGACAACCATTCGCATTTTCCCAGAGTAACCACCCACATATTTACAACCACACCCTTCATTTTAAGGCCATTTGTACTGTTCCCTGTTCAGTTACCCTCCCATTAATATTCCAGACTACGCAACCGTTTCAATAGCACTACTTTTGTCCCCAATCGTCACGATTCGGTCTTCGGTGCCTGTTTTTCTTTCTCTCCTTGACCCGAATAACCATATCCTTGCGTGCATTCCCCCTAGCCTCCGACTTAGAGAGGCCTCCTCTCCTGTCTGTAATGCTCTGCAATTAGGAAAGCCAGCTCGAGAGCCTGCTTCTCGTTGAGCCTGGGGTCACAGAAACTGGTATAGTTGGTGCTCAAGGCATCCTCGTCCAGATCCTGCCCGCCGCCAAGACACTCGGTGACGGCGTCGCCGGTAAGTTCCAAGTGCACGCCGCCTAGGTAGCTTCCCTCCTGTCTGTGAATAGCAAGAGTTTCACGTAGTTCCGTAAAGATGTCGCTGAACTGACGGGTCTTTAGGCCAGAGGGAGTGGACATGGTGTTTCCGTGCATGGGATCGCACTGCCATACAACGCAGCGACGGTACTCGCTCGACTCCACGGTGCGGATATGGTGGGGAAGCAGGTCTCGCACACGAGAAGCTCCGTAGCGGGTGATGAGGGTGATTTTACCGGGCTCGGCAGAAGGGTTCAAAGTGCGAAGGAGGGCGAGAAGGTCGGCGGCAGGGGTTGTAGGGCCCACCTTGATGCCTATCGGGTTAGCAATTCCGCGGAAGAATTCAACATGCGCGCCGTCAATTTGGCGGGTCCTGTCTCCGATCCAGAGGAAGTGAGCGGACGTGTTGTAATATTCCTTGACCGGCTGTTCAGGGTTCACGCCTTCAGGTTGGCTACATCCAGAGTTGGAGGTGATGCGAGGACGCTCGAGGAGCCGGGTGAGGTTCTGCTCATATTCGAGGACAAGGCCTTCATGGCTGGTAAAGAGGTCAACTGTGTCGAGTTTGTCGGTGCGGTTAGCACCAATGGTATGGAGGAACCGAAGCATATCAGTGATGGAGTGAACGGCCTCCGAGTACTTAGCACGGAGGGTCGGATCGCGCACGTGGCCAAGACCCCAGTCAAGAGGACGGTGGAGATCCGCGATGCCGGACGAGAGGGAGGCACGGATGTAGTTGTGTGTCGCCGACGAGTGGTGGTAAGCTCTAGTGTAGTGAGAGGTAGCGTGTTAGTGAATACACACTCCAGACAAACAAAAGACATGGGCCACGAAGAATTGACTTACTCGACAAGTCTCCCAGCATCAATCTGCCGCTGATCAAGAGCGAAGCCATTGATGATATCGCCCTTGAAGCTTGGAACCTCTTGTCCATCTACTATCTCCGTCGGGCTACTCCTCGGCTTAGCATATTGGCCGGCCATGCGGCCGATTCTGACGACGCGTTTGTCGGCACCCCAAATTAGTACCAAGCTCATTTGCAACAGCAGCTTGATTTTAGACTCGATCGCAGACTGTTCGCAGTAGTCGAAAAGCTCAGCGCAGTCGCCTCCTTGCAGAAGAAAGGCTTTTCCCTGTGCTACATCGCGGAGGTGGTTCTTGAGCGAAACGATCTCACGAGGGTGGACGATGGGGGTAGGCGGGCGAGCTTAGAGGTGGCAGCGGTGAGAGCTTCCTGGGAGGGGTATTCCGGGGCATGTTTGATGGGCTTGGAGCGCCAGGAGTCCGGCTTCCAGTCAGGAGCGTTTGGATTGATTTGCGAGGCCATATTAGAGGAAGATGCTGAAGCGTGGCCGTGAGTTAATGGGTTGGAAGCTGGAGGAGGGGAAAAAATCAAATGAGTAGGTGAGTCAGAAGACGGTTAAGAAGCGTTCAAGGTTGAGTAGGTAACTCCTAGGGGAGAAGGGGCTAGAGTGATTGAGTGACTATAGGGAGCAAGATGAGACTGCAGACGAGGTAAAAGGATGCGTTTCTAGGGATATCGAGTGCATAAGATGTATACGCCGAACACAGAAACAGGAGGAAATGAGGCAGATTTCTAGGATTATTGTTATAGGATTTTAAGTTGAGAAGAAAGACGACGAGGACGAGGGTAGAAAGCAAGGAGTGGCCGGACTCTGGAGGTTTATTAAAGCGCCACTAACCGATGAAATGGAAAGACCCGAGCTTGGGAATGTGGGGGCAGGCACCTTCCAGGACGGAACCCTGAACTTTCCTCAGTTTTCTGGCTGTGGAAGGCGCAATTGGCCAATTGGCTTTGAATAGACCCCAGGAAAGAGCAATGCTCATGGAAAAAGCCTTTCGAGATCGTGGGGTAGGAAGCAAGCAATGGCCGGAAGCTGAGACTTTGATCAAAACTTGCCTGCCTCTAGGCTTTAGAGATGAGTGAAAGAAGAAGAGCTGTGTTGCTCACCTAAGGGTTTCTCTCTACTTTGCCAACAATGGGATAATCATATGCTAAGTACAACGGATAAAAAGAGTCTCTGGCCTGTAAGAATTCCTACCCTGACCACGATTACCTGTGGTGGGGGCGGGGAGCTCTTCGGTTGCCTTTATGCGGTCCAAGTTCCTCTCTCCCGTCATGGCGGGGCTATCGAAAAAAGTTGTGCCGATCCAATCCACCCCACCAGCCACCGCCAAGCCCGCCCCATTCTCGAACCTAGCTCTGAGCCTCACCTCGAAATCCAAGTCCCGCAACGTCTGAGGAGCACGCACGCCAAAGAAACATCGTCAACACTCACCTCACCTCGAACCCTCCCCAACCTTTTCCTCCCTCGCCAGCCGCGCGAACCCTTTCAACACACGCATACAATGTCCAACAACGCCCAGAACGCCCAGAACCCCGACGCCGAGGACGAGACCCCGGTCGCCAAGTCTGCCGAAGACCGCAAGGCCGCCACTGCCCTCGCCAACCTCGATGCGCGCGACGAGTCCTCCGCCGCCGCCAGCAATGTTGACCAAGATGCCGTCAGCGCTGCCATGAAGACTCTCGGCGGTGCCGCCTCCGGTGCCGGCTTAGGCGCTGCCGCCAAGGGCTTACCCGCCAGGACCAAGAACGTCAAGGTTGACCAAGCTGACGTGACTCTATTGGTACGACGGCTTATCTCCTCTTCCGCTTTGTTTTCTTCTTCGCCTTATGTGACTTGCTCTCTTCTTTTCTTTGCCGTCAATTTTCTCTCGAACAAGAGTTTACTATATATGCGACTAACGCTAATCCACTTCGTTTCTAGGTTGAGGAACTTGACCTACCCAAGGCAAAGGCGCTAGACCTGCTCAAGGCGCATGACGGCGATGCCATCGAGGCCATGAAGGCTCACATTCAAGTCAGGGTATAAATGACCGATAGGGCTTGATCGAAAGAATAGAGGGGCGAATCTCGAACAAGACGTTTGCGGGACGTTGAAAAGAATGTTGGCCGCGCTCTTTCTTCACCCAGTGATTAGGACTACCCGCGACCTCATAACCCACCTAGAGTGTGTAGAGTTATAGCGAAGCCTATCTCAACAAGATTTAAGCCGACGGGTACCTTCAGTCCTCCCACCTTCGCCTCGACAAACTGCATCTTAACGATCACGATGATATAAAAAGACAAGGGGGATGGAGATATAAACACCACAGTCACGGGATAGAAGACGGAAATAATTCGCAGTCTTGATGCATACGAAAAACGAGTGAATACAATCTAGCACTGGCTCTTATCCAGGACCCAAACGACCCAGTGTGTCCCCAACCGTTCCTAGGTTGCCCGTGCCAAAACGCCGTAAAGTAAAGAATAAATGCCCGACATCATACCCGCCCAAAGTTTCCCCTCCTCCAACCCCCGCCGTCCTTGACATACATGCCGTCGCGGCGATAAAGCAAACGCGGACCGGATGGCTATGGAGAAGGGGAATTAAACGTAGTAAAAGAAAGGGGGAAAAACCCAAAGCATCACGAAACTCCCATAGTGCAAACTCCCCGTACGTCCACACACGCACACGCACACGCATGTGCATACCACGTCTTCTCCTATCACCCCTTCTCCTTTCAGTTCCAGGCTTTGGAAAGCGGGCTTCCAATCTTGGGCGCAAACTGAAGGCTCTTGCGCCTCGCCGCCATCAAGCGCATCATAACATGGGGTCCTTTTCCGGGCTAAACATGCCTTGGCCCAGCTCCGTGTAGGCGTTGGAAGAAAGCGTCTTCTTGGGCGGGCAAGTCCTCATGAGCAGATCCCGGTCCGCAGGCGAATCACCAGCCTCGGTGGGGGTGTCGGGGTGAGATTCTCGACGTAGCGCGCGATAGCCTCGGGTGCTGGCGTCTTGGGGACGGGTGTCAGCATGGCCAGGTGGCGCCAGTCTTCGTCGTCCTCATCGTCATACTCGGCGTCAAAGTCCTCGGGGGCAGCGAGCTGCTCAGGTGGTGTTCGCATCCAGACGGTGCTGGCGCGGCGGTTAGGAAGTGGAGTGGTGGGCGGCGCCTGGGACTCGCGGCTCTGCTTGGTGGGGCTGCTAATGAGGGTGCCATTCAGGTTGGCGAGGGCCTTGGGCTCCATCGACTTCCTGCGGCGACCACCGCCGCGGGGGACTAGGCTCGTATCGACGTTGTAGGGTGCCTCATCAAGCCACTTGTTGTCTCGCTCGCAACTGAAGAAAGAAAGAAAAAGAGAGTTAGTGGTGGTCCTTGTCTAGTGGATTCATCTGAGAGTCCTTCCGCGAAGGGGGTTTCAACTTACTCAAGCACCCAGGTAACACCCACACACTGCACGACGCCGTTGCTGTCGCGAACCCTCTCGAGGGTTCTCTTGCTGCCGTCCTTGTACACGACGTGGGTGATGCCGATCCTAGAGGACTCATTGGGGTTCCAGTTCCACGTCTTGACGCAGCGAGCGCCCATTTGAGTGAGAAGCTCGACAAAGATGCCGCTGGCGTCCGCCCCTCGCTCGTGTGCACGTCAACGTAGACAACGGCGCCGCGGAGGAGGGCAGCGTCGAGGTGCTTGTGGGGGCTGCGGGGAGGCGTTCCGAGGGTGGACCAAATGTCGGCGTCGTCGAGCAACGAGTTCATGCCTGCGCCGACCTGGTCCTTCTTCGTGGGCGTGTAGGAAATCACAGAGGCGCTCCTCTTGACGCCGGTGGGGCGCTGGACAGGGAGGCGCGAAACGCTGTGGCGCCTCTTCTTGATCGCGGCGGGGGTCGAGTCGTCCGCCGGCTTGAGGGGCACCTTGGAAACGGTGCTGAACTCGCGGGCGGTGACGCGGGCCGGGGTCTGGGGAGGGATCACCGTGGTCATTTCTCGCTGGGCCTCGAGGAGAGCGGGGTCGATGGGGACCTGGTTCTCATCGCCGTAATCCTGGCTGTCTTCGGAAAGCGAGTCATCTTGGTACTGGCCGTCGAGGATGTCCTCAATCTGCTGGGGCTCCATCAGGGACATTTCTTGGGCCTCGGCGACGAGCGCCATGTCCTCGTCGGTGATGGGGACGTCCTCAAACACGGGCTCAATCAGGGCAGCAATCTCGGCATCAATGGCGGCCTCGATGACGGCCTCGACGTCCTCGTCGTCTCGCACGCACATCTCGTCGTCGAAAAAGGTGGGCTTCTCCATGCTGGCGCGGCTGCTGGAAGACGAGGCCGACTTGGAGGGGCTCGTAGTGGACCAGGCGTTGAATTTGGCGGCAAGAGGCGTGAAGCCGATCGGGTTGATCGAGGGGGCCAGCGACTTGCGTCGGGACCCGGCGGCGGGGGTGTTGATCTGGCGAACGGGGCTTCGGGAGGGTTTCTTGCGCTGGATGCTCGAGGTGAGCTCGTCTTCGGATTCGTCGTCGAGACCCTGGAACGGGTCGAGGTCCTTGTGGCGTAGGCTGAATCCGTACAGGGATTTGGGAGGCGAGTTGGGGGCGTGGTAGTTCCGGTGGGGCTCAATGGCATATTCTCTTGCTCGGCTTCGAGCTCCGATTCCTCCGCGGGCCCAACTGCATCCGACATCTCGTGGTCGTCGTCGACAATGGTACCGTCCGAGTCGTAGGCATCGTCACTAATAGGTTCGGCCTCCAACCCAGACTCAGCGACAGAAGGCTTCGCCGCGGGGCTGGCGATCAGAGAGATGTCATCTTCGGTCATCTCGTCAAGAGTCGCCATCTCGGTGTCAAGGCCAGGATTCGCGTCACGGGGCAAGACCGCGGAGAGGCGGCCGGGAAACTTGAGGCTCGGGGGCGGCTGAGCAAACAGGTTACGTTGAACACCCTGGGGCGACATGTCGGACTCATCATCGTCCATGAGCAGATCAGACGGCTTCGCGTTCGAGGGAATGTGGCCCGGTGTCGAAAGAATAGTGGGTCGGGTAGCCGGAGTTCGGGAGAGACCGTCACGCTTCGCAGAAGGGAGCTTCATGGCCGACATGGGACCCCGCTTTGCGGGAGACTGGAGAAGAGAGCTCTTAAACGAAGGAGTAGACGCTCCGTGCGACTCGGACCGGGCCAGGGTGGACGAGGACATGGCCTTTAGGGCCGAGGGAGGCGGGCGCTTAGCGGGCGACTGGAGAAGCGATGCCTTGAAGGGCGTGGCGCCGGTCGACTTGCCACCTGGCTGGGCGCTCGAGGAGGATGCGAGCTGGAGGGCCTCGGACCGCTTCGCGGGAGATTTCATGGAGTCCTTGAACGGTGAGGGAGGGGGCCGTTTGGCAGGGCTAACGAGAGCCATGGTGAGGGTGGGCTCGGACTCGTCCGAAGCAGTGGAAACATTGTTGATGGCGAGCGTGTGCTCCTCCGCGGCGAGCTCCAGCTTCTTACTCTTTACCAAGGCACTAGAAGGCGGAGGCCGGACAGGGTTCTTGCGGAGCGGCGTCTTTTCAATGGGACCAGCCAGTTCGTCTTCCGAGGGGTAGTCGAGAGGAGCCACGAGCTGGGTAATCTTTCTAGGACTCAGAGGGAGCTTCTCGCCCGCCTTGGGCACGGGTTTCGCCACCCGAACGCTGCGGGTGGCTCTGGCGGCAGTCGCGGAAGCAGGGTTCGTGGCCACCGTGGTCGTGGTACTCGTCTTCCTCACGGGGCGGCCACGAAGGCCGGCGGCGGGCTTTGTATCCGCCTTGGGCTTGGCCGATGTGCCGGGATCAATGTTCTCCTTCTCGGGCTCCTGGAACGTCACAGTCTTCTTGGTCGTAGCCTTTGTGGCCGTCGAGCCGGCGCGGGAGCGCGTCGTCTTGGCCGGCTCCGATTTAGACTCTACCGCCTGCTCCTCGGCAACAATCTTCTTGGGCCGGCCTCTCTTGGGTTTGGCGGGTTCCTCCGCAGCAGCCTCGGCTGGCTCGGGGCCTTTCTCGCCCGGGTCCTTGTGGCACGGGCGGCTGTGCTGAGGGCGGGGGCCTTGGACTCGACGGGAGCGTCGACGTCGGCGGCCTTCCTGGGTCGGCCGCGGGGGCGCGCTGTCTTTGCGGGGCGGCGGACGCCTCCGGGTCGTCGTCGTGGTCGTTGTCGTCGGCTCGCGTTTTCCTCTTGGCCGAGGCGGACTTGGTTGTGCTGGTGGCGGTGCTGGCGGCAGCCTTGGCCTTGGCCGCGGCGGTGACGATCTTGGTCGTCCTCGTAGTGGTGGTGGTGGTGGGCTCTGTGACTTTGGCGGCCCGGGAGCGGGTCATCCGCTTGGGGGACTGAGGATCCATCTTGGCTGGGTGTTGGATGAGGTTTGGCAAGTTTTGATAAGACAGAGATCAAACTTGAAAGAGGGAGAGGAGAAAAACAAAAGGATGTTGTTGGTATCAACGGAGGTTGAAAAAAAGAAGTTTTCTAGGATAAAGTTGGTTCCATGGGACCAAAGGGAGATTCTATTCTAGAGTCTCCTAGATGCTGCTATGGTTAGTTGGCTGTTATCGTTGTTTGTCGTTGTTTGTCGTGGGTTGGGTTGTGGTGATGGTCCAGCGGAGGAGGAGGTTCAAGGTTGTAACAAAGAGCTCCTACGACGATGGAGCCAAGCTGTTGTTGATGTGAGACAGAAGCTTGCTTGGAAAAACCCTTGTTTACTTTTAAGTGGTCGCGTCTTAAGATGTTGCTCGGCAACGGATAAGACCCACTTCTACCGACGTGAACCCCAGAAAGTCCTCCACATCATATCCACACTGGATATTACGTCAGTATGTCAGTGTCCACGTGACATAGTACATCACAGCCAACATTGAAGAGCACTGACTGAGCCGGAACATTTTGAAGGTGCGCTTCGGTCTAGATTAGCGAGAGACTCGAGAAATTCCCCGACGTGCGCGCTATATCCTTCTCAGATTATAATAATCCTAGACGTCCCGCCCATTTATCCAGATCAAGGTTTGACAAGGGAATGGGAGGTGAAGGATATCATCCCTCTTCGTCAAGCTTTTGTCTGTCACTTGGAGGCGATAAGGTTGACCACCTCCTTCGCTTCCCGTCGTTGCCCCATAGTCCTGATACAAGAAGTGATGCGCTAGCAGAGGATAGCAATACATTGTTTTGGATATGAAGAAATAAGAAACAAAATATAAAGTAGTGCGGAATCGGACGCCTATCTGGAGAGAGTGAGTGGAAGGGCATCGAAGGGAGGCCAAGACTTGCGCTGAAGCTCGTCCGTTCTTCTTACATCGCGGTGCGCTGGCATTCTCTGGACCTAGCAAGGAGCACAAGTGGCCAAGATATTCCATGATATCCAGTGTACCAGCTCCTCAGTCTATCTTCATTTTTTTCCTGATCCCTCCCTTCGGTTCCTCGCGGTGGGCCCGAAGCGGCTAGCTGCGATATGTCAATCAGCTCATTCTCTCCCTTCAAACCTGTCGGAGAGGCTGGCACATGTCCAAAAGACTTGAAGGCACGCCATGCTCCATCACTAACTTATCCAACAGGAAAGGGGCGGGAAGGAGGGAGCAACTAGCGTCAGTGGCGCGGAGAGAGATGGATCGAGTCGACCAAGTTTACTGAATATCACCGACATACGGGTATGTGACCGCGGAGAGTGCGCATCAATTCCAATCGTGAAATGAAGAAGAGAAACCCAAAAACTGGGAACCATCTAGACATTGGGTTCAGCGCAGCTCGCACCGGCGCCGTGGCGATGGGGAGGATAATTTTGGCTTTCGGAAGACATTGGGCTGCGATCCTTGTGTAAGTCGGCTGTCAAGGGAGGGACTTGGAGCGTGGCCGTATAAGCAAGAGATATAAGCAAGAGAGGAAAGCGACGCCGCTGACGCTGGAGACGTCGATATATTAGTATTGGTGTTTCCCCTCACTCAAATCCACAAATCCAGAAATGCGCCGGGCGAGGAATTGGAGGACCAACAGTATGGCGACTGCTCCGAGACACGGCCTCGAAAATAAAAAGAGGAAGAAAAAGGCTCTAGTTGTACTTGTGCCCACTGTCTGTCCAAGCGGATACCCCGCGAAGGATGTCATCGAGGCCGATGGGACCCGGCGGATGCAAAGTCCCCGCCCTTCCCGCCTTTCCGCCCACCATCTTGCGAGATTGCGGTCAAGGATGTCATTGTCGGGGACCACGAGATAAAAGACATGCAATGTAGCACAGGAGTAATAAAGTAAGAATGGTGGATCCGTGAGCAACGGGTATATTTCCAGCACCTTGCTTCCGACCCTTCAACCAGGTTCCTGGCGGAGACCCGAGCGTTGAATATCCTGAATCTGAGTGGTTGTGCCTGCCCATGTATCACCATCAGCGTCTCACAAGATCGCGAATGTCTTGCCGACGAGCCTGCCAATATCGTGGGTTCTCAAGAATGACGAAAGAGGAATCAATAAAAGAAGAGGATAAAAAAACCTGGAACAAAGCTTCCCATGCGCTGGGTATGCATTTGAAGCCTCTTGCTGAGTACTTGTACGACTGCCGCTAAGCGAGAGGAATCCGAGCTCATCCCTTCTTGACCCCACCAGCACTTCTCGAGACAATCGCGAAGCACGGAAGCTTCGGAAGATGGCGAGAGCGGTTCGCTCTCCAGATCCAATAGATCCCTATTTGTGGAGAATAGCAGGCAAAGGGCTGAAGAAGTGGAAACTGCTCAAACATACAGCATAAAGCGTAAAAGTGTTAGGCCATAATATTAGAGGTGACTGACTGACAACTTCGGGCTCGGGCTCTTCAGAGGAACCGCCGTGAGTGATCAGCCACAGTCCATTGCGCGTCCTCCCCCAATTTTCCTTTTTTACAGTTTCAACGCCAGCGTTCTTTTGTCGCGTGCTCTCCAGGCCCAGCCAATGGCGCTAACAATAGACGCATCAACGCCAGGCCAAGCCAATCCCCCACAGTAACAAAGCGCTAGTCTCCCATGGACGATGGGCTGCGTGGGTGGCCGGGACCTCTTTGGGCTGCGGGTTCAGAATCCGCGGGAGGGGACCAAAAAAGCAGCCACTGATTTCCAAAACGGAGGCAGATGCGAAGGATCGAAGACGCTATGCAGGCTACCCAAGACAAAAGTCCTAGTCTTCGCAGGCCTCGCACAAGGCTCGCACAGGGCTCGCAAAGCGCTGGCTTTTCCGCGTATTGCTTATTATTTCCCTTTCTTTTTCTTTCCGTCGTGAACCGAAAATTATCCATCCATTCAGACCTCTCCATCCCATCACGACAAAGAGCCTGACGATCTCATGTGGGCCTCCCGTCGTCAACCTGCATTGGCTACCCTCCACCATCAATACTTGGTACGCCGAGAGAACCTTGTCCTTCCCTCTTCCAACGTACAAGAAGAAGAAAAATAAAAGAGGTGGAGGTGGAGGTGCCCTCGGCCCAATATGTCTTGAATTGATTCTCGAGTTGTGAGAGATATCGATTCCAATCATGGAAGGGAGAGCGAGGGCGGGAAACCGTCATCCAGCTTGCCAGCCCTACCGCCTAATATTATCGGACTTGTACCGAGGTACCGTCATATTCGCATCGTACCATGCCGTCCGTACCTTGCAGGATTACTTGTAAGACGCAAAGCCACCAACTCTGTGCGTATCGATTGGCTGGAGCCCAGAACTTTCGACCTGTGTGGTGTACTTGTCTTGTCAGCCAACAGCGCGTCCTGTCAAGTTGTGGCCCTGCAAGCTCCCTCCGCTGGCTCCGCATCAACAATTTGCCCCCCAAGGATTTTCAGGCCCCGGCTCCGAAAAAACAGAACAAAAGAGGCGCCAAGACAATCTGACAATCAGCGGTGTCGTCGAACACAAGGAAGCGCAAAGGGGGGCACTATGGAAGAAGGCCTTCTTGCCGGCGGCTGTGCTCCCCGACGACTCACGTCACTTCGGTCCCAATATCCTCTTCGCTCTCTCTCGCCGCCCTCTGTCTTGCATCTTTGTGCTCCAACGAAAAAAATCCGGGCGCGTAAAGTAGATAGACACTTTGGGCCAGCCCTTCCTTCTTGCAGCTCAAGGGCAGCGCAGATGGATCTGCGCTACTGGAGCTGATGACGAGGAATGGGAGCAGCCCCCAATGGTCGGATCGCTCAAACTCTCCGAGAAGGGTCCCTTTCCCTTGTCGCCCCCTCCCTTCCAAAGTGCCTCCACCTCTTTGGTCAGTCGCAAAGCTTCCTCTGTAATGTCAAAGCCGTTGGCTCGGGTCAAACACACGCGCACACCCACGCAATTAGAGCTCTATGCTTCCTGTGGCGTCCTTAATGGGAGGCCAAGGATAGACAAGACAGTCAGTGCCGGGCCATTTCCCCTTTGGGAATAACCCTCTGAGACAGCATCACCAGCTTCCGCTTGCCAAGAGCTCAATTACGAACGCATGCTCGCTCCTCTTGCCGTGGCTTCCCCCCTTCCCACAGCTCTCTCATCTCTTCATCTCCAAGACAATGGATCACTTTGCTCTCCCTGTTCTCATCTGCAGTTCGGGTCCTCAAGGATCGTGTCCCTCTTTTCCTTCCCCCTTTTGGCGCTCCAGGATTCCTGTAAAATATAAGGGACCGTTGATCCCTGCTTGCTTTTGTGCTTTGGGTCTTGATCCAACCCAAGACCCAGACCCAGGAACCAACCCAAAAAGGAAAAAAGGGCGCTACAGTCTTCACGGGAAGAGACAACGCTAGTAAACTCCACGGGAGCAACAAGTGCTCCACCATCGACAGACAACATACTTATCAGGTCGAGATCCGACGGGTTTCGTCTGCTATTGTCGTTTCCGTCCTTGTCTTTTCGTGCGCATTCGCACTTTGCCTTAATCTCCATATTCTTTCCACTCTCTCCCTTCTTTTTTGTCTGTTCTCCACCTGGCCAAGCCGGGGTTCGTCTGCCATCCGCACTCGAGGCGTGTCTTTTTGTGGTTTTTTTTTCCTTTTTTTCCATTGGGGATATCTTGTTCGGTATTTTTCTCACTCTCTCTCTCCGTCTCCCCGTGGGACCTCCCGTCTCGCCTTCAGCCTTCGACCGCAATTGCCAAGTCACTGCCTCCTTTCTTGATCTCTCACGGCTTGCGACAACACGATGCGCACCTCCACAGTGTTTGCGCTCGGCCTGGCCTCCGGCGCCTCCGGCCTAGCCACACCGCCCGACGTCCGGCTCAACGTGGCTCGCGCTGCCCCGGACTCGCCATCGGGGGCTACGCGCCCGCCGTGGTCGATTGCCCGTCCACGCGCCCTACCATCCGCTCCGGCGTCAGCCTCTCCGACAAGGAGAAAAGCTGGCTCGAGGCTCGCGAACCCAAGACCAAGACCGCCCTCGACAACTTCCTCAAGAGGGTCAACATCGCCGACTTTGACTACGCCTCCTACCTCCAAACAGACGGCGCCTACCCCAGGATCTCCATCGCCATGTCCGGCGGCGGATATCGCGCCCTGCTCAACGGTGCCGGCTTCATTTACGCTGCCGACGACCGCACCGGTGGTGACTCCGGCATCTCCGGCCTTCTCCAGGCGAGCACGTACTTTTCCGGTCTCTCCGGCGGCGGTTGGCTCGTCAGCACCATCTATGGAAACAACTTCACAACCATCGAGTCCCTCATGTCGGACGAGGATGTCTGGCAGTTCAGGCGTCCATCCTCTCTGGCCCACCGTCCACCCGGCTAATCGGCATCCTCGACACAGCTCGGTACTGGCGAGACCTGCATGACCAAGTCAGCTCCAAGCAAGATGCTGGCTTCGATGTCTCCCTTACCGACTACTGGGGCCGGGCCGTCAGCTACCAGTTGCTTCGAGGGGATGAAGGCGGCGCCGCCTATACCTTTTCCTCCATCGCCGACGCAGAGGACTTCAAGAACGGCGAGACCCCTTTCCCCATCCTCGTGGCCGACGGTCGCGCCCCGGACACCAAGATTATCAACCTCAATTCCACCGTATTCGAGTTCAACCCCTTCGAGCTGGGCTCTTGGGATCCTACCCTCTACGGATTCGCTCCCCTAGATTACATCGGAAGCAACTTCACCGGTGGACGCGTTGACGACAAGGGCAGCTGCGTCCGGGGCTTTGATCAGCTCGGCTTTGTCATGGGAACCTCGTCGTCCCTCTTCAACATGGCGCTCCTGACCGATATACCCGACTCAGTCCCTTCAAGGATCGCCGAGTCCCTCCAATCTTTTTCGAGCAACTGGATCAGGACAACAACGACATTGCCCGATACACTCCGAACCCCTTCAAGGGGTACCACACCGAGCTCAGCTCTATCGGCACCTCAATCAGCTCAGCCTCGTCGACGGAGGCGAGGACTTGCAGAACATCCCCTCCAGCCCCTCATCCAGCCCATCCGTGAGGTCGACGTAATCTTCGCCGTCGACTCTAGCGCCGATACCACATACAACTGGCCAAATGGTACCGCCCTTCGCGCTAGCTACGAGCGCTCACTCAACTCCATTGCCAACGGTACCCACTTCCCTGCTGTCCCCGACGCAGAAACCTTCGTCAACCTCAAATTCAACCAGGAGCCCGTTTTCTTTGGCTGCGACGCCGCCAACTTCTCCTCCGAAGGTGGGAGCGCACCTCCTTTGATCGTCTACATCCCCAATGCCCCTCTCTCCGGCTTCTCCAACGTCTCTACCTTTGACCCCACGCACGAGATCGACGAGCGCAACGACATCGTCCAAAACGGCTACAATGTTGCGACCCGTGGCAATGGCACCCTAGACGACGCGTGGCCCACTTGTGTGGCTTGTGCCGCCCTCAGTCGCAGCTTCGAAAGGACCGGAACCACACCACCACAGGCCTGCCAGGACTGTTTCAACCGCTACTGTTGGAATGGCCAACTCGACACTACGGCCGTGTCGTCGTACGAGCCTGGCCTCATCCTCAACGCCGAAGCTGACTCGGGCAGCTTCAAGATGGCCGCTTCCACGGCACTCTGGATCGTTCCGGCTGCTGCCGCTTGGCTCCTGACTGCATAATCATAGGTTCATATGTTTAACCTTTTTGATAGGTTATGGGTCGATATACATTTTAGCCTCTTGTTTTCTTTTTTGCTTTTATTTCATTTGTGCGGCTTTGGTTTCTTCCCAGCTTAACCTCCCGGTTGTCTCTTCTCACGATTCAGTCACTCACGACCCTTCCATCTTGAGAATAAATTTTAGAATCTAAGTGTTTCATTAGTGGGAAAGGGAATGAAAAAGAGGCGGGGAGGTCCCTCAAGATCAAGGCCCCTTGCCATCGACGCTGCGTGGTCTTTTGTACTAAAGTTGAAATCTCGGCTATCAAGGACTGTTGGGAAGTAGTAATCTCTGCATTGGTTTTCGGCTCTAATTAATTACCGGGTATCGGGGAATATACATTTTGGCATGGGAAATCCGCTATTCGCCCTTCTTCTTAGGGAGCCTGAAAGAATAAACGTTAGTCAAGTGATGATGTCCTCAACTTCAAGCCGAAGATGCGCCGTGCAGAGTTACGCAATGTAAACCAAAGGGTCCCTCAAAGCCCTCCGCACACGAAATGCGCCAATCTCAGGGAGGCGCCGGCGTTGCCAAGCCACGATATCAAGTTTGCAGACTTTGGCTTGACCGCATCGAACCTACCAGTAGATAGGCGCAGGGCGAGGGGAAGAAAGGGAAGGGGTAGGGGTTGTAGAAGACCGAGTAGAGAAGCGGGGAGTCTCCATGTGGCTAAAGAAAGGGAGAGAAAGCAAATATATCCTGCAACGTTGCGGGAAAAACAAAGGCGAAAGCAACACTCACATCGATTCAAACAACACGGAGAAGTAACAAAGCCCGGTCGAGCCCCACACACTACTAGCCTAACATCCGGCTTCCAAAACAGTAGTAGAAGATGAAAATTATATATAACAGCTATGAAAGTAGAGAAGAGAGTCAAAATTCGTCTCATTCGTGGACTCGTCTCAAGTCATCATCTCGCATGGGAATCGGAAATCCAGCACTTTCTGGTCTTGCCATTGACTGGGTGGCCGCAGCCAACCCTCATGCTCTTTTGTTTTAGCTCAAAGTCCGCATGTACCCGATATCTCCCATCGGGACGACTGATATATCTCGCTGCACTTCTAGCGTTCGGATCGTTACTCGCTCTTTTCCCATCAAGTTGTTTCTTCGGTCGTAGCGTCGGCAGCTACGGCTCAGCTTATACCGGGGTCGAGCCTTCATTAGGATGAGGATGCTCCAGTGGCGTGTGTGCTACTTTAGCAATGGAAGCTGACCCTCAACTCGAACATCTCTGACGCCATCAGGCATAACGCGTAACCACTCCGCCCAGTTCTCGATATCGAAGAAATCATCCTTTAACCTCATGGATAGGTGAATCTGAGGGCCAGTGTGATCCGCCGCAAAGGTAGGCTGGTTCTATGGAGGCGACACAGCTGGATCGAAGGGAGTCGGGGATTTCCTGTGATCTGTAGGTGGAGCGGTGCCGGTATGCTTGAGGGCCACTCATGCTCAGGATGTTGGTCTTGGATCATCTTTGGATAGACAGATAATAGCTTGGCATGGAGATGGGCGGCGGTCAGAGAATGATGATTGGGGCCTCGAGCTTTGTTTCGAAGCTCTTCAGTCAATGCGTTCGTGAACGCACACCGATCCAATAACCTAAACTGCTCCTCAGAAGAAGCAGCCGCAATGAGTTCTAACACGCCCTGTTTCCTCTCTACGTTTGGAGACGGGTAATATGCAGCATCCATGATAATCAGGGTATCCGAGCACGCCTCTTCCAGGATTTGCTGGATACCGCTCCACCGTATAGTCGAGGCTTTTTCCCTATCCCGAGAGCTAACGCCATCGACAGCAGGTTAGTATGCCCAAAAGATGTATCCCGACGAGAACAGAACCCAAAAGCAACAGCCACCAAAAGATTTTTAAGGAAGCCACCTCCCAACTAACTTACCTTGCAAGCACCATCTCCTTATTCCTATCGAGAAAGGTGTGCCCGTTGTAGTATAAGATCTTGAGTACATCACGCTGGTCCCGGTCGTCGGCAAATGCAGTTATCTGCTGCAAAAGCCAACGGAGAGGGTTTCTGCACTCGTCCGAGGGAGATGGAATCTTCTGTCTCTGGAATGTGTATCGGTATTGCTTATCGAATACATCGGCAAGGTCTTGCACAGTGGCGCTAAGCTGTTCATCGTCATCGTCCTGCCAGTACAGAAGAAGGGCTTGTGCTGCCGAATAGCGGCCCCGATGGGGAGTGGAAAAGATGCGCGAGGCATGACTCTCAAGTACCGCGCGAAGACTATCTACCCCGGGCACAGCTAGCGGCTTTCCTGACGGTAGTGGTGTCCGGAGGCGCGATTCGCTATGAGGGGGCGACTGTGTGGGGGTTTGGGTCGGCCCGGAATCGATATCCATGGCGTCGGATGAGTCTCGCCTGAACACGGAATTCACATGATTGTTATGGCCTACGTGGTTATGCGTGTGATTATGCGCATGGGTATGGGGATGAGTATGGTTCGCAGTAGGGGCCGGGCTGATGGGCCTGGCGCCAGTAAGAGGGGCGATTTCCGGGATACTCGGGCTCAATGGCCGGTGATATTTCTTCACGGCATCCTCCCATGTCATGTTATGATGGCTCGGGTGACACTGCGCCCCAGAAAAGAAGACGAGGGAACAGCCCATATGTTAGCAAAGCTCACCGCAACCAAGCTTCAGGGTCTAATCTAGGGAAGGCAAAGCGGCAACCAGAGCACTTGCTCGACATAGGAACCCACCGGGAAGAGGGCAACGACGTTCTCAAACCTCGCCGTCTAGGGGAGACAATCGGACTTACTGCGACGCGACGCCTCCGGCAATCAGAGCAGGCGCCAAGCTTCCTGATGAGAGCGGCCTTCTCTCTTTGCTGCTGGGACAAGGGACCGGTCCGCCTCCTGCTGGCGCGACGGTTGTTAGAGAGGTCGGAGCCATCCTTGACAGAGAAAATGGACTGGTGCGGAGTGGGGAAGTTTCGGCACTATACGATGTGTTGTTGGCACCATCGAGCGATAGACGGGCCGTCCCGGCCGCTGGAGAGGTAGCGGAAGCCTGGGCGGAGATCAAAGAAGGGGTCTCCTTCCTCAATGGCGGCGAAACCGACTGTGTTGGGGTCGGGGGCGCTGGCTGCTGTGTCGAGCCGACTGGAGGGCCGCCGTGCCCGGGTGGAGGCGCGGGAGATCTCGACTCATCCGTCTTCGGAGGCGCCTCGAGCAGGCTAGGGGCTGGATGCATGCTTGATATAAACCGATCTCGTCTCTACGACTCCCCACGATGCATCATCAAGCAGCGGCGAGATCAGAGTAAAAGACGAACAATGGGGGTAGCGGCGGCTGGGAACCGGATGTCGGACGAGGGGGTCCCGGACGACTAAGTTTCGAAACGAGAGTCGGTATGCGCCAGGCGATCCCAAGGGTTCGGAAGGGGTAGTGAAAGAAAGATGGGTGCGGGCGCCCCTTCTCAGCCACCAAAGGAGGAAGATGATAGAGGGATGGAACGTAAGCACAAGTCGAGGGCACCTTCGAACAGGTGGGCGGGAAAAGTCTCGAAGTGGGAAAAAGAAAAAGAAGAAAAAAAAGTCCGCTACTATGGTGGGGGTGGGGAGTGCGTAGAGGTTAAAGAGCCAATGCGCCAGAAATAGGCGCGCTCTATTATCAGATTATCCCGGGGCGGATGACGTGAAGTTTCGGTTGACGGGGCCGAAAAAAAAAGAGTGTGAAGATTCTGGGAAGTATGAGCTGGTCAAGTACCGGTGTGCGCGTGGATGGGTGTGGACGGGCAAGATTGACCGAGGACCGCCCTTGAAGGGGTGCCTGCCTATCTCGCGAAGGAGCAACGGCAGGAGCGACAGCTAGACGAGACCGGGGCAGTTCCTGCAACTCGGGGTGCTACAAGGGTAATGTGAGGAAGCCAAAACCTCGGTGCTTTGGTCCGCAGCTCGTCGCGCAAGGCAAGAGCGTAACGAGTGACGGGAGGGAAGTGACGAGGGATGAAGCTCGCACTATATTCATCGACGCAAAGATGGGAGGGGCGGGGTGATGTGCAATCCCGAGTTTAAGGTTGGCTGAAGCTCTTCTCACGCTTGAGTTGTGTATAAACTTCCAGCCCCTCGGCCTTGCTCAAGTGCCCCTCTTTCACTGCTTCCCTGAGAATTGTTCGGCTTTCTGAGAATATTTCTGGCGCGTGGGGCCGGCATGGGGGGCGGGTGGTCAAGAGCGTGTAAATGCTTCATGGAGCGAACAAACACCACGCTCCTCCCCCCTCTTTTCTTTCCCTTCTTCCGCCTCTGCCTGTATCCTTTTCTACTGCCACCTTCCTAGACTCGACTTTCTTCTTCTTTTTCTTCTCTCCTTCTCTCCTTCTCTTCACTTTGGGAGATTGCCCCTCGTCTCTTGCCCTGGCCTTCACTATTCTATATTATTCAGCATTCTACTAACACCCCTCAAATCCCTCTTTCTCCCCGTCTACCCCTTGGCACTCGGGAGGTTTATTCTCTGCCACTAGGAAGAGAGGGATGGTGCTACTCCACCTCGACTTCACTCGACCGAGACCGAGGCAGGTCTCTAGGGCCACTTTGATACCAGGAAACAAATTTTCAAGGTGGATGTCAATAGCGAGCGGGCGTGTGGGGTGGGCCTAGACCTAGCAGCTAGGGCAATGAGCCTTTAACTAATTACACGTCGAGCCAGAGGTGGATGGCCTCGTTCGAGCGGAATATTACATTGTGCACCGGCCAAGTCACCGGTGACCGGAGGAGTTGGTTGGGGTACAGCGGGTGCTGGACGATGGGCGGAGGAGGGGGTGGGGGCGTTGTCGTTGCTGTACGTCGTCGTCACAGATTAACGGCAAGGGGCGCGGGGGACTGAAGAGCACGGGAGGCGATGCTGGCCAATGCCGGTGCCTGTGTTGGGCCTGTGCCACAGCGGCAGAGGAATTGATCAATTGATACACTACAAGGGGAGGGACCCTGTTCCCCGTTCAGTCCAGGCCCAGCAGGCGCCCAGGAGAGGCCCAAGAGGTCCGGTGGATCCAATGCATCTCTCCATACATCTTTCGACGAATCCCATGCATTGGCCCACGAGTCCGCAGGGCCGCTTGGTATCGACACGCGATAGAACTGTACTCGTCACAGCAGACTCGACCTCGATGGGCATTGTCTGGGAGCGCGGAAAATCACAGCAGTCTGGCTAGATCAGTGGGATGCGCTGTTGCCCCGTTTGATGTGAGGAACCAAGAATTGAACTAGTTTGGGGCGAAACCCTTCATCACTCCATTCGGACTATTTTGGCCAGGGCCTCCTCCGGCTCGACAAGATTAGCAGGGTAAAATCGAAATAGTGACGGATGGGCGGGTGAGACAGTTGTGTTCCGGCGGCAGTACACAAACAAGATGGTTAAGAGGCAACAGCAGGGTGTGAAATGGACGAATGGTATTTTGGGTGGTGGACTGGGGTCCCGGTGGTCGATTCGCTAGGTAGTGGTAGGAGAGGTGTACATCAATCGATGTCGGGTGGATGCGGTAGGAAGAGGTCAGGAGGGGATCAATGGATCAATTGATGCATGTCGCATGGGGAGATGTGGGGAAAGGGTTGTAACAGTTACAGGTACTTCCTAAGGGCCTTCACATCTAAAGTCCCTATCCATTCTTAGAATGAATGGAACCATAATCGCTCAAGAATAGGGACATAACAGAGAGGGCTTCCGGTAAAAAGCGAACAAGTGAGCGAGAGGTGAACCGGGAAAAGAGAGTTAAAAGAGGAGATAACAAAACCAAAGGGGGAAAAATAAAAATAAAAAAGCGACGAGGCAGAGGGGAGACGAAGAAAGGGAGCTATAGCAGAGGGGGGAAGACGAAAAAGAAAGAAAAATTATAAAACCCACTTCTCAAGGGCAAACTTCAACTCAATCATTGCCATTATTGTCCTCCCTACCTTTCCCTTAGCCGCCGATTGCGTCGCGATAATTCGAAAGCGAGGGGCGGGGGCGGGGTGGAAAGACAAGGGGAGCGAGACACCGACAGGGCCAGCTGCCAGGCCGAGAAGAGGAGCCTGAGGTGTTAGAATAAAGACCAATTACAGCGAGTGTGATTGTGGGAAACATTGTGGATTGATGAACTGGTCCGAAGGTGAAGGCCCTGTGTAAGTTCGATGATGGGGGTAGTGTTGTACGTGCACGCCCCCTGACACCCAGATGCAGGAGACACCACTTTGCGGGTGGCTGGACAGTTGAAGAGACAGGGTCCACTCCACGATGAAGAGAGGCCATCTATGGATCAATTGATCACAGTTTGCCAGCAGTCGGTCTTGGGAAGCACAGGCTCCTTGGACGCCCGTGCTCAGGTGCGCCTCCTTGCCTTGGGCTCGCGTTGCGCACTTGCCCGCGCCACTGAGCCATCTCGGCTACTCAGAGGAGAGCATTGAGGTCAACAACGTCGTGGACGCAAATCGTGTGATTCGGTGAGGCAATAGACCTAGGTCAATCCCTGTGCTGTGTAGCCGCCCACGCACACATGCGATAACGGCCCAAGGTGTGGCTCCTCAATAATAATCTTGGTACCCGGTTGCCCCAGCGTCCGCGACTTTCGGGAATCGGAACCGAAGAGCCCTCGAAGGGAGTTTGCGGAGCCTAATACCTCGCGTCCGCCATCGCTTTCGCTTCAGGGTTGGTGATTGAAAATTTCCTCATAGCACATGGTCACGCTTTACCTCCATCGAAGTAACTCTGCTCCGGGGCAAACCCCAATCCTGCACTTGCGCTAACGCCTCATCCCCCAATCCAACAGGACATCCACACGCCAACATAGTTCGATGTTCCACATCCCCACATGCTGAGACCGCCCTCTTTTTTTTTTTCTCTCACCGAAAGGGAAAGTGCGGCGGATCGCCACTCCACCGTCGGTAGTAGTAAGACCCTGCTTTGTTGTGCTGTGCTGTACGATGGGTCGGACAGGAAGGTGCGTTGGTCGAGAGAACAGTGATGAGTGAGTGCATCATTTCCCACCTCAGTCCTTCGAATCAAGAGGCGAGCAATGGCCATCTTGGGCTGGCGAGTACGAGGTGCAAGGAGTTAATGCCAAGTCTCCAAAGCTCTTACCTCGAGGAACAATGGACTTGCCCCAACCGGTTTGAATTCCAATAGGAAGACCTGTACCCAGTTCCGAGGATGCACGGGGGAATGGGTGCTCTTGCTCGGTTCTACAACAGTACTTCGGAGTCGCAAAGGAAGGTGCGAAGCCGGGACAATTGAACGCTAAGCTAGTCCAATCTGTCCGCATCTGCAACTCTCTGACGACATTGATTTGATGTCGTAAGGGCAGGTTCGCACCCCACAAGTGCGTGGTAGACCCTCTTGCTCACCCAGTAATCTCACGAGGCACGCGAAGCAAAACGCGAATCATGGGTTTCCCTGGCGCAGCACTGGACAACGGGGCCAGTGATTTTCCACTTCCTATTATGACCGAGATCCATTTCTCAAATCCTGTTGCGTCGCTAACTCGATAGCTGCGAGCCGGATTTCCCCTCCTGAGCGTTGCACGTTGGTGATGCTGTCAACCATGATAATCGGCTTTGAAACCACGGCTAGGTCAAGAGGCTAGCTAATAAGGCCCAGAGGGATCATCAGTGCACTGGATTTTGGCTTCACTTGATGAATTACGACGGCAACATGACTGGAACGACTTGAGCCAAAAGCTTCCTATACCCGTCCGCCGGGGAGCAGAAGACGGCCAAAGGCCTATGGGTAATCCTTTTCAGTGGTTTCAAACACCACCAAAAAAAAAAAAAAAAAAAAAAAAAAGATAGGCAGCCTGTTCACTCCCATCCAATTTCCATGGGGCCGGCCAGCTTCCCGCGCGCCCGGGGTTAGAATGGTTTCGAAACCCGGCTGATATGCATGTAAACTTCTCAGTCGGACAGCATCGAGCTCCGCTGGCAGTCCTCCACGCTAATCTGGGGTTGGTTTTCCGTTTCGGTCAACAGAGGTGGGGGTGTCGTTTCATTGCGGTCAAAAATTGATGTTTACTTTGTTATGCTCTCTGAGGGGCTATTACGGGTTACGCAGTTTTCTGTGGCTGCAGGTGAAGCTCAAGACTTTGAATTTCTGGGGAATTCTGTGGCTTTGGGCGGGCACTGAGATGCCCGGCTCACTCCCCAGCCATCAAGCTTTTTGCCAGTCTTTTCCGGACAAGGACATTATCTTGGCAAACCGCCGTACCCTGTAGTGGTCATCAAAACCAACGCAGATTTTACCCTGCCAAGGGGAGCGGGCAGTTGTTCGACGTGGCTGTCTATCTACCCAGCGGTTATACTTCGTACGTGGGCTCTGAATTTTATCTATGGTTTCTTTTTCTCTGTGGCAGCTCTCGGAATTAAACGAAGATGCTGCGATCCGAATCTGGCCCAGCCACCGTGATCAGGGCAGAGTAACTAACAGAAGTCCGGGAATGGCAAGTTGGAGGGAGAGTGGAGTATTTCCCTCTTAATCGTCTGGCCACTGTTTTCTGGTGGAATGGGAAGCGGGATATGAACGTGGAAACAAGCCCAATGGGCACTTGCAACGTTTCCCGAAACCCCATGGAAGTTCGAGGAAAGAGGCCTGGTGGATCCTCCTTGACCCCTCTTTGCCCGGCCGGACAAAAGCCGTCCTTGTTCAAGCTTGTCGGAAGCACGAGCATCATAATCGAGGCTGTCTGGAGAAGGATGGCCCAAGGTGCCATGATCGGACGAGCAACAGACTTTGTTTTAGATCAGACCTGCGACTTATAATAAACACCCCGGATCAACAGACGTCCTGGCGAAGGGAAGGGCCTCTGGATAATTCTCCCTCGAGGTCATCTCTGTCTTCGGTCCCAACACCTATTGGAAGCTTGGCCAGTTGGACACTTTTTTCCAAGCTTGCCAGGCGACCTCGCTGTGGGACTCTTCTTCCTGACCCTAGTCGCTCTGGCCGAATGTCCTTTGATCCTCGGCACAGGAAATTGGATCTCTGTGGATCTGTGCTTTTTCACGCATTGGATGCGGGGTGGGCGACCCCACGGAGATGGGGCAGCCCGCGCTAATCTGGAGGGGAAGAAAAATAATCGGTGAATAATGTCATGAGCTTGTGTGTTCTAGCCAAACCTGTTACTTGCCTTCCCTGCGTTGCCGGCGTGGAGGACAGGTGACAAGGACCTGTGCGAAATCGCAGGAGGGGTTGGCATCCACAGTCGTGGGCATTGACCTATTGCACCTCGAGACCGTCTCTTTAGCCTGCCCTCGCCGCCTGTCCATCTTCGCGTTGCATATGCAAGCAAGACTTGCACGTCTTCACTTCCCGTGCGCGGGCTTAACATTGTACCCCAGTCTCGCCACTTGGGAAGGACCTGAGAGTCTTCCGGCAAGCAGAAGTGGCCAGACCGGGCATATACAAGTACCACCAGTCGTTTCAAACATTGAGCCTACAAAGTGAGGCAATAGCCATCCGACATTTACACCAAGAGCTTGTGCTACAAGTAGTATTAATCATGCTCTCCAGCCAAATGACACATAGGGGATGATGGGGAAAGGTGAATCAATCTTATTTCTGTTCCACCAGCATCATCGAGCACACAACTTCCGCTGGCGCTCGTAGGTTTTCTTCTTGCGAGGATGATGTTCCCTGAGCGCTAGGTGGCCTTGAGACGATTAGGGTAGGCGATCAAGGGGCCATCGTTTGTCTTCCCTTTGGCAAACAAGAAAAACAAGAAAAAACAAAAAAGACAAGGGGCGAACGAATAGGAAGGGGCGCGGAATAAGGGAATAAGAGGGTCGGCTGGGGAAGGGAAAGCCTCCAGGGAACAGAACGTGCCTCGTTCACGGCCTTTCTTCCGGACTTTTGTACTCTTTCCGTTATTTCCGTCGCTCTCTGTCGGACCTAGAATCTCGTCGAGTGAAGAATGATTACACTCAAGCCAGCTGTGCACCTCAGGTCCAAGCCTTATAATCGGGCACGAAAACGCATTGGCGCACATAAGTTTTCGATCTCAGCACATTTCGGTAACGTCTAAAATTATAACTGGAGAGGTGTTCGAGATGCTGTTTGGGAAAGAGAAAAGAGAAGTGCGAGAGCTAGCTGCCATACCTAACTCCTACGCATACTCGCGAGGACCGATAGCTAAAGAGCAAGAAGCGCTGCCAACCAATATGCGCGCATGTTGATGTGGACGTCCTAGGGTCTCCTCAGACTCGTGCACAAATATCCAGTCCATCTGTAATCGCTGGGATGTCAGTCACCTCCTAGCCACCTTTACGGGATTGATGCACATCGCGACGGAATTCGACAATTGTCGCCACCACCTAGGAGTTGATGTCGAGTCAGGCCTGTAGGGGTAAAGTTGCCGTGCACAAAGAGACTTACTTGTTGGCAAACGAGAGCCCGCGTCTTTCGAAATCAGCAGCTCGCAAGGTTGGCAGAGCCTCTGTTGACTTTTATCGCTGCAGGTCATCAATCCTAGCCTTGGGGCCTCACGCTTAATACCTTTGTGCAGTTCGCTTTTACAACCCCTGGTCCCCTACACAGCTGCATTTGCAAAGGTGGCCTGGCCCCTTTCGCGGCATCACCTCTGGTAATTGACGCGTCATTGGACCAGGTGAGGTGATAGTGCCTCTTTCGCTGCATGGAGCTGTTGTCCTCCCTGGTACCATGCAGAACACCGTATCAAACCTGTACTTGTCATAACTAAAACGCCTTCTTCTCTCAGGTGGCGCCTCCCTCGCCCTGTTTCTTCAAAAAGGAGAAAAAAACTTCAGTCGGTGTCGACAGAGTAAGGCATGTACACCGTTCGCCACATCGCGATATATCGGTGATGCGAGCACACCGAGGCCACGATTCCAACCGGTACGTTGAGAGGGCCTCATGTTTGGAGTTCAAGGAATACAAGCAATAGAGCATCGTTCTAAGGAAAGGGGCGAACGCAAGAGGGGTATATATACATATATACATATCGATCTGGTGATGATTCGTTCCTCGGCGAGCAATCAACCAAACTGCCTCGATGACTTCTTCGCGTGCGTGGGTATGACGCGTGAACACGCCGCACCAGTGAGGCAAGGGACTTGTTGTCTCGCTGTAAGCTGCGAGACACCTAAACTAGGAGCTCTACTTCACCTCCCGTCCCCTCAGCATGAAAAGTGGAGGCAGAAAGACTAATTCGAGGAAATGGGCCAGCCAGGCCAACGAATGGTTGCGACTTTGCCCTAACGGCGAACGTCAGTCCTGCATCGGCAGCGCCGGCCTGGATAGATCGGCGGATGCAAGCAGCTCTTGTTGTATGAGCCCTTCCCCTCACCCCTCTCTCTCACTTATCATATTCGGCCAACTCCATCCCAACTATCGAAATTACAGTTGCTGCAGCTCGAGGCGACAGGGTCTATCGGTGTCGGGTGTTGAAGAATATTGGTGGCAAGGAGGTTCGACGGCTCTGTTAGCCGCCATCAAAGAGAGGAAGTACTGGGATTGGAGCCGAGTCTCTGCCAGTCTCCCCCGAGTTCGGATTATCAATAAAATCCTAGTGCCTCTCGTGCCCATCCAATAAATAGCCTTGCCCGGCAGGCAACCCCTCACCTAGTTGGCTGGGTTCCAGTTTGATACTGCCAAGGGCGATGGAACGGGAGATTGCGTGTGTGCAAGCCGACAACCATAAGGCAACGGACGGGGACCCGGCCAGTCCTTGTGAAGTAATGACTGTATGACCGGTGAGGAGCAGTCTGCGAGAGAAGACCGGGGATTGGTCTGTTTTCGCAGCTCGCCGAGAGACAGGATTTGCCAGTACCCCCTCACCGTTGCCATTTCCACACTCCAGCCTGCGGCAGGCAGCCTTTCGCCACTTCTCCTCGTTCCCCTCCCCACATTTACACCTTCCTGACAACGGATTGACAAGCAAGCAAAGCCTGGCTTGACGCCGTGCGACACATAGTTCTGTCGGGGTAAAAGGACGGCGAGGACGTAGACCTGGGTACTCGGGACTTGTACGTGTTGGAGAAGCCATATCCCTCTTCGAACGGGAGGCGAGGTCTCGTTACGGGGACCACCCTACGTTACATAGCACCCTGAAGAGGAAATAGAACGATGGGATGGAGTGATTCAAACGAGCCCGGCGGGGGTTCGGAGGCTGGGAAGGTCACCTCTTCGCAAGCTGATGCCAAGGGGGTCTGCAGGACAGGACGGGACCTTAAGGACGTGGGACAGCTGTTCACGGTAGCAGCACATGTCCGACGATGCGTCGAGATTGTATGATATATGGATAGCCCAGGCCTTGAGACGAGCGTTGAGATGTTTCAAGATATGTTGGTAGGGGAGCTCTCCCCTAAAAAGAAAGAAAAAGCAATCCCGTTGGAATCTACATAATAGTCTATCGCATTCCGGTATCCCGACGCATAAAACATACCCTCCCCCTGCGAGGTACACGGAGGAGGTTGGGAAAGGAAAAAGGAGCTGGAAGCGAGCTCAAGGCAAAAAGCAAGTAGAGGCGATCCGTGGTCCGTTTGGACTTCGGGGTCCCCCTCCGGCATGCTGACTGGCGCAGGCAGTGAGCAATGCAGGCAAGTAGCGAAAAACACCACTGAAGAGGCTTGGGGAGGGAGGAAGGGATTGTGAGAGAGAGGGAGAAAGAGAGGGGGTGCTGGAAAAAAACGGAGGGTTCTGGTTGATTATCTAGTTGTTGCTTTTGTACATGAATGCCAATTCATCCCGCCTGTCATCAATTACGCGTCCCCACTCGAGGAGGAGTCTAAAGAGGTACACCTCCATGTCGTCCCTCCTCAGGGCCTTTTGGCCCAGGCCTTGCCCTGAGAGGCGATCCACCTCGCATCGTCCAGGTTGCCACTTAGACCGACGGCCTTGCCCGCGATGGTGACATGGCCTGTACCTGGCTCCTGCCCGCCTTCACCTTGCTCACCCTCGCGGTCCGCGCCGCTCTGCGTCTGGTCCTGCAGGCCCGTAAAATAAGAAAGCGTGCTGTGCAAATCCGTGAGACGGAGGTTCACGGGCACGAAATGCACCCAGGGCATAACGCGCTCCAGTACCAGTGGGTGAAGATGGTCGAGACGAAGGGCACGGCGCTAGATCCCATGGCGGCCATCGCGGTGGGGTTTGTGGACGGGCCCGTGTCGGCGTCGAGAACAAGGAGATAACGGTGATCGAGGGGCGCGGTCTGGGGCCCCGCGGCGCCTAGCTCTAGACGGGCGAGGTCGCAGGACGTACCGCTGCAGGTGTGGGCTTCACGCTCAGTGGTGAAGGCGACGTCGAGTGGGAGGAGCCCGTTGAGTTCCATTGTGGGGATCCTCGCGTAGGCGAACTTCTCACCGTTGTTAGGGAGGGGAGGACCACTAGGGTCTCATCCGATGAGGTAGCGTTGTTGACGAGGTGTGCTACCCGGTGCTTGTGGTTGCCACGCAGCCCTTGCTGCCCGACCGCCGGGTCACCGTACCCGCCCCTCCAATAGAGATTCGTCTCCTTGCCGTTGAAGTTACCCATGGACTCTTGCTCCGCATCCTCGTCGTTCGGAAACGGCAAAAGAATGTCCCCAAACCCACCCGTTTTGGAGCGGCTGAAGACAGGCATGAGCTGCACGAACAGGTCGCCGTTGGCTTGTGGGGCCATATGGAAGCCGTGAAGATAGGGGACGTCGGCCTGGTCGCAGGTGTCGAGCGATCCCTCCCAGTAGGTGGTGAATTGCCACTTGGAGTAAGAGGACAAGTACCTGGTGGTGAAGTCCCTGACACTCCACGCGGTGCGGGACCGCGCACTTGAGCCTGGTGGGCAGCTCCGAGATATCGCATGCTGCCACTCAGCAACTGAAGTCGGTGTCCAGGCATCGGAAGACTGCCTGGACGTTTGGAGCACCCTCGGTCGATCATGGAGGTTGACCGGTATGTCCATATCGGGAAGATGTTTGGAGAATGCTGAAATCATGGACACCAAATGGCTCAACAGTTTGGATGAGGGCTCCCCCATAGTGGATGTAGTGCTAACCTTCCCTCCACGTATTTCCACCACAGCGATACCCGGTTTGTCGCTAAGCTGGCTTACTCTTTGTCGTAGAACTTTGGGAGAGAGCTTCCGGAATGGAAGTAAATCGTGGTTAATCTGGGGAAAGTGGTCGATGATTGCAGACTTCTTCTCGAGGGCAAATGAATACCAGGCATCGAACCCGGGCGGCGGTTCCCGGCCGTGGTTACGCTCCCGGTATTCCGAAACGGCCACACGCAGGCTGCCACTAGTAGAAACCTTTACCAGCCAGGTGTCAGACATGATGCGCGCCTCGTATATCAACTTATTGAGTGGATGTATATGGAGTTCATGCCTGCCTTCTCGAAGCAACGCGAGAGGAAGAGCCGTGAAGATGATGACCGCAAGCGAGCAGAATATGAAGAGCCGCTGGATCGTTTTAAGCATTTCGAAATGGCGCCGGCTAAGAATGAGGCTGTAACCAAAAAAGAGGTAATATAGAGGGCGGATGGTTCCGAACGCTGTTCCATGAAGCCAGATCTGCATTCTTGCCACATTTTCGAGGGATGCGACTTGGCCAACAGCCATGACGAGCGTTGCGGCGGGCGCCATCGGGGTGGATTCGCACATCAAAATGGTAAAGGCGACAAGCACGGCGGAGAGGAGGAATCCACTAGTGAAGACATCGGACATGTAGACGGCCCAGATGCTACGTCCCGAGAACAATGCCGAAATGGTGAAGACACTTAGGGCAAGGGCGAAAGTGAGTTGCAGGACTGAGGAAAGTGCCTGGAGTCGAGCATGCGTCGACTTGGTCCATGACATGATTTGCCATAAGAGAGCCAGTACAGCAGCATCTAGACACATACCCAGAACTTGGATGAAGAGGGTAGACGCCGCACTATCAAGAGTGCCTGCGCAAAAGAAACTCGTCCTCGTAATCTGGGCGAGCGAATCATGGGTACCCAAGCAAAGGAGGATGACGCTGATCACAAAAACGGCTTTAGAACCAGTGAGCCAATTCACGGCATCCAAAAACAGGTCACCCCATGGCTCTGAGACGTCCTGCTCTTCTACCTTGGGCGGCAGAGAAAAAAGAGCTCGTAAATGAGTAGGGGTATGCAGATGAAGGACTAGGCCGGCTGTTAGATTCTACGGACAGCACAAGACGGGATGTTAGAGGGTTTGTCCCTACCTCGACTCCCGGCGTGGAGCACTGGGCCTTCCTGCTCTCGGCGAGAAAGAGCTCGAGCCGAGCGAATAAGAGCAACGAAACAATGACTTGGGATTTCGCGCGCGGCCTCTTTGGCGACGGGACATGCCTCTTCACGTCTCCATGAAGTGGCTCTACTTCAGAATCATGTCAGTAAGCTGAGGGTAAAAGAAAAAAAAAAAAGAGGTTCCGCAAGCAACGGCAGGGGCCACGCAAGGTGAGACAAACCAGAGGGGAACTGCCCCCTAGCAGCTTGCGCGCGGCAAAGGACGCTGCCCAAACCAGGGCAGCCGCGGCTCCGAAAGCGCAAGCGGCTGTTCCTCTTGGCTCGTCTAAGATGCGAGGTTAGCACAGAGACTCATAGATTGCGGCATTGGCAGCGGATGGGTTCTCGGGGCGAGACGAAACGTACCTAGAACAGCATAGCTCTCAAGAGTGCTGTTGGCTCTGGCGTAGATTGCAATACATCTGATAGCATTGCAACATTAGCTTCTCAGGCTCCTCAGGAATGCGAAAGGGAGAAGGCGGAAAGGTCGGGTTTTACATGAGTGCAAGCACGAGAAACGTGTAGCCTGTCGACTTATTCACAAGCCGACCTGCACCCCGTACATAGCGAGTAACCATCGTCAAGTTGCAGGGGATCTACAAGTAGCTCGCCGTGATGGGTAGGAGGAGGATCGGAAAGTCGTCATAACATCAAGTGCAGCATTTCAAATTATCTCATGGTCCCAAACTGGTTCTCGACGCCTCGGGACACTTCGGATAACGCAGAAATTCTGCAACACTAAAGTTTGTCGATCCATGACTTCTTCGTGTTGCTCGTTCCTTCATCGTTTTTGTCTTGGAAACAGGGAATTGCAGATACGGGCTTATGTAATCTCCCGCGCGACCCCTGAATTGAAATACGATACGAACCCTGAAAGTGAACGCGTGGAAGCTCCACTGGGCACACGTAAAGCTGCAGGCCCAAAGAACGGCGCAAGCTGGTGGCCGCGTGTTCGAAATCTAGAGTTTCAGCTTAGGGGGCTGACATCACCCGTCAACCTCAACCCATCCAAGCTCATCGACGACCCACCACAATTTAGTCCCGAATACAGCAAAAATCCACCGGGGCGACGGACCCCCTTTGCTGCTTCCATCCCCATGGCATCATCATGTCCGGTTTCAATGATGCTCCGATAGTCAAGAGGCTGGCGGTGCCCGCCGTTTGCCTCCTCATCATTTTCCTCGCCTATACCTCCCAATACCTCTTCTACACCGCGAAAAACCTCGACCCTGGCCCGCCCACCAAGAAGCAGACCATCACCTTCAACGCTCTCCTCGCCTGCCTCTGGTGGACCTACTACAGAGCGTGTACCGTTTCCCCAGGGCGCTACGACCCCGCGGTTATCGGCAGCACCGGCAATAAGCCCACATCGGACGACCGGCGAGGAGAAGACTCGAGCTCCGATGAGGACGGCGAATCGGCTTTCGGCCCCGCAGGGGCACCCCCGGCGGTCCGGGCACCCGTTGGTGCACCAAGTGCAACGTCGCAAAACCGCCGCGGGCCCATCACTGCCGCCACTGCCGCCGATGCATCCCAAAAATGGACCACCACTGCCCGTGGACCGCGAACTGCGTTTCCCTCACGAGCTTCCCACACTTTCTTCGCTTCCTAGTCTGGACAAACTTGTCCCTGTGGTATCTAGCATACTTGCTCCTCCTGCGCTTCATGGCCCTCTGGGAGTCCCGAAACTGGCCGTCCTACCTCGGCCCGAGCCTTGGAGGATTGATTCACCTCGCGCTTCTCGGCATCGTGTGCTTCGTCACATCCTTCGCGCTCGGAATAATGCTTGTGGGCACCGTAAAAGGCTGGCTGTTCAACACCACCATGATCGAGGGCTGGGAAATCGAAAAGCATGAGAGGTCGGTGGAACGGCGCGGAGCCGGCTGGTGGGACAGCGACGACGATGCCGGCGGGCCCCGGAGAAAATCGAGTTCCCTTACGACGTTGGCTTCTTCAAAATTTGTCGGATGCCATGGGCACCAGAAATCCCTTTTATGGTTCTTCCCCTTTGCAGGGGGCCCGCGCCTCTCGCGGACCGGCCAAGGCCCTGGTTGGGAGTACGAAGAGAATGGCTTCAACACCCGACTCGGCATGTGGCCGCCACCGGACCCTGATCGCCACCGACGCGGAGCGGCTGGTTGGCCGGGAAAGTATGTGGACGACGAAGGCGCCATCCCAATGTACGGTTCTCCCGAGGAACGAAAAGAGGCTTTCCAGAGAAGGCAGGAGGCGGATATGCGGAGATGGAAGCGGGAGAGGGCCGATATGCTCGCGGAGCTAGAGGAAGTTGACACTTACGTAGTCGATGACGACGTCGGCGGCTCGGGGACCAAGACGGCTTTCAGGAATGCCGACGGCGAGACACTCGACGATTACGGAGTCGACTCTGATGACGATGAGGATATTCCCCTGATTCGTAGAATTGACGACGACGAGGATGTGCCGCTAGGAGAACTCCTACGCAGACGGAGGATAGTAGAACTAGATGATAGCGAGTCTTGATGAAGACCACAATGGGAGCCACTCTGGATATACGGACATACAGAATAGAATAATATCACGACTTCACGATCATTTCAATCATGGACTCAACTACCCAGAAAGGAAAAGAACAGATTACGGCATCAATGTCATATTCAAAAGAGCCACCATGCAGAGTGCATACCTAACTAATGCTGCTTGAATAATAGATAAGGAGCGTCCATTCTCGGACACGCGAAGAAGGCTGAGGAAGATGTGGGCGCGGGGCACAAAGGAGGTCAAGGCAAGGAAATGTAAGAGTGAAGCAAAAATATAAAAAAATAAAAATAAAAAATCAGTCGCTCCTCCCAAGTCAAAAGACCATCGCACATCTATACTCCACAAGACACAAACTTTTCCGAGTCCTTTACCAGTCGTCATCATCATCCTTGCCCTTTTGCATTGCATTCTTCCTCGCCAAGAGGGCATCTGCCAGACTGCCCGCCAAATTGGGAGTAGACGAGTTATCCGCACCACCATTCAGGCTCATGCCCGAGTCCCTCGCCTGGAGCCCGGCTGGCTTGCGGCCAGCAGCCGGACGCTTGGCCGGGGGTGCTGGCGGAGTGGGTTTGCTGCGGGTTCCGTTAGCGCCGCCCGGAGGTGGAGGCGGCGCACGGGGAGCGGGGGCCGGGGCCGGGGGTGGAGCGACCTGTTCCTCAACATACGCCGAAGGCACCAAGCTTGTCCTCGAGCATTCTTACCCAGCCACCAACCTAGAGAGAGAACGACTAATTAGAACAATAATCTTGGGTCATTCGATTGTATAGAGCATGGATCGGAGTATCGCCTTACCATTATTTTCCTTTTGGATAATCTCAATCAGTTCTCCCTTGGTAATTGCCAGCTCGTTGGCCTTCTCTGAGCTGAAATCATAGAGGACCTTGGCCATGACCTTAGGCTTCGCTGCTGGCGCCGGCGGCGGAGGTGGCGGGGGCATTCTCGAAGCGGGCGTTGGGGCAGCCACTGGCGCCGCGGCAACGCGCGAGGCTTGAGGGCGAGTGTGGCTCGGGATAGCAGCGGAGGCCATGACAGCTGCGGGCGGTTGGGGCACCGGCCGGGAAGAGCTGCTCGCGCCGGGTCTGGGCTGCGGCGCACGGTTCCCGGTAACCCTCGAGGGGCGACCTCCGGGACCGCCTGGCTTGATGAGCTTGCCACGGGTGATGGGGCGAGGTGGGACAGGCTTGCCCTTGGGCGTAGGGCGCGAGATAGAGTTGGCAGGCTCGCCTTGCTGCGTGTGGATGGCGCCACTCTTGTAAAAGTCAACTTGCACTTGAGAGTCCTTGATCACCTTGACATTCTGCATCTTGCCCGGCTTCTTGGCGTATTCGATAACCTCCGCAACCTTGAGGTTGAAGCCACCTGGCATCATGCGCTGCATCTGAGTGAACAACTCGGTCTTGAGGACACAGTTCACAAGAGGGTCGGCTTCTTGCGGGGACCCCACGCCCAACGAAAACCAGTCGTCTCGACAAGTAGATGTACCAACAAATTTGATTGCCCCCAGAGGAATAGAGCGCTCAATAGAGATTTGGACTTGATTATTCACCAAGGCTTGGGCAATGATGTAAAATGATCGCGTGGTCACGATAAGGATGCGTGGGCTAGGCTTGCTAGATCGACCGAACTTGGCCTCCAGGATCTCTCCTCGGCAGGAGAATACGGCCTTCTCACTCGTCGGAAGGTTGATGGCACTTCGGACCTGGGAGCCTGGGCCAACGGAAGCGTTGAGACCGAGGTAGTCTCCGAGGAATCGCCTTGAGCCAAGTATGCTCATTCTGCGGCGCTCCTTGCGATTTCCCAGGACTCTGTGGCCCTGGTCTCGTAGTTGGATGTATTCGGCGCCCGTCCGCTTCTTCCTCCAGAATCGCTGAATCCGCGTGGCCGACTCAGCACGGTAGGCGAGGTAGGCCCTCCACATACGTTGGATACGGGTAGCCATGTTGTGCCAGTACCGATCTCGCATGTGTTCGAGGGCAAACAAGGTCTCGGGCGATTTGACAAATGCTTTGGTAGTACCCATTTGCCACTCCTCTTTAGGAATGCTGGTATCCTTGAAAATCTGCTTCACGGCATCCTGGTAGGAGCCTTGCCAAGTATATTCTCCGGCATACGATGTGGCAGGGGACAGCAGGAAGAACCGGTCGACAAACTTCTCAAACGATTGGCGGTACGCAAAACCAGCTCGACGAATGCGCACATTTTCTTGCAGACCAAGATACTTGATTTGATGCAGGACGTTGGGGACGTTGTATTCCGTAGGCGATTTGTTCTCATTGGGTTTGATAGTTCGGATATACGACGGCTGGCACTTCATGAGGGTCTCCACGAGGGCATTCGCCGAAGTTCGGATGCGGTCACCCGCAGAGGGCGGCTGCTTGCGGTTATCGAGATCCACCTGGTGGGGAATAGTTGATGGACGAAGCGGTTCCCGCTCGCCTCAAAGAGACCGAGAAGACCCTTGAGGAGCTGATCCTTGTTCTTGTCCGTGATACCGTCAACGGTATAGCTCACGTCACCGGCATAATGCTTGATGATGAAGTTGCCCTGCCGAGGGTCAAGTGGGCGTGGCTCATACCGTTGATGCTCTGCATGAACGTCCTGTCGCACGCAGCAGGGTCGGCATGGGCGGTCTTGGTCGCGTCCTTCATCGCCGAGAAGACGCCAGGAGGTCGAATCTGCTCGATAAGGTCGCACACAACCTTGTTATCGAAATACTTGATGGGAGTCCACTGGATCTGTTCCCTGGCGTACTCTTCTTGCTCAGTTTTGAGTGTGAGCTGGATAAAGATTTGCTGAAGTTTCTCATTGACGTAGTTGATGCAAAGCTGCTCGAAGCTGTTCTTCTCGAAAATCTCAAAGCCGTAGATATCGAGAATACCAATGGTGTTCGACGTTGCCTGTTTGGCCTTGAGTGATTTATTAACGCGCTCGACGATCCAGTCGAACAGGTTGTTGTAAATGGCCTTGGCCAATGCATCTCGGGTCGCAAGTGCCTGAGCGGGGTTTGCGGGGACTCGATGACCTCGCCATTTCTGGGGGTCAAAATCCTGATAGTGATGGCGTTGATCACCTGCTCCGGAGTCACCTCAAGCAGGTAAGCCACGAATTCCACCACGGACCTGTCGGTAACCTCAGCCCAGCCGCTATCGTCTTCGCGGAACTGGATGTTGCCGACCCACAGAACAGCCGCGAGCATGCGAAAGATCTCATCCTGTTCTGCTTGCGCCAGACCGATAATCTTCATGGCGTTCAGCGTGTCTTGGTATTCTGCGAGATCATCGATGCCGTCGACGTCGAAACACTTGGATCGGCTCGTGTATACGTAGGTCTCGGGCTTTTGGATACCGAAAAGCTGCCTGTAATTGTCCGATGCGCCCTTGGTGAACTGGTAAAAGATGTGGAAGTTGCGCTCGTTTGTGATCTGGCCGACGACTCGCGACTTCTCGAGGAGGTAGTTGGTGATATCAGCACCGACGGGCTCGCCCTGGGCATTGAAGTGAATTTGAAGATATTTCCCAAACCGTGACGAATTGTTGTTCCTCAGCGTTTTGGCATTGCCAAAGGATTCTAATAAAGGATTAGTGGCAAGCACCATGTCCTTGATTTTCTGGATGTCGCCAGAGCCACCACCAGACACATTCGCAATGTATTGCATGATGCGCTTTGCAGCCTCCGTCTTTCCGGCGCCAGACTCTCCAGAAATGATGACGCATTGGTTATCACTGTAGGCCTTCATATTATAATACGAAGCTTCGGCAACGGCAAAGACATGGGGTGGCATTTCGAGACGGTTCTTTCCCTTGTAGCTTTCAAGAACCTGATCCGTGTAGATGCCAAGATCCCTAAAAGGGTTGACGGAAACCAGCACATGGCCGATATAGGTGTAGATCTCGCCGCCTTCGAATCGCTTCTTCAAGTTCTCGTTGATCGCCTCGTTGGACACTTTGCTCAAGAGCGTCAGGTCTGATACACCAATCTCCTTTTTCTTGGTTGTGTCGAACGTCGCCTTCTTCGGTCTCGCGCTGGCGCCGCCTTGGTCACCGCCACGGCCCTGCCGAGCGGCTTTATCCTTAGGTCGCCTGGATATACCCTTGAATGCGGAGTGCAGGGCGAAGTGTGCAAACAGTTAGGCGGCGGGTTCCCCCAGAGAGACGGAGTTGGGGGAAGAAGAGATGGGGGCCACTCACCATGTTGGGCAGAGAGGTGTCAACCACAAACCTTCAGTGAGGAGCGATTCGAGAAAAATAAAGGTGGAGGGTTGCGGTGCGCCGGTATTGTGGGGCGTCGGGCTGGGAATTGAGGATGGGATGATTTAAAGGAAAGGAAGAAGAGAGATGTAGAAATTGGGGAAGGAGGAGAAGGAAGTGAAGCGTGGACTAGCGCACACAAACGAGGTGAAGAGGAGGGGCGGGGGAAGGTTGGAGGGATTGAATCCAGACGTTGAGACCCAAAAGCGATTGCATCAGAGGTTGCGACGGATTGAAAAGCGAGTCTTATCCGGAGGGAACTGCATCCCAAATGTGCCTATTCCTTGGAACACCTGTATGTAGCAATGGAATAAGTCGGTGCCTTGAGTCGGGACGCCCGAACCTTGCGCTGCGCCAGGTGATGACGAATGTTCCGAGTCTTTTCCGATACACCTCGACGTTTGAGGGTCCCCTCCAGGTACCCAAATAATGTCGAATGGCTGGCATTGAGATCTGAAGCGAGCCAGATGCTTTCCTCACTACCACGCCACATGGGAGCCCCCTCTTCAGCCACATGTGTACATTGTTTGTACTTGGTATACCTCAGCCCCATTTCAAGGTCCACCCCACTACCAGCTAGCCCATTCACCGCCTGGCAGAAAGTAAGAAAAAAGTTGCCAACCAAAAATTCCCACTCCCGCCAAATCCTCCAACTGCGCTGCTCTTTGTGCCATCACCGTAGTTCGTGGCCGACGATTCAGAGTTCGAACCCAACGTCGTCTCCTCACTACGCTCGCAATCATGGTTCGTAAGGCGGTGTAAGTGCTCCTACTACCGCTTGAACACGTCAATGCCCCTCCAATGGCTAACATCCCTCCAGCGATCAGCGTATCCCGCATTGATTCACAATGGCGTCCAGGAGAAGAAGCGTAGCTTCTTCGTCGTCGTTGGCGACCGATCAAAGGACGTCATTGTGAACCTACATTATCTTATGTCTCGCGAAGACATGAGGCAGAACAAATCCGTTCTGTGGGCCTACAAGAGCAAACTGCTCGGCTTCACTTCGTATGTCCTCAAAGCATAGCCAGTCCGCAAGACCACTTGCATGTCGTTGTGTGTGTGTAAGACTAATATCTGAAATCCAGTCATCGGAAGAAGCGAGAAAACAAAATTAAGAAGGAGATTAAACGAGGCATGCGCGAAGCCAATTCCGAAGATCCCTTTGAGCTTTTCGTATCCCTTCACGACATCCGATACGTCTACTACAAAGAAACCGAGAAGATTCTAGGTAACACATATGGCATGTGTATTCTTCAAGACTTTGAGGCAATCACGCCCAACATCCTCGCTCGATGCATAGAAACCGTGGAGGGTGGAGGCTTGGTGATCTTGTTATTGAAGGGAATGACCAGCTTAAAGCAACTCTATACTCTTTCCATGGACGTCCACTCTCGGTACCGGACTGAAGCCCACGACGACGTTGTCGCAAGGTTCAACGAACGCTTTATTCTCTCCCTCGGAGCCTGCAAGTCTTGCCTTGTCATAGACGACGAGTTAAACGTCCTACCCATCTCTGGTGGAAAGGAAGTGAGCGCACTACCGGCTCCCGATCTCGATCAAGCGAAGACCCCAGCGCAAAAGGAGCTCGAGGGGCTCAAGGAGTCTTTGCAGGATACCCAGCCCGTCGGATCACTCGTTAGCCTGGCGCGTACGACAGATCAGGCCAAGGCCTTGTTGACATTTGTTGACGCCATTGCCGAGAAGACTTTGAGAAACACAGTCACCTTGACCGCCGGACGTGGTCGAGGTAAATCCGCGGCCATGGGTGTCGCCGTCGCAGCTGCGGTAGCACATGGATATAGCAACATATTCATCACCTCCCCTCGCCAGAGAACTTGAAGACTCTGTTCGACTTCGTCTTCAAAGGCTTCGATGCCCTCGGCTATGCCGACCATATCGACTACACCATCATCCAGTCAACGAACAAAGACTGGAACAAGGCCATCGTTCGTGTCAACATTCACCGCCAACATCGCCAAACCATTCAGTATATCAGGCCACAGGATGCGCATGTTCTTGGACAGGCAGAGTTGGTCGTCATTGATGAAGCCGCCGCCATCCCTCTGCCTCTTGTCCGAAAACTCATGGGGCCTTATCTCGTGTTCATGGCGTCTACCATCAACGGCTATGAAGGTACCGGACGATCTTTGTCGCTCAAACTCATCAAGCAGCTGCGCGAGCAGTCCCATTCACAAAGCGCCAACGTCGCGCCAGAAACGGAAATTGCCGATCGGTCTACGGGCAGAGCAGCTAAGAACGAATCCGCGCCCGCGAGTGGACGGTCACTGAGGGAGATTACCCTTTCCGAGCCGATTCGATACGCACAAGGCGATGGTGTGGAAAAGTGGTTAAACGGGCTCCTCTGCCTGGATGCTACACTTCCCCGAGCCAAGAACAACATCCACGGCTGCCCCGATCCTACCCAGTGCCAGCTTCTCCGTGTCAACCGCGATACCCTCTTCTCTTTCCACCCCGTCTCCGAAAGGTTCCTCCAACAGATGATAGCTCTCTATGTCGCTAGCCACTACAAGAACTCGCCAAATGATCTTCAGCTAATGAGTGATGCGCCGGCGCACGAACTTTTCGTTCTTGTACCACCCATCTCGGAAGACAGCCAAAAGCTCCCCGAACCTCTCTGCGTAATCCAAGTTGCGCTAGAAGGAAAGATTAGCCGGCAAAGTGTGCTCAACAGCCTCGGTCGAGGTCAAAGGCCCGCCGGAGATTTGATTCCGTGGCTGGTAAGCCAACAATTCCAGGATGAAGAATTCGCTTCTCTCTCCGGCGCTCGAGTTGTAAGGATAGCGACAAATCCCGACTACGTTTCCATGGGTTACGGATCTAAGGCCCTCGAGCTTCTCGTCAACTACTATGACCGCCAATTCAACAGCCTGTCCGAGGATGAGCCCATGACCTCCGAGGATACCTTCCCACGGGTCACGGACGAGGAGCTCGCCGAAGCGTCACTCCTCGACGACAATATCAAAGTCCGCGATATCAACAAGATGCCCCCTTGTTTGCCAGGCTTGAGGAGAAGAGCCCCGCTGCCGTCGATTACGTCGGTGTCAGCTACGGTCTCACGCCGCAACTACATAAATTCTGGCAGAGGGCTACCTTTGCACCAGTCTATCTTCGCCAGACTCCAAACGAGCTCACGGGCGAGCACACTTGTGTCATGATTCGGCCCCTCGATAGCAGTGGCGACCGCAGCTGGCTAGGCGCATTCGCGCGTGACTTCCATCGCAGATTCCTGTCCCTCCTCTCCTACGATTTCCGCACATTCCACACGCGTACGGCGCTCAGCCTTGACGAGTCAACCAAGGCCGGCGCGGAACTAGACAAGGTGGTGATCAAGCCGCTTCGGAAGACGGAGCTCGACGAGCTTATGACGCCTTTCGACCTCAAGAGGCTTGATTCCTATTCCAAGAACATGTTTGACTACCGCGTGATTCTAGATCTCGTCCCCACATTAGCAATGCTCTACTTCAGCGGCCGACTCCGCGCCGAGATCAAGCTCACTGGCGTGCAAGAGTGTATCCTCCTTTCAATAGGCCTGCAGCGCAAGGACCTAGACGTCATTGCGCAAGACCTAACAATCCAGCCCGAGCAAGTTCTGCCATTGTTCAACAAGATCGTCAGGAAAATTACGACCCATTTCGCCACTTTGGTAGAGAATGCCGTGGAGGCAGAAATGCCCAAGCCCTCCGCCATTGGCATAAGCCGTGAGAACGCCAGTGGAGCGCACGATGACGAGGTCAACGAGCGCTTCGAACCCTTTGCGACCTCTCTTGAAGACGACCTCCAAGACAACTCGGCGCTCACCGAGATGGAAAAGAAGAAGCGCGAGCTCATTGACTCTCTTCCACTTGATCAGTACGTCTCCTCTCCCACGCCCGCGCACCTCTATTCTCTCCGAGAACCCACTACTAACGCATGATGCCCAAACAGATATGAGGTTGAAGGTGATGCTCCAGGATGGGACGAGGCAGAACAGCAGGTTCTGAGCGCGGCGAAGCACGGCAAAAGGAACGTTGTAGTTAGCGTCAAGTCGAGCAAGACGAAACGCAAGGCCGGGACGACCGCGGCAGAAATCTACGAGAAAGAGATTGGCCAAAAGGAGAGGAAGAAGGTCAAACTCGGAAGGAAGGCCAAGATGAGCTGATCGGAGACAAAAGGAAGTAAATAAAAAGACATGTATTGATAGTCTTCAAGAGTCACTTGCATGCCGGCGTCAAGGGAAGAACTGTGCAAGGCCGAGGCAAGTTTAGTATACACAATACCACTATGCTTTTCCAGCGTCCCTTACTACCCAGAACTTCAGGCCCAGCGAGATTGAGGCCGGCACTATGGACATGGCAGGGCGAGTTTGAAGCTGAGAGCACGTGTAAATTTTGGGACGAGATCGCAAAGTGTTTTTGAGGGAAGGAGTCAGTCACCTGGTGCACCCTTATATATGGGCAGGGACGTCGCACCACTGTCACTACAATTTTACCGCCGTCGCGACCCCGACTCTCGTTTCCAACAATTTGTTCGCGATATACCTGAAGGCGAGACCGCCCATCCACTCTTGCATCTCTCGATCCTTCAAAGTTATTCTTACCTCACATCCGGGGCCTAGCGTAGAGACACATTCCTCACCCTCATCTCTCCTATCCTCCAATACTATCTCCAGAGTGCAAGAATCAGAAGCGCTGCCCCCCTCCCCAAAGAAACACCCAAGCCTACTCACCACGCCCAGCAACCCAGATCTATCATCGTCAACTTCCTACAGTAGCCCTCACGCCGATACCTCGAACACAGTCCGCCCCCGTATCTTGGAGCCACCGACTCAAAAGAGATTCGCTGGGAGCGCGTCTAAACAACCCTACAAAGGCCCATCGTTGAACAAGAGAGCTTCAAGCGTAGCCTATCCAGCCTAGCATGTGCACCGAAAGCATTTCCAAGTGTGGCAACTGCGGATTCTCGCGACACATTGACTGGATGCGCTGCGAAGAGCACATCTACGCCCTCGCAGCCGCCATCGAGAAGTTAAAGACGCCACCCCACCCCTCGGACTGCGAGCACTGCACGCGCCCCGTGGTCACCATGTGGCTAACGCCCCGGGCATGCCCGACGAGCAACGAAGGCTGCGGCGGACTCAGAACCGCAGCGACTCCGGAGAACGGAGGCGAAACCACCCAGGAGAAGGGCGCTGCAGAGCACATGGGAAATGGGGATGATGCAGCCGGATCAACCGAGCCAGCGGAGAATGGAGGTCGCCCCGAGGCCGTTTGCTAGGAATCAGACGGTGCTCAGACAACCATACTGACCGCTCAAGCGAGGACGCAAGGTGCAGAGCAGGCCAGACCCGCCATCACGTTCAGCGCGTCAGAGAACAGAGATTCCGCCATCTCGATTAGTTCGTCCATCAGTTGCGTAGACTTCACTACAGGTCCAGCTCCGACCGAACTACGCTTTAGTCGGCAGCCCGTTGGCAATGCCAGGAAGCCCCAGGCCAGTTCCATCGGCTACCATCTCGAGTACGACCTCAGCCTGGTGAGAAAGGCGTTGAGGACAGCAGCCGCCTCCAGCTCTTCGGCGAGGCGCATTCCTCCTGACGTTATCATGGTCCCAGATAAGAGGATTCGCTACACCTCGAATGCGACGTACGTCATACAATGGAATATTGAAGGCTTAGCGACGGAAGAATAGCCCTTGTGAAGGGGAGTCTGGGACCGGAACCAAGAAGAACAAAGAGTTCAAGCTGTGGGTTATCCACAAATATAAAGCATATGGAGGAGGCATATGGTCGAGCGTTAGAGGAGACCAAGCGCTACCATATACAACAAACAAGACAAGACTAGAATCAACCATGGAAGGGGCTGAACGCGATGGTGAAGTGGATCGTCGAGCCAACGGTAGAATAGCTCACACAAGCAAAGGGTACTGTTTTCCTTTCGTTAGTAATAAATCCACAGCCCTCTTCCTGATGTCATACTAGCCCAAGTTCAACCCTCTGCCCAGTCGGGCTTATTCTCGAACTTAACCAAAACCAACATCCTCCTCAAGAGGGGCCCTCCGCCTGTCACGGCACACACTTCCCTCTCTCCCCTCCCCACACTCAAACAAGACGGGATGAGTTAGATGAGACGCTTCCAAGCCTGGATATCGGCCATCCTTTCTATGTCGGCAAACGAGAAAGGCGACAAGCAAAAGGGCATCAACCACTTGGTGTCCTTGCACAACAGCGGGGCGGCGTGGGGCATCAGAAAGTTGCGACCAACTCCTAAAAACGAAAACAGTACCTAGGATAATAGACTACGGATCTATCAAAGATGTCATATAGTAAGCAAAGATGTAAGCTGAGGGAAAAGACCAGACAAAAGAAGAAGGGACGGAAACCGTCAAAATCCCACGATCGCATAACCGGCAGGCCTGTCTTGGCGCCAACCGCCGTCGTACCGCACGCCGCCCGGTTGGCGTTCCTCCTCAATCTTTTTCTTTAGCACTGCTCAAGAAAGTCCGTAGCCGCCGGCCAAGACAGACGGGCGGGCGCCATTGGGCGCAAGGACTTAACACTCGGAACGTGTCGAGATCCACATGTCTTACCCCGTGCAGCTGGTCCGCAAACGGAAGGGATCGACCATCTCGTCGGGTCCAGCGTGCAACAATCCCAGGGAAGAAGCCCCTTCACATCCAGCTTCTCCAAGTCGGCTATGGTGGAGGAGGGTAGACAGGGCCGCCCAACCTCCCTTCAGCTTTGCGCGCTGTGCGATGCCGTCATTTTTCTTTTTGAAAAAAAGGACCGAGGGTCATGTATTTTCAATACTATTTATGTAATAAAGGTTTCTCTCGTCTTCTCTACATCGTCCCTCGAGGGAAGCGGGAGGCACCAGACGATCAAGGACGCGAGTCCCAGGTCCCGGCTCCAGTGTACCCTCGCCACCCTCCCCCACATCCGCCTAGGCGAAACGGAATTCTTCCAATTTTATCCTGGCAGATGTCAGCACTACTCAGGGTCACCCGCCATCTTAGTCCACCGTAGATAGCCCGCCCTTGCCTCCGAAACCCAAAATGGAAAAGAGATGGGAGTGAATTTAATGGCCGGTGAGGCCTGTTATTGTCCTGGTTTCCAACCCCCTCGCCCACCTCATCCCGGTTTGCTGATGATGCCACCAAGGGTGAGGAATAAGCCCTGTAGAGCCCTCTTTCATAGTATAGTCGGCGTCATATCGCCACGTGCAAGAAAAAGAAGAATGAAAACGGCCGACCACGTCGCGTACGTCTCTGGAACAAATGAACAAAAAAGATGACAAGAAAGGTGGGAAAAAGATTGGTTTTGTATGGCTGAGCATAAATGAACATGCAAAGAAGATAAAATGTGGCCGGATATTGTTTCTTTTAAACACCCGAATATGTACACCTAGAAATGTTCCTTCCAGAAACGGAAGAGGACATCGCTAACAGTCGCCTGCTTACAAGCCTTCTGGATGTCACGAGCTAGAGAGAAAAAGTAGACTGTTAGTACATGCACGTTTACCGGCTCCTCAAAGGTGAGCGAAACCCCTAGGGAAAGCAGAAATGGACTTACCAGCTGCAGAGGGACCGCAGAAGTAGACACCGACGGTGGTTCGCATGCTCTCGAGACCGTTGATGTAGGTCCTGTCGAGAATGCCGTTGCGCATAACCTCGAAAAGCTTGGGGAAGTTGGGACGACCAAAGTTGGTACGGGACTTGAGCTCGGTAAGAGGGTCGACATCGGCGCCCACGGAGTTGAGGACAATGTTCTGTGTCGTGTCAATGTCGAGCTTCTGGGTGAGATAAGTGTGGATCTTGAGGAATTCAACGCCAGTGCTGCCGGGAATACGGGCAGCCTCGTTGCTCTGAGCCTCGAGGGAAGAGAGAAGGGTCTGGAACCACTCGAAGGATCCGGTGTCCTTGCAGACCCAGATGAATTCGACACGTCGCAAGCGAGTGGGGGTTGGGGCCGTTGCGGAGATGCCAGATGTTCTTCAAGATGGCAGCCCACGGGGTGACACCGATACCAGTGCCGATAAGCACGGCAATTTCGTTATCGAACACATCTTCGGCGGGAGCACCATAAGGTCCATCGATGCGGAGACCAGGCATTTGCTGACCGTTCTGGAGGGCAACCTCGTACATTCCAAGAGGGTCGACGCCGTCGTAGAGCTTGGCCTGGGCGGAACCGGCACCGACAGCATTACCAAGGGCGCGGGTGAAGTCACCGACTTGTCGGATATGGACGGAAACATAAGGGTCATAGGGGCAGGAAGTGATGGTAAAAGGGTGCCACTGGTACTTGGAAACGGCGGGGACCTGGAGGAACAACCACTGACCAGCCTTGTACTTGAAAGAAGGCTTGGCGAACTGGATCTCGACGACATCTACGTTACTGTTAGCATCATCCAAACTGATTGTAATAGGCATCTCTTGCGAGACGCGGGCTCTTCTTACCATAAGGGTGTCGGACAACACGGGTGATCTTGGTTTCGCGGCGCGCACGAATCTCGCGGTAGAGACGCTCGATAAGGTAGAGACCACCGGTCCAGAGCTCCCATCGCCAGCCGAGGTAACCAATGCAGTGCTCCCAGTATTCACGTCCGGCAAAGGGAGAGAAGGGAGCGGCGCTGTCACGGACGAAGCAGCCGACGGTATGGGTGTAGAGACCAAGCATGAACGGGATGAAGAGATGATGGGTGTACCAGAAGGCCTCGAAACATTGCTGGCGGACTTTGGCGTGGGCAGTGGTATACATCATCATCATGCAGAAAAGCATGACGTGACCGGTAATACCACCGGGCTGCTTGTAGTGAATATCCAGAGCGGTACCGGGACGGAGCTGAGTCCTCTCAACGTTGTAGAAACTACGGCGGCGCAGGTTAGCAATGAGCTTGAGCGGATCCGCCACGCGGCACGAATCAACGCGAGGGAGGGTTTACACGTACTTGACATAATGAGCGCTGGTGTGGAGAATGGTGTAGAACAACATGGCATAGGCGAGCTGGCGATGGAACCACAGGTTCTCGTCAAGGGGAGCCATCGGACCTTGGGACGAATCCATCGCACAATCGTTCGGCACACCGGTAGCAAGATAAGCATACCATCGAAACTCAGGACTAGACCGGCACCACGGGAGATCCAGACGGAAAACATGAGCAAGTTGAGAGGAGCTAGACGCTCATCGGACGCCTGCTTGTACCTAAAAGTTGGGGGCAAAAAGACATTGTTAGCATGCTTTTGCGCTCTACTCCTCCGGCTCCAATAGCATAGCCAAGGAGAAGAAGAATAAGAAGGAGAAAGAAAACCTACCATCCGAAAGCGAAGACACCCCAGTGGGCACCCCAGAAGAGGAGGTGGAAGAGCATCTTCTGCCCCGTAAATTGCTTCTTTATTAACGTTGCTGTATCCATCTTGGCGGTGGAGAGCTAGTTTCCTCGCTGCGATATGTATTCAAAGTAGAAATGATACCACAACTCAAAGTCGACCTGCGACGATGCCTAGGCCGCGGCTAGCAGGTTCGCGACGGGGTTTCAATCGGTAAGGCGGTTCGACGGGATTCGGCCGCGATTCGATCGAGTGGAGCGGGAGGCGAGTCAATCTTCCCTCTTGCCAAAGTTGAATTCCTTCTCTTTCACGACGGAAATATCGTTATTAAATTCGTAATGAGGAAAAGCAAAGACGCAAGGTTCGATAACGAGGGGAAGGATTCGTCGGAGCTCCAGCCGCGAGGTGGTCCTAGGAAAGGAAAAGAAAAAGCAAAACAAGAGAAAAAGGATTCAAAAGAGCGATCTGAGCCAGCAGCGAAGAAGTGAAGTTGCTCTCGAGCGAAGAGAGAGAAGGCAGAGTCGACAAGTCTTGACCTTGAAAGGATCGTCTCTTCTACCACGCCGAGATGCAGATTAGGAAAAGAAAAGAGGAGGAAGGAAAAGAGAGAAGGAGAGGGTGGAGGCGGGAGGCGAGAAGATGAGTGGGCGGTAAGAAGTCATAAAGGATGTGTGACAACAATGCATCGAGCACGGGAATGGGTGGGCGACAGGGGGTGGGCTTGAAGGGGGCCCTTTTCTTCACAGATGTGGAGGGTGTGGGCAAAAGACAAGGTACGAACAATGTGAGGCGAATGTAACACCCGGGCCCGGAGAAAGCTGGAAATCAGTAAGGGCAGGGGCGGCTGGGGAGGACCCCAGTCTGCCCCCTCCTTCTTCCCTCACCTCCCCCAAAACACCAAGCCTAATCGCGAAATGAACAAGGTTCTGATCGCAGCTGACACAAATTCATCCAGTCAAGCTCATCCGTGACAAAACGCAGCCAAGTACCGATGGTTACGGGTTATGATCCACCTCCTGTGCACCGGAGGATTGAAGGTTTGCAGTCCAGCAGCTAATACCTTGGGACATCCATGGATGCATTTGGGGGTTTATCTCAGTGGCGATTAAACAGTATTCTCTGTATTTGTTTTTGATGCTTTCCCCGCCGCTTGAGAGCCTCTCTCGCTCCCTCACGATATCCTTGATATTTCCCTTATTAGCCCATTCCCTACCTCGCTGTCCCTGCCTCACTGTCCCTCCAAAAACCATGGCATGAAACAGGGCCCGGGCTACGACTGGCTCGTCGCTGGTCACTGTAGTGAGGCCCCCAAATATTGACCCCTTTCCCCAGTGGCCTACCCTGGCCGGCAGGCCAAGGAAATTTGCCGATCACCGTGGGCAGGATAATGAAGTTGTGGATACTGCCGGTGTCACGGTGTCGGTGCTCAAGAGGAAATGCGTTTTCAGTCAGAGCGCTAATCTTGGGAAGGGGAGGTGCGGCGGCACAAGGTATTTCGGCACGGGCATGGATGAGCGAGGATGGATACTTCCAATGCAATGATGATGAAGAATAATATGGGCTCCAAGGTAAAGGCTACACTACAAAAGCCACGATAGAGTGGGCGCCTCCCCCTCTCCCTCCGCCTACGACCTTCCCGGCCATGCTGGCAGATCAGACGTAGGAGGAAGTCGAGGAGGTTTCGCAAGGAAGGCCCCCGTGTCAGATCTTGTAAATCCGATTGAAGAAGAGAGAGCCTAAAAGGAACCTTGCGGTGTGGTGAGGGAAGGATCTTTGGTAGCAGGGTCGAGCTTGAGACGACATACGTCGGAGAAGCGCCAGGTTTGGTGTCAAGGCGTGTGGGACCGCCTCTGATTGGCTTTCGGGTGCATGCCAAGACCGCTAAAGGGGTAGTGCTGGGGACGCAGCACTTGGTGCTAGCACAATGAGGGAAGCGAAGGGCTGGGGAGGGACCAGGGGGTGTTTGGCACTTTTCAAAGACTGGCCCAATAGAAACCGAGAAAAGTCTTAGTAATGTGTCACGTGATTCTGCCCGCCTCCATCAACGGTTAGTTTCCTCTTGGCTGTGCTTTTTTGGTTCTTCGGCGCTTGTCAAGAGCATGGTGATTGCAGTTCAGATCACTCATTGGTTCCTCCAGTGTCCCGCTTTCTTGCTAGTGGAAGACGTTGACGAACAGCGCCGATTCTGAAGTCCATCGACGGAATCGGCGGGATGGTTGGATGACTTCATCAACGAAATCACAATTTCTACCAATGGGTAGGGTAGGGGGTCCGCCCGTCCAAGCTATGCAGACGTCAAACCCCAAGACCGTCCGCAAAAGAAGAGATGACAATCGACCCGCCGACGTCCTCCCGGAGGCCAAAGAGGCAACTTCGAGTGTTTCCAAATGGTGGATCCCAGTTCCTGTTTCAGAAGCCTTTTAAGGTTGTGTGCCGCGACAGGGGTATCGATCAAATTTTCACCTATTCGAGGAAGAGATTTGCATGTACTGTGTGAAAACTCAAAAACACACACAGTTGTGTATCATGACGTCACGGGCAGTAACTCGACTCTGCGTTCTCTGTGCTTGTCACACAACACTATTTCGGGGTTCAGCTGAACTAACAACATACTCTCAATTTCTCAAGTCCCTTCAAAGGCGCGTGGTGTTAGTTTGCCATTTGTTGCGATCACGAGCCTTTGAAGATGGGAGGAAGGTGGCGCTGTCTAGCATCTCTATCACTATGAAGCCATACCAATAAACTCTGCTCTCTCCCTTCTCACCCTTGAAGCATTCAAGCCCGCCGCCTCTCAAAAGAGCTCCCACTATTGCGATCCCACCTCGCAGACTCGCTAATCAGCGGAAATCCATTCGCCCAAACTCCCTCATCGCCCGCCCGGCGTAAAGAGCTCTGCGAAAATCCCGATATATTGCCGCCCAGTCGGGTTTCGACGCCGAAGACGCAAAGTCGTGTGCTGAAGCTTGGCAACGAGCCGGCCGTCCTTCTTTCTATGCCTGCCTCTGATCTCCCCCAGCCCCGGCATGCATGTTCCTTGACGCTCACTTCAAAAGGGACCCCATACCTCGAGATCGACGGCTAGCACATGAGCATCAAGAGATCATGATGCACATCCCCTGCCAATGAAGCCCCCTTCTATTCTGCTCTCTCCTTCTTCCGTTCTTTCCGTTGCATATATTTCCTGGCAACCAATCCTGAGCCTGAATACAGAATTAAGCTGTGTCGCGAAACCAACACCCGTCACACAGGCCGTCTCTGTGCGCAGACGAACCCCCCTTTTCTTGGGGTCCCTTGTGCCTTTGACTCCTTTCTCCTTTTTATTTTGCCTCGTTTGCTGCCTCTTCCCAACTTTTGACCCCGTTGTCGAGCAGACAAGCATCCCATGTTGACGCTCTTTTAGAGTGACATTTATCTCGGTACCCTCAATGACCTACGTGAGAATTGTTCCAGCAACAGGGCGATCCTTCACCGTCAATAATCTCATGCCGCTGATTGGCGATGTCTGTGGGCCATGACAGGATTTGATGTGACCGAGCACAAAGGGCACTGATAGCATCGTGAGCCGGGTTGCCAGCGAGGAGATTGGTCTTGTGTCTACCATTATTACCTCGCGCCCCCAAAAGAACCCCTGAAAATAGGAAAAGAGCAAAAGCAAAGAAGGAGAAAAATGCTTCTCTCCCTCGCGAGCGCCACCAGGACCAGGACGGAGAACCCCCGCAATATGCTAAGTTGAGCAACGCAAATGGGTTTACCGAGGTATCGATCCCAGGATTGAACTTCATCTACCACAAAGAATGATTTTCCTCTATCTTACCAAGAGTCAAAAGCGGTGTCTGTGTGGCTAGCAAACGAATCGAGCATCAGGTTACAAGGGATCCGCGGGGGCGTCCCCCCTTTTTTTCCCTTTTCCCTCCTCTTCCCTAATACCCCCGCCACATCTCAAGGACGCATGAGAAAAATACCCGCACGTTCATCATGCATGATCCTCGCGTTCGATGCTCACTTGCCGTTCCACATAAGTCCGGTGAAGCGTCAAAGAGGCACCTGCGCCAGTGTCGTCGGGGTTGGCTCGCCGAACGTGTCAGTGCCGTCTGTTCGTCACCTTTAACCCTACGACGTGTTGCTTAAGCAAGTCTCCCGCAGAGCCGGGCTCGATGACCAGGACCCCGAGGTGGATGAACTACCACGCGTTGGGTGCCAAAGAGTGGGAGGATCGATCTCTCGACGATCAGCGATGGTTCATATTGGAACGCTCCTAGGCGATGAATCCTTCGCGATCAGTAAATCGGGCGTTGGTCCCATATCTGTGAGTTTGGCAGTTGGTAGACGGGCTATCTCTGTTGACTTCATCACTCGTCTCTAAAGCTCCTGTAAAGCTTTTTGAACCTTGCTCTGCCACGCCGCCATGCAACCTTGCCTCTGTAGCTACTTAGGTTTGACTTTTACCACGTATCATTAAGTGTCTCGTAACAGTCAGAAGAAGGGGATATTATGAGGCCGTAGTTTGCTCGGGTTAGGATAAACCTCCCGCCATTCGCCTCTCGTCAGAATGGAAAGAGTTTCTCAACGCAGCTCCTTGGTCACAAACCTAGCTCGGGGTCATATCAAATTGGAAGTGAGGCGGCCTTTCTAAGTAAAAGACTAAAAGTTGATGGTAGTAGATATTTACGGAGGTAGTGCTCTCGTCAATATATCATATAATACGTCCCGTCGTAGTAGATGAGGGGACGCGACAGGGTCATGGAACTCGAGGCTTCGTTGAGAGCCACCCTGACAGGGCCTTGCGGTATGCACCTTGACCCTCAGATCAAGCGAGATAAGCTTTGTTCCTCTCAAAATAGGGGCATGCCTTTTGTCCGGAGCGCATCCTAAAGGGGGTAGCAGGTCAGCCTACCTCCTTTCACTCTCCGACCATTACAGACGACGAAAGAGGGTGACTCAATCAAGAGTTGGGGGAGGATACCCAAGGGAAGGGGGAGAAGGTGTTGGAGGCGGAGCCTTTGGACAATCCCCAAGCAAAAAGATAAAAGGGACAAACCACAGCGATCGTTAGAGCCTAAAGAAGTCATAGTAGATTCCCAGTATGTCGTGAACGCTGTTTTGGCGGTGCAGTGAGCTGAGACCAACTTGATTCGACCTCGTCGTGTCCCCAAGTCAAGTCCGAGGTGTTCTTCACGAACGAGCAGCTCCCTGTCCCCTAAAGCTTTGCTTTCCGTGGCCTGCTCGAAGTCTACCCTCTCACTCAGAAGCTAAGAGTTTGACTCCCATTCACGGTCGCTTGCCACTGAGCCTGGTTGACTGTCCCATCATTTCTCTTCATCCCCATATGTTAAGACAGGGCCTTCTGTCCGGTTCGTCTCGCGAGAAGCCCTCCGTGTGGTTCTAGGCCCATTCCTCTAAAAGGGGCTATCAGCCCCATCCTTCGCCCAACCTGTACTGCGACCAAGGTGACCAAGCAATACCTACTGTCCCCCTCATAATCGAGTTAGTTCTTGGCTTCGTGCCGCGCCCGAGAGCATCATCAGAAGAGAATGGCGTCAGTCGGGGGTCGGGATGCGTTGTCACATCGTCACGAAAAGAGAGAGTTGGTGTTTTCAGACAGATATATTCCCATTCACACCATGAATCGCCTATCTATATTACAGCGGGGCGCCAGCAGAAAAACATGAAGCCGGTCCCCGGAAGGTGCTTGCGATTTGAACAGAGAGAGCGAGGACGACGTAGAAGGAGGCCTAGTTCGGGCGCCTGGGCATTCGCGAGCCCAGAATCTCAGGATCCTCTAAGTCGTCTCACTAGCCTGTCCTTTGATCGGAGCTACCAAGGTCTTTGTGTATAAAACAAAAAAGGTTCAAATACTAAAGGAGAAAAGGGAATAACGGCAGGAAGAACAGGGGCGCGGTAGCCATCTCTACAAGAGACCCGAGTCTAGTATGCTTCCCCAAACAATGCAATCATCTGTCCAAAGCAAGGAGCGTTTAGATCTTATGCAGTCTCTCCCTGAGTTTCCTCGAGGACTTCAACTTCTTCTTGAACTTCTTCTTCTTCATCTTGAGCTTTCTGCGCTTCTTTACGCTGATGGCGTGAAGCACCTCCCTCCTACGCAGAGCGTCCTCGTGCCTCATTCTCCGGAGACGGTCAATGTATCGGCTACCGGGTTCGTCGTTGAGGATCTTGGGGCTGTGGGCTAGGACATGGACCTGGCCATCGGCATCGAGCGTCTCCTCAATAGTGAACATGGCGCGATAAACTCGGTGCTGAGGGGAAAGTTCGAGGTCAGCCTCGGACGAGGCGCCAAAGACTTGACCATTTGCGGCCTGGGGCTCTGGAAGGGGAGGAGGTTGGAAGGGCAGGAACTGGCCGGTCATGCTCTTCACTTGGACGAAGACGCTAGATTCGCGACCGTCGGCATGTCTGAGGTCAATTTTTGAACGCCCTCGCCGGCCTGTTCAGCCTGGCCCTCCCTGGAAATGGTCATCTTTGCCATGGGTCCTTCTAGATCATCGACCGCGCGGGAGAGAGTCGAAATGACGTCGTTGGGCTTGTTGATGGCGGACCGGGCAGAGAAGATCTCGGCGAAGGCCTCGTCGGATGTGGTTCGGGGTAAACTGTGGGTGATGGAGATTGGGCGGTGCATGGAGAAGAAACTTGACAAACCCAAGGCTACCAGATGAGGCGAAAAATTAGTTTCGGCGCCCAGATAACAAGCACAAAGTGCACAAAAGGGGAGCGTAAAAAGATAACATACCTTCTTGCGAGAGGTGTTGAGTACTAGGAACGCTAGGAAATCCTTGGAAGGGATCGCTCGACCCGTCGTTGACCTTGCTCCTGCGTTTCCTCTTCTCGGATGGAGTTTTCACCTCACTAGACGAGGCGGTGGCCGAGACGGCATCGCCCGTGGGGAGGCCCTTGGGTCCATTGGAGCGGTTCTTGGGGCTGCTCGGCTTCGAGGAAGAGTATCTTCGCTGGTGAAGAGGGCCCTTTCGTTGAGGAGTCGCGAGTGAGGCGGCCGCTTTCGGCGCGTGGGCGCCTAGCGAATTGGCGGAAAATAACGCCGACTGAGCGGTGGCCGCGGAGGCTACGCGACGCACCGTATGCTGCAGCATGATGATTTTCAGTGTCGAGGCATCGACCGATGTCCGACAACAGAGAAGCAGCAGTGCTGGCGGAGGGTGATGGTAGGGGAAGTGGGAGAAGAAGCGGTCGCTTCGTTTGCGTGGCGGAGATCGAGGTCATCTGTGCAGTCATCGCCGAAGAAGGCCGTAGCCTTGGCGGCGGAGCAAGAATTTGCGTTGGCGCCTGAGGCGCAAATTAACCACCCAAGCAAATCGAACGATGCCGCCACCACACCAGCCATGCGGGACAACACTGCGTCGAATTTTTAGTCAGGAGGAATCACGCGACCAAAGAAATGGCTGGGCTCTCCACACTGGCGCATGCACCAGCTATGCATCCGCTCACCAGATCACGGATTCCAGCTCCAGGAGGAACGAAGTGAACTCGATTAGCCCTTCCCTCTGATCTATAAGGGGCTACTATCATGGCCGCCGTCTATAAACGTAGAAATGTATCTGCAGAATGATCCCTCAAAAGGTGGAAAGAACAAAAACTCGAATAGATAAAAATGGACAACGTGCCGGTCTCTGCCCAGCGAATCCCCACCATTTCCATGTAGTCTTGGGTATCACCTCCGCTCTATTGTAAGCCTAGGCCAGTTTCTTAAGGGCTGGCCGGTCATCTATCCCTGTTATTCATGTAGCTGATGTAGCAATTCCACCCGATCGCAACAGTGTTGGCGAAAGTGAGCCTATGGTTCAAAGGCACAAACTTGAAGTTGGCAAGTTGCACCCAGGGCCAGACCATGTAGTTAGTGGCCATGATGGGGAGGAAATTCTTCTTCACATTCTCCTTGGGACTCCTGCCCTCAAAAAGGCCATTGTTGAAAGGAAAACCGTGAGGAAGGTTGGCGAGAAGATGGTCTGGTCGACGGCAACTCTAGCCAGCACCTCGGCGTTTTTGTTCTTGAGCACCACGCGATGGGTCAAGAACCTATACCACATTGCCGCGCAAGGCCCAAAGACGACTACTCATCGAGGTTAACTGACAAAGGTCCAAGACTTGCGGTTCTTGCCGCAATAGATAAACAGAACTGGGAAAGGGAAGACGACGAGGAGAGGGACGAAAGAAGGACGGGAAGAGGCAGATATGCCAACACGCTGAGAGAACTTACTTCCTCCGTAGAGAGCCATTCGTGCAGTACGCTTCCAGTCATGATCTTTCCCCGCTTCTCAACCGCCTGCTGGGCAGTGATGTCTCCAACGGTGTTCAGGACTGCGGTCGTGACGCTCTGTGTGAGCACCGGCCGACGGGCCAGTATAGATTGGTACCTAAACATTGAGTTTTAGTAAACAATTTCCCACTAAACAGCTCTCCGGTCGAGGATAGCGTACCACAACAACATTTTGGCCGAGTGTGTCAAGGTAACCTGCGGGGGGGGGGATTGGACGCAGGTTCTTGAAGGCCAATGGCCGTGAACACAAAAGGAACGAGAGGGCGACGGTGAGCAGTCGTATAAGCAATGGAGAAGAAAATACGCAATTAATTGAAATTTTGACTGGAAAGAGTAGTCCGTCAAGAAAAACAAAAAAGGCACCAAGGTCAACGGCTATGATGAGTGTAGGGGTGAGTGAGGAGTGACGTCGTGCCTCGCACATGGGCGACCCGCAATCCCCGTTTGATGCACAAATTCCAGGGACTGGCCCGCTTAAATAGTCGATCAACGTCTTCCACTTTGGGAACCTCCGACGACCTCGTCTATTGGAGAAAAAGAAAGAAGAAAAGAATAAGGAAGATATCAGATATGAACACCATCTAAATTGTTTTAGGACGGTCCAGCTGCCCAATGTGCACTTCTGTCTCGCTCCTAGATCCGCAATTTTCCGCCGGGCGCAAGTGTCTTTTTTGTTGGGAGACAAAAGGGAAATTATGTATTCCCGAGGGGCCAGGACCTTTCCTGAAGAGGGAATTTTTCTCGTTTACTTGGACAATTAGCATCGCCGCCATTGGCTCATCGTTCAACCCCTACTCGGTTTAGTGCATGTTTTCAACCTCACCCTTTCAGGATATCTGCTTTGTGGCGTCGAGAGTCGAGATCTGGAGATAGCAAAGGGGTGGTTTCTTTCGGCGGCTTTTAAGTGTGTCTGTATCCCAATTAGATGGCTCATGCTGAATCAATTGACATACATCCGTACAGTATCAATGAAAATATAAAAGTCAAGCCAATCAACCTTTGAGTGAAGTCGGCAGCGCAACCACCAGCATGGAACCAAGAATCACCAACCTCGGTGGCTCAAGATATAAAACGCCACCCTTGCTATCTGCTTATTTTCACCCCTAACTTCCTCTCCTTTTGATTTCCTGAGATTCCCCAGGCTTCCTTGAGCTTGAGAGTACCATGACCACGGTCGTCACGATGAAAAGCGAATCTGTATCAATGCCATAGAGCATATTTTTCAGTTCCTGTTGACTCAAGGAGCCGTGAATGACAAATGACGAGGAGTTCGAAGCTCATGTTATATCCTAACAACGGCCTTTCCCTTAATGGCCTTTCCCTTACACATTCGCTCACGGTGATACCTCTCCCCTCTCGCAACGAGAAGGCCGGTTTATTTTCCAGGCGGCGTGTTTTTCTTCGTTCAGGGCGAGAAGAGTGGGATACTCTCTACATTGTGAGAACTGTTTGTCCATGTCCAGTGCCCCCGGGATGCAATACAGGCTTATATACTCTAGATAGTGTCTTTTAAAGCAACTTCAATACCTTGGGCGCTGTGCGCGGTAGATCACCGCAAACTCTAACTATTCTACCTAGAGCGGTCGATACGCGAGGCTTTGCGAAGAATAGGCCAGGGCCTCCATAAGATATTCATCCAAGAAAATCTTGTAGAATCTGCATGGAACCTGATTTGAACGCCTTTCGTGGGAAGAAATGAAACGATGTAGGCGGATGTCCTGTTGTCTGCGACGATAGTCGTCGGCCAGTACATGTATCATTGAGAAACATCACCGCTATCCAAACGCTTCGCCCGGGAGGGGTCTGGAAACACTAGAAGGGCCAGTGGCACGTGGCTATTGATTGACACATCCATGATTCCCGGTTGGCCATGTTTCCGCCGAGGCTGCGGTTGACTACATGTGTTTACCGAAGGCGGGCAGTCTGGCGTGACACTAATCTTCATAGTTCCTTGCTACAGAACAACTCAGGGTTCTCGAAATGGCATTCTAGTCAATGACCATGAAACCTAAAGGTTGGTTAGAATATACGGATGTAAAGGGCCTACGGATATACAAGTGATTGTGGTTACCTAGGAGAGGGTATCTTGCTTCTCATGACCATTAGCCTTTCGATTCAGGCTTCATATATCTAGAGATATAAATGTACTTTAAACACGCCGCCCATCAGTCCCCCTTGAAAAGCACTCTGGTCATTCTTGCTTCCCTAGATAACAATTCCCCCGAAGCTGAGGCGTCAAAAGTATAAGAAACCTGAGCCAGAGACTGCGATCGAAACCCTAGACCGACTCAAAGAATGAAATTCACGGCTGATATCCATTCCGGGAGAAAGAAGACGCCTCGTTGGGGATATCAGAAGCATAAGAGTCCATAAAGAGTGACGAAGTGACGGTGGACTCTGATAGCATCGAGAGTTTCATACAACTCACTGACCTAGGATGCAAACATTGGCCAAATCGACATCACAGTTCTACACGTAAGGCAGCTTGTGTCTATATATACTTGAGGGTGTGCTGATGGTGTTCTCTCGTGCATAGCAGTGTATTGATCATCATTATAAACTGGACTGCCAGCTCTGCCCACCCTCTGAAGTACATCCCTCCCGGCTTCAGATATCTCTAAGATTTCTCTACGCTGGGGGCATGGTGGGCACCAACTGAAGCGAGTTGGCACCGTCGACTACCACGTAGTCTACGTGTTTTCATTGATGACATATCAAGAGCCAACGGCTCCCCTAGGTACGATCTCTCGTTTGGGGTCTTGGGAATGGCGCCATATCCCCATCCCCGAGGTAGTGTGACAATATATCGGTCAAGGCTTACAAACTAGATGCTCTAGGGTCTAAGATCAGGAGAGAAGGCCCATGATATCACCGCCACCTGTAGGCAAGTAGAGGCATAAGAGAAGAAAAAGAGATCCAGGGCTCGACCCTCGCTTAGGGCCCCTTTCCACTCGCATTTGCGAGGGTCATCACGAAGCCGGCGTTGTGAAGCCTTCCCTGCCCATGACTCTTCATATAACAAGCGCATCTGGGTTGTTCTACTCTCCTGTTACGAATTACTTGAGGCAGAGCCCCCAATATCACACTTGAAAGAACTGTGTTGGTGTAGTCAGGCCATGGGGCGTAATAGCACAAAGAGACTCGCTATTGCCAGGAGGTAGGCAAAGGTAGCATATCATCATTCTAAAGTGGACGACTTGTGCTGGATGTAAGAAGCCTGTCCAGTCACAACATTACTCCCTCGACCGGTCCTTTAGATCATCAGATTCCATCTGCGGCTCATCTCGTTGAAGGCAGAGGACACTTGCGTTTACACGTAGATGGCACATCGAGTGACCGTAGTCACAATAGCTAGCAAGAGGCTATGAGTTGGTCTTCCAGCCTGGCACTCGTGCCATTTACTGATCGCGTTTAGACTATTACTTGGCGCTGAGATGGATCTATTATCAATATTTGCGATTGGCAACCTGTTCTCGACACGGAGCCACTCCCTTCTGAGCAAAGCTGCAGTGGCCAAAGAGAACATGTAGGATCAACTGGATCTATTGATGCAACACGCACTTCAATGTAGGCAATCTTGACTTCGCACTGGGGAACTTGCACTCGCAGGGAAATGCCCGTCATGAGACGCTGCGGGTCCTTGCGTCACAAAAAGAGAACATTGAAGCCTGCGCGAATTACACTAGTGTCCAGTCCAGCGTCCAGCATAAGAGCGCGTTGCTTCGTGATCAGGTTTTCGCGACACCGGAATTCCCCAGGGGGTCGTATCGGAGAATTTTGCTCCTGATTTTTGGTGGGTCGTCGACCTCTCGTGCATGCATATGGAATCTATGGCGGCTGGGATAAATAGTTTATGGCTCATGGACAGGCTTGTGGGCTTTCGCTCAGACAGCAAATGGAACGCTTGATGACGGCAATCCGGGATGTGCTCGCCCTCGCCATGGAATGGACTTTTCCCCTCATTCGCTTGGCAAGCAGCAGGACTGTGCTGATGGATGGGAGCAGAGAAGAAGAAGAAAAAGAAGAGAGGAACGAGCTTGTGTCATCTGCTTGTCCAATTGGTCAATCAGAGATGGCGTTTGAAGACGAGGTGGAGGGCGTGGAGCGTAGATCACGCTCGAGCTGTCTACTTGGGTCTCGCTAGACCTGAGAAAAGTTCATCCGGTGATGGTACTCCAGCCCTCCCCCAAGATCCATCGATCTCGAAGAGGGGAGGCGAGAGGGGGTTTGCCGCTGAGAATAATTGCACATGGCATTACCGAGTCCAATTAACAGCCTGGTCAGGTCTTTGCGAGTGTATCTATGGATATTTTGGGGCTGTTTTGCAAGGGTTTAGCGTCGTATTATTAGCGAAAGAGATTGAGCGCTCCCAGAGCTCTATTACTGCCGCGTTCCGTCGCGTCAAAAACTACGGGCTGGTGCGGGCTTCAATTCGAACGCGTAAAGTGAACATTAGAACATTGGCCGTTCCGTCCGTCTTCTTTTGGACAGGAACAAACCCTGGTACAGAAGGAGGGGGCGAACACTTGGTGGATGCAATGGATCCTTGATGCATCTCGGAGCGGACGAATCCTGAGGTACGCGCCAGGCCGAAGCTCTGTCTATTCTTGGGTCTCGGGTCAATTCAATCTTCTTGCACAGCTTTGCAGGTGGTTGGGGTTTGGGGAGACGAGGGGGTAAAAGAAAGCTCAAACACTGGTCAATCTTTTTGATGCTAGGTGCAATGGATCAATCTCAGATTAGGCCTGCTGGCTGCGCGTAATAGTACTCCTAGCTCGTGGAGCTCGTTAGACAAGGGCCACACCCCGCGTTCGATGAACAGGGAGATGAACAATATCGTAATCAGTCTGCAGAAGCCGCGACGATCTTCTTTTTCCCACTCTGAGCTAGTCACGTCTTGATGAATGATTCACGGGCTGAAACACAGAGGTCGCCTGTCCTTCGACACCATCTCCTTGTTTCCTCACATTGTTTCCAAAGTAGCTTCAATGTTCGTCGTTGTCATTGTTGTGTCGTTCGATGGTGATCAACACGCAACACGAGGGGCCCAATTGACACGAAATCAACGCGCCTGGAACGGACTTTGGTTGATCAAATGTAGTCTGCCTCTCCGTCTCCCAACCGTCGTCCGTGTTGTCGCACAGATGCTCCCTTCCCCCAGCCGTTGTCGC